GCAGACTGTGGCTGCCATGTGCGGAACGGCACTTCGCCATGAGAAGGACAGGATCACCAAAGCGGAAACTACACGAACACCATTTTCGTCGGCAATTCTCCCCCGTTCGTCCCGTTAGCCGAAACTCTGTCGAAGATGAACTCAACGCACCAACGTCTATCTCAAGGAGCCTTGCTCGCGTATGCGCCTAGCAGGTTAATATCACCTCAACTCACAGCGATCAACATGTAGCGAGAGACGGTGCGTCTTGGGCAAAGACGGAGGCAGAGACATGGCGGATGAAGCTCCTCAAGTGGCTGGCGATGGAGACTCATCCCCGCACTAACAATCACTAGGAATTCGCTACTCAGCCAATCTCTGCACGATTCGATGCAAAGGATTCTCTCATCGCGGATGGCGCCGCTCATGGTCTAACCGAGTTGGGGGTAAAATCCGCCGTGGCTTGCTCCTCCCTTCGACGAGCCAAGTCCATGTTGCACCTCTGGTTCTTCCCGCTCGAAGGCCAGGCCAGATTCGAAATCCTTACGGTCTGCATCCGGTCAACGTTTTCGAACGCCCCTCTGGAAGGGGCCCGATGGACAGCATAAGATGATGTTGTGACCGTCACGATGCCACCAGTGACGCCGCGCACCGCCAATGACTTGCATTGCGTCGCTGACCCGTAGAGCGCGGAGTAGTCTGTCTTGTGACTCGTAGTGGAGATCTCGTGCTTGTGTACCTTCAACCGGGACCATGATGCATCGAGACCACCAGGGCAGATGGATTTGCCATAGAATCATGATCCCAGAACAACATCATAGGTGGACAAGGAGGGGACGGCATATTTCCAGGCCATGGCCCAATCAGAAAATGGCATTCGGCATGGGCCCGCACGTTGAGGAAGGGAGGTTGGGAATCGCATGCCAGTAGGTGGGAACAATGGTGAAGAGGGGTTTAGCGGTACGGCACGCGCAGAGAAAAGGCACGAAAAGGGAAGGGCCTTCGAGGGAGCTCGGGAGGAGGGCAACGGCTCGAGCCAGGGAAGGGAGAGCAGAGGGAAGAGAGCGAGTGAAAAGCGCCAGATGCTATTCCCGGTGACTCGACCTTACCAGAGACGGTAAGACGCGACGTTGCGCTGATGGAGGTGAGTGGGAGGATATTTTTGGGCGACGAGCCTGATGGCACTGATTCGTCGAGATGCGGGGGATAAGGAGCAAGCAGCGTGTGCTTGGCCCCCGCTGGCTGCGGCGTCGTCACCGTCCCTGCCCGTCTCATTGGGCACATGCCTATGCACCGTCGTGGGGGCGGCCATGCCTGACCGGGACGGCTCCAGCGCGTACTTTTCATAGCTGCCCCTCCATTGGCGAGCGTCGCCTTTTCCTCCTCTCGCTCTCTCTTGCCGCCAGCCTATACCAGCCCGCAGCTGCGTCCTTCCCACTGACTGGCTGCGTCGCCTCGTTTCACATCTATCGCACGCATATCCACTGCAGTAGCGATTCAATATTCTGCATCCCATCTGTGCACTGATCCCAATCTACATCTCCACTCGTCACATCGTCGAGCCCTCGAAGCGCCCACACCTTCCTCCGCAATCGTGTATACATACCTCAATTCCTCTCGACTTCACAACTCCACCATGATCAGATCCTCAGACAATTCTCCCGACAGTACACAATATACCACACGGTAGCTAACATGGAGTGGTCAACACACTACTCCCCTCTCCAACTGCAACCAGTTGAGATGTTCCAGAAAACCTCAGACCTGTCATTCCTGGGTCGGCGCACATTGGCTCCTCGGCCTCTGTCGGAGGCGACCGAGATCTTCGACACAGACAATGAGGACGACTCCGACTCATTACCTCAGCCATGGGACTCACAGGACGATGATAGCCAATCTACCCTGTCATCGGGCCGGGATGAGCTTCCCACCCCCCCTCACACTGGCGGCCTCGGTGGCTTCGAGTTTCATTTCGATGACACCGCAGTCGTTGGTCCTCAGGGCCCTCACCTCTTCAGCAGCACTCCTGAGATTCTCACCAACCCTGAAGATGATGTCTTCCTCAACATGTCTCCCGTTCCCGAACCCAAGACCCTCGCCAAGCCCATCAACGCTCTCAACACAGCCGTCGCCGAACTCGAGGAATCTCAGGTTCGCAACTGGACGCCCCGCCAAGTTGCTGACTGGATGGCCGAGGCCGGCTTCGAGCCCACCGTGGTTGAGAAATTTCTCATCCACGACATCTCTGGCAGTGTCTTGATCGACCTTCAATTCGAGGATCTCAAGGAACTCGACATCAGCTCTTTCGGCAAGCGCCACAGAGTCATGAGCTCCATCCAGCAACTCCGAAACAGCAGCATGATCTTCCTCGAATCACCACTCTCCAGGACTCCTTCCAGGAACACCAGAAGCCCCAGAGCGGTCCAGCGCGCCGCCCGCCCGGAGGAGACCCACGTCCTCGTCGATCGATCTCGCTCCCGGAGACGAGCTCGACACGTCGATGTCGTTACCCCTGCCGAGTCCGTCTCCATCGTCGGCATTGAACAGGTTCTCCCCAAGGAGCACAAGTGCGCCAAGGGTGAGGACTGTCCCAAGTGGCAGAAGCAGCAACGGAGAATCCTCCGCATGAAGCAAACGTGGGAAGAAGAGGCCCGCCGACCTATCTCCGAAGCCCGGTCCGAGGCTCTGCCTTCGGTCGTCGGCTCTTCCGATGCCCTTGGACCTTCCTCGTTGAAGATCACTGCCGAGACCCTGAGCGTCGTTCAGCCTCGCGATCCCCAAGAGAATGTCCGCCAGTTCCTCAGCTTCCAACACCTTCACGCCCCTTCAACATCTTCCAACCCCTCACCCCCAGCTGCCAAGTCCGCTCACCTCGCCGAGCACCTCCGTGGTCTTCCCAAGCTCACCATCCCTGTTGGCCAAAGCCAAGACGAGCTCCCCTCGAGGACTCCCATCTCCGCGCTTCAACAGCCCACCCAAATCCAGGCTCAGCTCAAGGCTCAGCTTCAGCGTGACCCATATCACTACGGTGGAGTCGCTTCTCCAGCGGACATCTACCGCATCGACACTCCTATGTCGGCGACGGACCTTCCTGTCACCGCCATGGCTGTTGACCCCTGCCAACGGGATGTCTCTCAGTCTGTTCCTCCGGAGATGCGCTATGGCGCTGCTCCCCAGACCACCAGCCCAGAACCCATCCAGCGATGCATGTCTACTCAGCCAACTCCAGCTCGCCGCCACATGCGCCAACAATCCTTCACGCCATCAGTGGCTCCCGTCAAGGAGAACGAGACAGTTCGTCCCGCAACGAGACTGACTGAAACTAACCTCGCCCACCACCAAGGCTGGATGAGGAAACGCAAGACCACCCGCATGCTCCGACACGAGTGGCAGGACAACTACTGCACCCTGGTCGAGGGCAAGCTAACCATGCACGACACACACTACGCCAATGCCAACACTCTCGAGGACATCGACGTCGACGAGTACACCCTGCATGCCTACAGCCAAGCATCGAGCTCGAAGCTCAGCGCGGCTTTCAAGAAGAACCTGCTCGGCCAAGGCAAGGCTCTTACCGGCGAACAATCCTTCGCCTTCTCCCTCATCCCTGACAACGAGAAGGCCAACAAGAAGCTCTTTGAGAAAGGTCAAAAGGCACATCACTTTGCCGTCGACAGCTCCAAGGAGCGTGTCGAGTGGATGAGAAAGCTGATGCTGGCCAAGGCCATGAAGAAGAACGATGCCCTCCAGATCTGAACCACCAGATTATTGTTTCCAATCTCACGACTACTCAATGACTCTCCTACCAAGATGTTGCCTCGCGGCAAGTTCTCTTTATCATTACATCATCACACTATTGCATCATCCAGCGGAAAGAGCAAGGGAGTCTCTGCATTTAGCGACCGGAGCATTTGACTTGTGATCTTGTCCAGAAGGACAATCGATCACTTTGGGATTTGTTTGACCGAGATACCCCCACCATCTACCTGAGCCCTCTTGAGGCCACCACTTTTGAGAAGAAAGTCTCCTTTGTTACCTCACTGCCCTTGAGCAGTCGTCCCACCTTCACATGAAGGATGGGCTCTTGAGCCGTGGACAAGAGTCCTCGTGCATTCTACATAGCTAGCTAAATAGCCAGAGGCTCATCGCCTCGCAGACAATCAAACATGATGAGCCAAACATATCGCCTCTGCTTTGTTACCTTTTGAGTTTCTTCATTTGGTGAATATGTAATCCTAGATCCGTCTCTGAAGTCTTGTCAGTGCCGCTGCCCGAGTTCTTCATCTAGCTTGCAGGCCGAGAGAACAAACCGCCCCTCTCACGACTTCCACAACCTCACTTTTGCATCAGTGCCGTCAGTAGCCATCAGAGAATCAAAATCCCTCCAAATCACCATATTCGCACACTCAACGGAATGACGATTCCATTCAGTAGATAACCCCGCGAACCCCATTGAAATACTAGTACAGTAGAACATAAACCCGAGGTCTATACCTAACGAAGGACGACGGGAATGGGATAGTGGAGGATGGAGGATGGAGGATGAAGGATGGAGAATGGAAAATCCGCAAAGTACTGTATTGCCCGCGATGAGCAATCGAGGATATACATACATGATACATACCCGTACATACTCCGTACGGAAGACGGCATCGCATCGTAAGGTGGGTAGGTACTTACCTAGGTACCTACCTGTAGGTAGTCATATCGGATGAGTCTCGTCTTGCGAATCCAGAATTCACTCTTCGGTCTTTAGTCTTGCCGAGCCGGTAAATGTAGGGTATAGTATAACTGTGAGTGTGAGGGTGAGTGTGATTTGAGTGGCGGTACAATCATACGAGCGCACATTCCACACAATACTGTATAATTCACTCATCTTCCTTTCTCCTTTCCGAGACTCGAGGTTAAGATCCCTCTATCGTACGAGGATAGAGGACCCGTCGCATTTCTAGGACCTCCAAGCTACAGCTCTATGGACAGACTTCATCAAAACTGTGGCACAAACTACAAGCTACATGTTCTCACCCGAGTCCCTCAGCCCAATCCCTCCCACAGATCAATCGCTCGCACTCCCGCTCTTGGCTCCACAGCTGGGCCTCCTCCTCGCGCGCACCGCGAAAATCCCTGGCGAAATCAACGCGCAACGCCCGAGCCCGGAGCTTCGTTTCCATATGCGCGTCTCCGGCCCCGATCTCCGCCGCCAAAAGACACACGCCCAGCGCGTTCACGCCTAGGGGCCTATACTGCACAGCCTGGGCCGCCATGTCGAGGATCTCGAGCGCAAAGCCATGGGATTCGTGTATGATGGCCGTGATGACGGCGCTGGACGGCGGCCCGGTCGCCACACCTGCACACACGGCCAACCGGACCTCGTTGATGATGATCGCGACGGCCAGGCCGAGCGAGTACGTGCGCAGGAAGTGGCAGTGTAGGATTGTTTGGAGCAATGCAGTCCGCCGATTAGGTAGCGTGCCGTCCACATCTGCTGTTGGTCTTGGATGCATATTGTCGTACCATCGCTTCCGGAGGGTGGAGAGTGGTGCTTCGAAGTCGTTGCGCAGGGTGTTGGCCTCGGCTTGGAGGGCCAGGAGTGTCGAATGGATGTCTTGGTACTGCTGCTGCTGCTGCTGCGGTGTCCCGCCCACGAGCGTGACTGGCGGTGTGAGTGTCAATGTGAGTACGGCTCGGGCCCGGCGCATGAGGTTCGGCACCCGTGTCAGCATTCGGATGGATTGGCCTTCGGGAGTGAGTCCGTGGAGCTTATTGTCGAACATGGCGATCCATTCGTCGTCGGTGAAGTGGACTCTGCCGTTGAAGAGGGAGTCGAAGAGCTGCAGACAGTAAGTGGTTCGATCAGGTCGGGGCGAAGAACGGGGAGAGCAGGCGCAGGAACAGATAGGAACAAGCACATGAACAGAACAGCAACGTATAAGTCCGCGCCAGCTCTGATCAAAAGCTCTCGACGACATGATTGTGCTGGGACAAACTTGACTTGACTTGCAAGACTCGACTCACCACAACGGCACGGAGAGATAGCAAGAGATTCGATTCGAAAGGGTCCTGCGAAGTCTCGGCACATCCTCTCAGTCTGATGATCTGGGCGACGCCTTCCGCGTGGCGGCCTGACCCTTCTGGCATCCAAATATATTGCTTGTGGGTTGAAGAACGTAATGTTAGCAATGAAATACATTCTACATATCATGGACCGAGTGAATCATGCGGTGACTCCCTGTCCACGGTTCAACTTACCTGACAATTCCACAAGAATAGGATCGCACACAACGTCTCCGGGGCCTGCGCCTTGACCGGATCATCTAGACACCTTCTCAAGCTGGCAAGCGTGCGTCCGTACTTTTCAAGCGCCAGAACAGTGCCCCCAGCACCGGCACCGTTGCTGTGTTCCGAGAGCGTCCCCACGGCGGTCACGAACGCGTCTGTCGCGTTGTCGAGCGCCTCGTTCACGCCTAGCCTAGAAGGCACATGGTTGAGGTAATCCCCGTACGTCCAGGCCAGGTTATACTTGATGCTGACGGTGGGTTTGATCATGTCTGTGAAGGCGCCGGCCAGGCGCGTCGTGGCGTTCCACGGGCTGGCGTGGATGGTGATTCCCTCGAGAGAGCGGATCAGAGAGGCGTAGCGCTCGATCCCTACTGTTTTCTTACCATGCAGTTTGGCGGTGGCGCTGGTGTTGGTGTTGGTGCCGTTATGGTTGCTGCTGCTGTCGCTGGCCGATGGCGATTTGTCGTCATGCACGAACTTGTATCGCCGTTGACCAAATCCCACACAGCGGATGTTCAGACGTCTGCATCGAGGACAGGGGTGTTCGGAGAGATCGCACTATGGGGCACCCGTTGGATATCAAGGCACCGGAGTAGCATAAGGTGAGGTGTCCAGGGCCGTACCTTTTTCTTTTGCTGCCGACATGCGTCGCATCCTCGTCCTGATGGAACACCCGGCATGCTGCATTGTGTGTCTCTTGTCTTTTGCCGTGCCGGCTAGAGAAGCAGACAGGGAGAGTTCTTTCTGGGCAGACGAAGAGTACGGGTACGAGTCCGAGTGCTGTACCTACTGTAGGCCGGAATACAAAAGCCGACATACATACAGTCCTAGGCCCCCGCCGGCAAAGATGGGTGCCCATTAGTCAGTGGCGGCAGGCTGAGTGATTCAGGCCCCCCGGCACAGCCCAAGACTTCAGCTTGGCAAAACTATGATCGTCTTTGCGGCTGCGGCTCCTGTAGTTGCGTGTCGATGTGCCTTGAAAACTTGGTCGTGATGCCAATCGTTCGAGAGGGCCAGGCGGGCGCGAACGATAACCCGCTACGTAGCAGGCAGGTTGGAATTGTATGTGGCATGACTTTAGTTCCTGCTACCACGTGTTGGGTACCTCTTGCGCCCGTGACGCTGAGAGTGGTTGTACTGGCGTGGGGACAGGAAGATCGGCTCTATGCTATCTGATATTGATGGTGGCATTGTCCCATGGTCTCAATCAGAAGTTGGCGTCACTGTGGAATTTCCGGCTTCGAAGAGCAGCGAGTTGGCATAGACACAAAAGAACCAAGTGGATGAAGACTGCACATGAGATTGTGATCACAGACAACGCGAGCATAACTTGTCACATAGATTCGATGGAGAAGCAATATATTATGTGAAGCGCGCTAACTTATGACTAGGATGAATTGATCAGTTGTCGAGGCACGGCGCCTCTCCAAGAACGGTGAGGACCAGGCCCAAGGTTCTCGTTGTTCCTTTGCTAGATTTCAAGAACCCTTGACAAGCTTAACTCTCCAAGCTTCAGGGCTGACGGCAGTAGCATTACCATTGGAATCGACGTCAAACACGAAAAGCCCCAGGCCAATTCCAGCATATGTCGGCGAGTCACCACCGAGCCAGTCGCTATTCGTATTGAGTCCCCTCGAAAACAATCCTCCCGAAGGCGCTGGCGTGTGGGAGGCCCTGAATGCTACCCGTCCATTCGGTCGATCGGTTATCGAATGCAAGAGCCTGATGGGGCCAGCACCCAGGGCTTCGCTTTGTAAGACGTCCGTACCGTTGCTCGTAAACTGGGTCATCACCAAACCTGGTTTGCCCGTCGGATCGATGGCTAGAGTCAGCGTGGTGTTGAGGGCGTCGTCCTGAGAGGTATACGTGCCCACGAAGCTTTGGTCCGCTTCGGCCTCTGCCTGAGAGCTCAGCCCGGGCAGTACTGCCTCGGTCACAGCGTCCGCAAGCAATGAAACCAGGGCAGTCCGCTGCCTCAGTGAGCTCGCCATAATGATGCTGAAACCAGCGTCATAGTCCGGAATGAGCACTAGGTAGCCGCTGTAGTAGCCAGAGTCGCCGAGCTTGGTGTAAAGATCGGTGACGAGCCCGGTTCTGGGGTGTGTGTAGCGGTAGATTTCCCATGGTTTCCCCACCGAGTATTCGAACATGGCTGTGTGCGAGACTGGCTTCATCCATTGGCGGGTTTGGTCCGAGTCTAGGAGTGTCGAATTGAGAATGGCAGTGCCTAATCTTGCAAGGTCGTTTGTTGTGGAGAAGATGCCACCAGAAGGTATGGTCACCTGGGGGGCGCCCTCCGGCGTCAATCCTGCCACTGATGCATTGCCAGGAATGACGTATCGGCCATATTGACTCGGGTCGGGGACATTCGAATCTGTTGAGTCCATTCCCAGGGGGTCGAAGATGCTTTGGCTGTAGACGTCGTGGATAGATTTGCCGGTGATATTTGATATTGCCGCACCAAGCAGCATAAACCCGTAGTCTGTATATGCTGGACTTGTCCATGGCAGGAACAAAGGAGGTCGAGCCTCGGCGCCGATGGCATATTCATCGCTAGGACATGACATATTTCCTGAAAGTAAAGAGATCAGACATGGAGGAACGGCCACGGGATCGCTCGGGTCTGGGAGGGGCAAGCCGAATGATGCCACAAGAGCGCCCGTGAGATCCACCAAGAGGTAGTCACTCGGATCGAAGGGTGAAACGTCGCGTGGAGTCCCTGCTATCTGGCTGGCAAGCGCAGCAAGTGTCACTTTGTTCCAGTCAACGGTACCGGTCCGATCGTCTTTAGCTGGATGTGCCGCAGCATACGCTGCGAGTGTGGGAACGAACTCGGTGATAGGACGATCCCAGTCGCTAGGTTTTAGGTTAAGCATGCCTGCGAATGTAGTGATGAGTTTGGTGATACTGGCGACGCGGTAGATGCTGTCCCCATCGACCTTTCTCAGGCCATCGCTCGAATTGGCGATTTCGGCAGAGGCGTGATGGAATTGCAACGCCGCAGCAGAAGGGTCATGAATCGAGAACATGCCCACGGAAAACGTGACGTTCTTCAGACCAGCAGGGCTTGTCAAGTTCGCGCTCGGGTCTGCAATGTATCCGTTGAGAGTCGAACTAAGATTCCTCCAAGCGGCGGAGACATGGCTGCCATCGGTGGCCAGGTCGGTAGGAGCTGGATAAGTCGGTCCGAGGTAATCGCAGAGGACCCTTGTCGCAAAAGCAAAAGCTAAGATGATAGTAGCTCTTGTGGAAGGCATTTTGATATGCTGGTGATTGAGGTATCTTTGAATATGGTCGTTTCTGTAGCCATGGCTGGGAGCAACAACGTATATATACCCTCAACGGTCGTAACTGATGGACTGATAGAATGATCCTCGTGCAAATCCATTGTGGGCGAAGCCAGGAAAAGGTGCTCTACAGCTTCAGGCCGGCAGGTACACCGTGAACACTAGGCAGAAGAGTTGCAGTAAACAAGAACTGGTTTGAGTCCTCCATCGTGTCGCGAAGACAACGAGCACGTTGTGCATGAGCTCAAGACGGTGGCGGCACGGGGAACCCAGCATCTTGGCATACATCACCCCCTGCACGCCTTGATATAGCCAGGGGCACTAGACCGAATTAGGTTGCACGCAGCGCTCCGACTGTACCACAGTGCATCAATGCATTGCGCTGAGCCCCAACTCGGATCAGTGCGCACTGCTGCCTGTCAAAAAGCCGATATGACGTAGCGGTAAGTACGCCGTCAAGCGCCCTTCCAGCCACCAAGATGGATACGGATAGTGAGTGACTCGATAGTGGGCGTCCTCCGCATTGTGAAAAGGCCAAGAGCTGTGCCAGTCCATGTCATGCGGCTACCGTCAAGAGTGGAATGATGCGCCGACAACCGGGGCCGTGTATTTTGTAAGAAGACAATCCGTGTCTTTGGCAGTGCCGACATTGATATCTCAACCTATTTTGGCATTATGACCGAGAGGTTCTGGTGATCGCTGACGCAACGGGCCACGTCGTCCGAGGAAGAAGCCTGTATGATGTGCTCTGTGACGGAGAAGACGACGACACTTCTGCGAGGCTTGTACAAAAGCTCAGGTAAGGCAGAGTAGAGTGGGCTAAGTCAATTCGAACACTGGCGAGCACGACACAGACTTACAACATCCTTATGGCTATGGTTAGTTAGGCTACTTGCCTTGAGCTCCTTAATATCATTACCAGTGGATCGGTCATCTCGAACTCACGAAACTGGTTCTCCGGTCGCCTTTCAGCCAGCACTATGTCAGTCGGCCACTGCAGTTCTCGGTCGGTTTGGATCGTGCGCGCTGAAATGCTCTTGTTCGATCGTCTCGATCTCAATTATGACCGGAGTCTTGTAATGACCTTGCTCATACATTTGGGGACTGGTCAAAGCAGGTTGATCATAAGCATGGGGTGCCGTGGTGCTTCGGGGCAGGCAGAAGAAGTGAGAAAAGGACAACGTGGTGAAGGGCATGGTGAGGGAGAGAACGTCGCAGGGCCAACCCTCACAAAAAAGACACAAAGGTTGCGGAAATAAAGCAATATCATACGTATGTGACTGACGAGACATCGCATTGAGGAGCTTTCGAAGCAAGCAAACATTACGGTCGAGGCACCTCTGAGGTGGGTGTGAGGCCACATTGAGGACAACTAGAGGACACTGCGTGGAGGATGTGTGGCTTCCGGCTTAGTCATCTTCATCTTCATCATCACGCGTTATTTCGCGCTCAACTTCGCAGCAGTCGGGACTGATTCACCATGACCTACCGCAGACAGTCAATCAAGTCACCAGAGCAGCGCTATCGCAGAGAAAATTATAGTATTCAGAATTCAGCCATGCTATCAGCCACGACTACCTTGGAGACACATGCAGCTGTGCATGTCTCTGCCTTGCCTAAAGCCACCGACCTGACCCTCCGAAGCCACTGTCGCCTCACGCTCACTCGCGCGATGCAGAAGCCTCGAAACCCTCCACCGCCATACACATAATGCCGAACTCATCACCTCGTAAGACGTCCTCCAGGCCATCAGTCACATTGCCTTCCTATGCCTGGCTCAATGCTGCACGTCGATAGAGAAGAAGTGTACATCAGAGGGGCTGTCTCCCTGGTTATAGTTCCCAACCTTGAAATAACTGGGCGGACTGTTGAGCTCGTAGGTGTCGAGCTCCCGTGGGGCGCCTCCGTTGAGGCTGACGCTGAGTACATTTGACTCATACCGGATTTCGTATGAGAATGTCTGCCCCACGGGAATGTTGCCGATTGAGGTGAAGATTGAGTTGCCGCCGTCGGTGGTCTGTTCGACGCCCATGACCACATTCCCAGCCTTGTTGTAATAGAGCTCACAGACCGGCTTTACGGACACGCTGTCGTCGATGTGGATCTGGCCAATGACTGTGCCGTGGCCGCTGTTATCTGGGACCGTGACTGCGAGGGTTACCGCGAGTCTGTTCCTGGAACTGCTGGGCTGCCAACTCGCCGCCCCGCCGGTCGAGGGGTTCGCTTCACGCAGCTCGGTGCGGCAATGCGTACTGTGTGCGGTCGTCACGCAGCCCGAGCTGGCCGGTGACCCGGGGACCTTCATGACCAGGGCGCCATCGCCACTCTCTGTGAAGAAATAGTGGTGGCCGTTGTCCTGGTAGCCGGAGCAGCCTTGGAGCTGGGAGCTGCTGATTGTGGTGGGATTGCCGGTACTGCCTATGGGGAGCTGGAGCATCCATGGTTTGAGATTGAAGTTTCCTCCCGGCGCACAGCTTGGATCTAGAGCGCTGGCAAGGCAGGAAAAGCCAAGGATGAGGGTCGAACAAGCACGCGAAAAGGTAGGCATCGTGTCGGAAGGACTTGGCTTCCCGTGCTTCGAAGAGCTTGTTTGGTGTCTACATCTAACCCAGAGACCCGAAGGAGCCACTGCCCTTTATACGACACTGACACGCCTGCCCTGCACATAGCCGAACGGATGTACTAACAGCTGCGGTGCAAACAGGAGATTGTCTCTGCAGAGCATTTCTAGCCATTGCATTTTCGTTCAGTCGGTGAAACCCCGAGAGACCAATGACCCTCCCTAGCCCGCAAGCAAAATGAGATTCATGGCACGTCCAGCGAGATCAATCTTTCGGGAAGGTCCCTGTACAGCTTAACTTTCGAAACATCGAATGTCGCATGATGCCGAAAAGAGCCATTGACCGAAGCAACACCTCCACATTTCGGCCGGGGTCAAGCCATGCAGTCCCTGTATTCTATACTCCCCCGAGAATGTCTGCAAGCGCGCTGGCTTCCAAGTCGTTGTTCCTTCTATACCCCGAACATTTCGATTGTGACTCGCCAAATGCCCTATGGCGGACAGCGACAATCGCAACATTCATGAGGACAACAGGTTCTCTATTCTGCGCAGGAGGCGAGGCCTTTCCAATACAATTCTGAACAGAGAGCCTGCAGATCTTCGATGGTTGAAGGCCAATGCTACCACAGATGGTGTTGTTCCATCAAGTCTGTCGCACGCCGTCGACAGCTGTCTTGGCCCCATTGAGGACGGGGCCGGCTTCCACGTAGGGGACATGCAGCAGGCATTTCGCATCTCCACCCCAAGATCGTGGCTGGTGCAACCTTGTGTTGTGGGGAAGGGTTGGATCGGGCCAATCTCCCCTCTTCCGGGCTTGCTGGCTATATCAGTTTCAGACACTCAGGTGATGCCGGGTATCTCGGTCGACTCCAATATCCTGTGTAGAAGGATGCAAAACAACAGTGCTGCAGAGTGATGGGCAGACAACCCTGCAAGTGCCTGGAAGGTCCCTCCCGTCTTGATATGGATTGTAGGTCACCAGACCATGTCCAGCAAACTCCATCCACACCGAAATCTAATTGACAATATCCCGTGCAACGACGAACGGATCCACGACTCGAAGAGGCAAAGTCTATTGCGCAGCAGTAGACCATTGACTAGAAGATCGGGTCACATAATTATACTCTTCAGTTCTTTCGGCCGAGATCTTGCAGTGGCATGCGGTCGCAATTTCAAGAAGAGGTAGGTACGGACCACTGTAACGTTAAAGACGACTTCCTCTCCCGCCTCGTTACTTCACCGATGTGCCTCAGATTCCCCGTCCGCGAGGAAAATGACGCGATATCAAATCGCAGAAGTGGCACCATACTCTTCATTTTGTCTAGAGCCACACCGATGCCGCAGAGTCGCTGGAGCAGATACAGTGTTAGAACGGACTGTATAGACCATGCGTGATGCACCCACCAATACCACAGCCGAGATCTTGGTGTCGCGCAATGATCATACACTCTGTAAGTCTCCCTGATCACGATCCTGCGCAGGGTGTCCATGTACATGTGGTACATGTGTATGTCGTATAGTTATCCATCCCTAGGGAGACACCCTCCCTGGAGGTTTTCCCTCCTAGCCTCCCACTTGCTGTTCTTCCCAGCACTCTTGTAACCTTGCGCTTCATCCTCAGTACTCGTACAATATATGAAGGCCTAATATATATATATAAGTATATATCTACACCTCAATAATCGATTTCTGAGAGATTGACCAGCCCGAACCAGCCCGAACCCTCTTTGACTTCATCCTCACAACTCAATCCCGTACCCATGACGATATGCAAGGCAGTGTACGGACGGAGAAATAGCACAATTCTAATCTAATCCGACCACCACCACCATTTCCATCTTGCCGGCGCTTCATCTGCACTACAGCGTCATCTCATAAGCTTGGGCTTTAATGGATCGCCTTCGCAGCGTGGTCAGCGTCGTTGTACAGTTATTCTACTGCGCTATTCCGTCCACTTGAAGGGGCCCTCCCATCTACAGAAGCTGGTCGAGGGGATATCGCCTACGAGCAGTAGGAACGGGGGCGGTCTGTGAAAGGGTAGAATGATCATTTCTAAACTAATTACATAGTAGATGGGGTTGATGAGCCAGCTCATATACCGACACACACACAGAGAGAGAGAGAGAGAGAGGGGAGGGAGAGGGTATCTTGCGCCCTCTGTCAATTAAACAAGCAAACTAACAAACTTAACAAAGAACACGTACATGCCCACGAGCATACAATGATATGCCTGACTTTGTGGAGGCTCCTCGATATTCCAGCTCGAGCAAGTACACACCGGCTGAACCACGGTATCCGACGTGAGCTTGCGATCACTGGGACCATGCCTCGTCTGGTGGGAGAACGAACCCGGTCGACGGGCCCTCCATTCTATGTTTCTGCCATCAGAGTACGTCCGGCATGCTCATCTCCCATAGGTACTTACAGTACTCCGTACGCCTCTGCGGTATCGACCTTGGCTGCTTACTCGTGATTTTCCATGACCAACCCGGACAGCTGCAGCAACTTCCTACTGTAGCATGCTTTCCATGGCAGAAGGTCAGATGGGAACATTTCAAGATAATTCGAGGCGACTGCTACAACACTCTAACCGCTGTGAAACGTTGCGATCTTGCACTTCCATTGATATCCAGCTCGACCACTTCAGACACTCCCGAGACACTTCCACATCATCGACCAAGGCCGATGAACTTCTGCGCCTTCACCGCTGCAAACACGCCACCTGTAACGACCCATATCCAGATAGCGTCATACAGTACTATATGTCCCGAATAAACAAGAAAGACTCATCCGTTTGACGCGTGAAAATGCCCAGATCCCATGCCTTTACCTCGAGATCCCCAAAAAGGCTCTCTTCTCGCGTCACCCACCAAGGCCAAATCCCGGAACCTGATCATGCAAAACTCAACTCACGGCAAGGAAAGGAATCACAGCATGAACGCTAGGCAGCCCACAACAACAGCCAACACGCCGGAAACAGCAAAGCCGACTTTGTCCGCAGAGCCCCTGAACTGGCTTTGCGCGGCACCCCCAGGAGCCACGGGAGTGATTGGCGGCGAGATGGTATTGTTGCCGCTTGTAGTACCATTGTCGTACCGGTTGCCGCTGTTGGCTCCGGCACCAGCTGCAGCGTTAGTGGCGGCATTAGCACCTGCGTTTGCCGTGGCATTGCTGCTACCATTGCCGGCTGAGTTGGCACCAGCAGCCGAGTTGCCGCTTGAAGCCGAGTCTGCACCTGCAGCACCTGTGGTGTCGGTGGATCCGGCTTGAGCATTTGCAGCGGCATTTGCGCCTGCGCCAGCAGCAGCTTGAGCTCCACTGCCGGACGACCCAGAACCCGAAGAGCCAGAGCCCGACGAGCCAGAGCCGCCAGCGCCAGCATTAGCGCCAGCACTTGCGGCGGCCTCGGCGTAGGCATTGGCACTAGCACCAGCTGCACCTGTAGGTCCAATCTCTGGAGTGACAGTGGCATAAGGACCAGTCGTGCATGGCACGGTCATGGTCATGGTGGTAGGTCCGCCTTGATGGCAGACATCGCAAGACGTGACAGTGGTAGTGAAGCCCGCAGGGATCGAGGCTGGGTTTCTGGTCGCCTCACATGGACATGCCTCAGTGATAGTGTACGTAGCTTGTCCAATAGATGATCCGCCGCTGCAGATGGCGGGATAGATGGTGATGTATTCGTGGATTTCCTGAACAGACCCATCGGGAAGGGTTGTGGTAAAGGCGAGGATCTCAGTAGTCCTTGGGCCGTTCGGATTGGGTGGAGCAGTGATGACTGGACCACCGGGGCATTGGCCGCCAGGGCAGGTGAAGGTGATGGTGCTCGACAATGTGGTGGTGGTCGTCAAGGCGGTCGGGCAGACAGAGTAGAAGACTGTGGTGGCGTCGGTGTCGGCTGGATCGTTGACAACAGTTGTGGTCTGCGCGTTGGTCGCAGCAAGGAGGAGTGCCGCTACGGGCATGGCTCTTGTCGATCGCTTCATTTTTGTGAAGGTGCCGAGTTGATTTTGGTGGTTGAATAGCCGTCGCGCTCGCGCGAGAAGTCGTACAAGCAAAAGGTATAAAGGAGTGATTGGATTCTGCGACAATGATGTACTTGGAAACGAGTGTAGCGAGTCGCGAAGGGAACACGAGCTGATAGAATGACAAGAGGTCAAGGGGGCACTTTGTACCGCCGCGCATCATATTTACCTTCAGCATAGTAACCGTGCGGCGAGGGCAACGCGATCCGCATACCGTTGTCGCTGGAATGCAAAACAAAAAGCCTCGACAAAGGACCGCATTGGTAAAATGAAAGGGAATGCAGCGCACGATCCATAGCATACCTGAGCGAAGGTCTTCGAGATTGTGGACTTCATCATGTGCGGTAGACGATTTGTGATTCCTTGACGCCATGAGCAGGAGGCCCAAGGAGGCTGGAACGTAAAAAGCTCGGTGACGCCCAGCTCGAGCACTCTGCTGTGACCTTCCGGCAGAGCCTCGAATCGAATGAGAGTGACATCGCCACATCCTCACAGTCAATAGGTGCAAAAATTGAAAAGAGGTGCATGTACCCTATAAATCGACATTTCAAACTCATCGCCCTCACTGAAGAGGACTCAACGAGAAGGAAACTTCCTACAAGGAATGAAATTACTCTCCAGAGCCATCGAGCTAGTGCAGCTCATGGCAACACGTCGCTGTAGAAAGGACGGAACGACGGTCGTGGCTGGCTCTGTTGCTTTTTTTGATCTGAAGAGAAGAAAAAAGAAAGGGATGCAGGTGCAAGACCAGAGGAAGAATTTGTAAAGTGACTTTTGCCAAGACACATCACGTGCTACGGCCTCAGCCTCAGCGTTATTCTGGAGCCACACACGCCACATCAGGCTTGCATTCATTCAGCCCCAGTGCTCGCACCTGGTACAGGTATTTCGTTCGCTATTGAACGACTGATGCTTGACGGTGCATCGTCGATACTATGCTGACTTCGCCTTTAGTGGCACTTCAAACACCATCGCACCGTTCTTGCCTCGAGGTATCTTCTTCCACCTACCCAACCTCATCTCTTTGCCCGTTCCCGCCACGATGCACACGCCTTGACATTCTCCTTCCTTTTTGCCGCCGAACTCATTTGTGATCTGTTTTCTTCGCTCGAATACAGTCAGAGAGTTGATGTAGCCACGGACCGGACCTAGTGATCTTTCTGCTAAATCGGAGGACATCGTAGAGCCACTCGGTGATGCAGAGTCGCCGTTCAAAGTCTCCGTTGGTCGTTTTATTTCCCCGTTCATGTGCCCATTCATTCCACTCAAACCAGCTTCGCCTTTGCCAACAGTGCCGAGTGCGATCAACGATCTCTTGTCATCACTCACTTTCCATACCCGAATCCAGCCGTCCCAGCTGCCACTTAGGACAACATCTGTGCCGGGCAGAGCAGTTAAGGCGGTGATGGCTCTTGGAATGGGTCTTCGTCGATCGTCCTTTTTCAGGTCTTCAATAACCTTCGGATCTGCCTCAGAAGTGACCTCTTCGAGAGGAGGGGGCTCTTCCACACCATGTGCTGTATGAATCGTGAACAAGGCCTTCTTCTTGTGGATGCTCCATAGACTGATAGCACCCGAGTCAGACCCGGTCACGAAATTTTGTGGCGGGAGCGCTGCGACACAGTCCAGACTCCCTGTCTGATACTCGTCCTTTGCCGAGCTATCGCCCAAGAACCTTGTGAGCGATTCATCCACCACTTTCCACCACATGGCTTTTCTATCTCTGGCGCCTACTGTGACGCACTGGTCGACCGATACTGCCGAGACATCCACAATGTGATCTTGGTGGCCAAAGAGTGTTTCCACGTACGCAAGGCTGTCCTCCCCAGATAAGCTGTAGGTTTTCAAAGACCGATCCATGCTTGCGCTGAAGAGTTGCTGGCCAAACCCATTTTGATTCGACGAACTCGGCGCAAATGCAAGTCCCGTCACTCCATCTCTATGAGTAGTAAATGTCTTCAATGGCCGCAGCTCATCCGCCGACCAGATGATTAGTTTCCTGTCTGCACCGCCGGTGGCCACGAAGTTGCCGTCCGGCGATGCTGCCACCGCAAGTATAGGGCCCGTATGACCATGTTGCTGCTGCGCCGATGCCCTGACTTTGATCCCTCGAACATATGCGAGCTGCTTTGGCCGAGTTCTTCGACCTCCGTCGGGCGGTTGAAGCTGCCATTTGATCAAGGTCCTGTCCTTGCTCACAGTGTATGCATATGGCTGACATATAGCCACGGCAGTCGTCGCCTCTGTATTCATTATGAACGGCGCATGGCTCGCATTTGTGAAGTCCAGACTCTCGGCAATGAGGCGGTATTGTCGGCCCTTCGCTTCGTCCACATCCTCTTTTAGTCTCTGTGCAATCAAGTCTCGATCAAGGTCTTCTGCGTCGAAACCAGTATCATCTATCTCTTGTTTGATGTTGTCCAGGTATCGTTGTGCGAGTCGGACTCTTCTCTCTGCGGCAGTCTCGCCTTCTTCCGAGGTGGCTTCTGATTCTTCGGCGTCGCTGTCAGGTTGGGCATGATCGTCGGATTCGCTACCGGATATTGACTCGTCATCTTGGTCTCGTGCCTGTCGTCCTCTTCGTCGGGGCTGGCCGTCGGCTTCTTCTCGAGCGTCACCTCTGTCCGTCTCCCGTCTCTTCCTTGCCTTGCCCGGGGCAGTGTTGTCCCTCTTCCGCTTTCGCTGAGATGCTGGGACGGTGAAGAAGGAGGGCATACTCGACCGCGAGCTTGTGGGTGTCGCTCAGTCTCGGTCGCAGTCCAGAGCAGCAACGGCGAGATAATTTTCTCCAAAAGCCCGAAACTTTTTTGAAGCCTTAGCGCCGCTTCGTCGGAGAAATCGTCACCGCTCGCCGCACCTTCCTTCCACTCCGTCGCCAGCCAGCGCAAGGCACCGCTTCGCGTTGCGTGTCAAGCTGTCGAATTCAGTGCCTCTACTCCGTACTGCGGTACATCTCCTCGATTCAACTGTACCTTCACAACATCGAGCCCCAGTGCTGTCCGACGCAGAGTCTCTCCCTGGTCCCTGTCCGTCACTGAACGTCCACTTGACGCCTACCCGCCTCTTGAACTCACCCGAACATCACAATGTAAGTACTCCAGCCCTACCGAGAACCCAATCCATAGCACAAACCACTAACTCACGCTCAGGGAAGTCCTCCTCGGCCTCACGGGCCGGGACTTCACCATCATCGCCGCCTCCAAGGCCGCCATGCGTGGAGCGACCATCCTCAAGACATCCGACGACAAAACCCGCCAGCTAAACAAGCACACATTGCTCGCCTTCTCCGGCGAAGCAGGCGACACGGTGCAATTTGCAGAATTCATCCAGGCCAACGTCGCGCTCTACAGCATGCGCAACGAAACCGACCTCGGACCTAGCGCGGTAGCAAGCTTCGTGCGAGGGGAGCTGGCGCGGTCCCTCCGTTCGCGCAAGCCGTATAACGTGAACTTGTTGCTCGGCGGCGTCGACCCCATCACCAGGGAGCCGAGTCTATATTGGTTGGATTATCTGGCCAGCAGTGCGAAGGTCCCATACGCCGCGCACGGCTATGCTCAGTAAGTACCCTGTACCGTGTACCCTGTGCTCTGGTTCTCGACTCTGCTCTACGCTCCTCTCCCCTAGTTCCCTCCCATCAGAAAGAGGTGTCTTTGACTGTCGAGCTAACGTTGGCGATAAGATACTACTGCCTCTCGATCCTGGACAAGCACCACCACCCGGACATCTCGTTCGAGCAAGGCATGAAAATTCTGCGCATGTGCACGGACGAGCTGCAGCGGCGCCTCCCCATTGATTTCAAGGGCATGACCGTCAAGGTGGTCAAGAAAGATGGAGTCATTGACGTCGAATACGATACGAGCAAGCAGGTTTTGGCAGCTTGAAGGGCCCACTGAGCAAACGCACGGCGAGATCAAGCGGCTTGTAGAATATGCATAGCGACGGCGTAGACAGGAAGGGAACCGAAGGGCAGATGCGAGAAAAATGGGTATCAATTCATTTCGGGGCTGCTTGGTGATCCACCACCCTCCAGCGACATCGTCAATGTCACCGCGGCGTGGGACACACGTACGCACAAGTGTTTTCCCGTGAGAGCGCAGCCCTATGCCATTCCATAAAAGGGATTGAAAAGGGCGGACTGGTTGCCAAAGTCTATCGAATGTGTTCATCAGATCTCGTCCCTCCCAACGCCATGCTAGAGCCTTTTGTTCAGTCAACCATGCCCGCTCTCGCTGTCAATGATTGCGCATATCGATTGAACGTCCGAAAGACTAAGCTGGCAATCTGCTATTTTCTCCACCAACCGGTATTCGTCGCCCAAATGGTCTCTGATAAGGTTGATAGCGATTAGTGTTGCCTCGTCCTCGGTGACTTTGCTGACGGTTGGGATATTGTTGCCTAGGCGGATTGATCGGTGCATACCCGCCAACGACCATGTGATTCCCTCTTCGAGCACGTTGGTTGTTGAGATGTTGTCTTCGTTGACTTGAGGACTGAGGGGGACGGATACTGTCGTCTGAGTCTTCTGAACCAGAATTAGGCTCGTCGTCGTCATCATCATCGGAGTGTGAGTCGGCAACGTTGCGCGCGCGTCGTCTTAACCTGTGCCGCACCGATGCCATGAAGTCAGCTTCGTTGTCAGTGTCATGATCATCTCCATGATAATGCAGCCTCTCTTCTGCACTACGGTCGGCTGTTGCGCTCGGGTTTACTCCCGGCTCATCCTCGTCTTCATCATCGCTAGTCAGGACGACACGGCGGGCGCCTGATCTTCGTGCAGGCTGCGCGGGGGCCGTGTCAATATCAGATGCTTCTGTCATCTCGTCATAGTTCGTCGCGGCATCGGATTGATCCCCGTTGGTTGACTGGGCGGTATTGACAGTCGAACGCGCATCGCTTTCCGGGTAGAAGGCTGGATCATAAGGAAAGTGTGACACGATATCTCCGTCATGAGATACCCCACTTGAAACTGAAGGATGGTCGTTGTCTCGATGGTTTCTGAGTTGTCTGTTGTAGATGGTCATTGTGGACTCGGTATCCGCATCACTATTGCTGTCACCGTCTTCGACCTCGTTGTCAATGAACCCATCCATATCATCGTCTTCATCCGAGTAGTCCTCGTCGTCCTCGAGTCCTGGCGAGATCGAACGTCTTCGAGTCGATGTGGCAGGGTAGTGGAAATGAAAGCCATGCTCCCCCATAGTTGTACCAAACTCATGGTCAATTTCAGCCTCGTCGTCCATTTCAGAGTCGTCCAAATCTATTGATTCATCCAGGTCGGAATCGGAGTCACTCCCAGTCATATCGAATTGGTGGAAACCACATCGACTGCATCCGCCATCTTCCAACTCCCAGTGACACTCAGGACAGCGCCACACATTGTCTTCTGGATCCAGTATGCCGGACCTCCAGTTTCTTGACCCACCTGCGGAACCTAATCCCACGAAGACACCCTTGAATAAGCCTGGACCAGCTCGATCTGCGGCCAGCAGGACGGCCTCTTCTTCTTTGGCCGTCTGGTGTTCCTGCACAGTCTCATCTTCCGGCAAGAGCTCCGCGCGACCAATGAACATGTGAACCAAATCTCGAAGCAGGTAATTCGGGGAGGGTTCGACTCTGACATTGGCTCTGCAATCAGGACAGGTACTCTTGCTTCTCCGACCCGTGCCCCCTCCAAACCAGCTTGCGAGGCACGAGTAGCAGTATGTGTGGCCGCAGGGTAGGATGAAGGGTTCGTAAAAAGGCTTGATACAAATCTTGCATAGGGAGAGATTTCGCATGTCTTCGATGTGTTTTTGGAAGGTGGCGAGCAGGTCAGTCGACGCCATGGTGGAAGAGATGGAACCGTACGCGCGCTCAGAAGGCGATGATGAGCGGCGAGGGCCCAGGTATAGATATGGCGCCAGAAGTCACACACAAGCGGTGTTGAAGGCTGGCGGCGCGTGAAGCGATAGAGAAGTGAGGGACAAGTGCAATCCAGCCTGAACAGAGCCATGCCGCATGAGGAAACTCAGCCGAGCAATTTTGATACATGGCATCGGTGCCTGTCAGTTCAAGTCCTGTGTCTTCTGCCACCAGCCTAGACATTCTTGCCCGTCATGTCGAAGCCTATATCTTTTGGCTTCGGGAAGTCCAAGACGGCCAGCACTGGCACCGGCACTCTCCCGTCCCGCAAGCCTGCCTCTTCGAAGGCCCCTTCACGAACCGCCCTCCACCAAGACTCGGACAATGAAGACGAGGAAGAGCCAAGACACGAGTCAGTCACTGGCTTCTCGTCTAGTGGTGCTATTCTAAGTCGTCCCGTACAGGAATCGAGAGAGAAAGTCATACAGAATGCCGGCAATGGCGACTGGCGCAGACGAGGACGAAACAATCTACTGCCTGCAGAAGTCCAAGCGGCGCAACGGGGAGATGGCCCGGTCATGGTGGAAAGAGACGAAGTGAGCAAGGCTACCGGTCTTCAATTTGCAGACAAGAGTGACAAGGAGCCGGAGCAACGGCCGGATGGCGACCAAAAGCCACAGAACCACGCCGATAGTCCACCCAGCCGACTGACTGCTGATGACGAAGCCCTGCAAGCGCTTTTGGACGATGGCACGGGTAAGCCCAAGTCGAGCGCTGTTATACAACTACAAGGGAACAGGATGTTGTCACCACGCGACGAAGAGGAAGATTTTCGCCAAGACATAGCCTCCAGACCAGATTCAAGTACCCTTGAAGAGTATACAGCAATGCCTGTTGAGGAGTTTGGACTAGCCATGCTTCGGGGAATGGGCCAGAAGCGGCGCGCCAACGGAGAAGTCATTGATCTAAACCCAAAGATGGACGACAACAGCCGAAAGCAACGTAAGCAAGAGGGCTTTCTAGGCATCGGGGCCAAAGCAGCTCCTGGAACGGATGGAGTCGAGCTAGGCGCGTGGGGCAAAGCGGACATGCGCAAGAACACCAAGGGCCAGGGGTTCTTTACACCGTTGATGCGCGAGAACAAAGCCACAGGAGAGCGCATATCAGAGGATGAATTTCAGAGAAGGCTCAAAGAGTCTAAAGGAGCAAAGGACGAGGATGACTGGAGACAGCGCAGAGATCGCAACCTGGAAAAGAGCGGTAGAGACCGCGATCGAAATGGTCACGCCAGTGGCAATGACGACTACCGTGATCAGATGAACTCTTTCTCTCGTTCAGGTTCATCAAGGAGAGATAAGGAGGACGACAGGGAGTATTCTCGATCAAGGAGAGACCGGGGTGACGATGACCACGAGACCTCAAGATCGCGGAAAGACAGGTCAAAGGACAGAAGCAGGAGAGGTCGAGACAAGGACCAAAACCACGATAGCCGGCACCGGGATAAGTACCGAGACCGCCATCGTGATGACGACAGATACGATTCGAGTTCGTCTCATCGAAGCCATCGTGATCATGATCGTGATCGAGACGGGGACAGATACAGAGAGCGCGATGGTGATCGTCGGCACCGGGACGGATGATCTAAGGTCGCTGTTGAATATTGTCTTTCAGCAAGATCTTTCGACTATGTTATTATAGCATTGGCTCGAGCCTCGACGAGACTAAAATTGCAGGGCATGACATGAGGGCTTGGCGACCTGTTGCTTGCCCTGGATGCGGCCCTGTTCCGAATGTCCATGTTCCTCGTACGGAGAATGGAGCACAACAATCAACGTCATGGCGGTCGTTTGTCGCAAGAAGACTGAGCGGCAGGATATTCGCCAGCGAGTAAATGACTGCGAAATTGCACGTTCAGCCAGATTGACCGACAATGTTGGCGTGGCTAGGAGTCTAGAGGCAGAACCATGCATGCTCGTACGTAGGATACAAGTCCTGAGTGAGAGTCCCAAGACCCAAGCGAACCACGCTGGGATTAATTACACCATGATAACATCTGCATCCCTGTCCATGTCGACGCCATTCCCCTTTTCCTGTCCATTACTCAACTCCATGGCGGGCCCAAAACCCTCATCCATCTCCCTCAATGTATACTCTATCAAGTAACTCTCGTCGATCAGCTCCTCCATCCTCTTGAAGTGCCGCTCCGTGTAGACTTCCAACGCCCTCACCAGGTCTTGCATGCCTGCACTTCCTCTGGCCTTGGCTCCTCGTCTACCGGTAACGGTAACGGCAACGGCGCCATCTCCGCCGCCCGCATTCCCGACGAGTCTTTTATCCCGCGCCATCTCGACAAACGTTGCCTTCGGGTACGATTTGAGGATACAATGCAAGACGCGTTGCGCGACGGGCGCCGTCCGCGCGTTTGTGTTCCAATCGCGCACGTGCTCGAGCATCTGGAATAATTGCGTCCTGTCAAGACTGGCCAGGACGGCGTCGACTTCTCGCGCGCCCGTGATGCTTATGCCATCTTCGTCACTGGTTTCGTTGCCACTCTGCTCCACAACGTCCTGGAAGACGCGCAATAGCCGGCCCGGGTGGTTGAGGGCGAGGGATAAGGTGATGGCTTCGCGGTAGTTTTTGGTGAAGATGTGGTTCTGGAGCAGTTGGTCTTGTTCGATGCGTTGGGTGGCGCGGTGGGAGAGCGCGGAGGCCGTGGCGAGCGTGGTGTCGCGCCAGAACGTCAGGGTTGCGTCGGCGGCGCCTGAGATCAGCGGGTAAGGGTAAGTCTGTGTTGTTGGCGTTGAGGATCTCTTGGAGGATTTGTGAGAGGCGGGATGAGAGGGTCCGGGATACGAAGTCGGTGCGACGAGAGCCCATACTCGATCGGTGTGGTTGTCTAGCGTGGTGAGGAGGTGGTCGGAGTCGGTGGCCGAGTAGGGCGACCAGAGTTTCACGAGCGTGTCGGATGAGGCGGAGGCGATCACCGGCGACTCGTTATGTTGGGCAGGTCGTGGCGCGTCTTCTCCTGACTCTTCAGCCCGAGGGGGTGGCACGCTCGGCGAGATCCAAATGACCTTCAAGACTGAGTTGCCGTGTCCCTCGAACGTCTGGAGACACGTGTATGTCGAAAGGGACCAGACTTTGACTGTTCGGTCGCCCGAGCCGCTGACCAGGAGGCCGCGGGAGCCGCTTGAACCACCGTCTGGTAGAGGGATGGGAGGGGTTCCAGCTGGAGAGAAGCGGATTGACCAGACGCCGCGCTTGTGGCCGCGGAGGATTCCAGCCACGGAACCGTCTTCTAGTGACCAGACTTTGATTGTACGGTCTTGAGAGGCGGAGGCGAAGAGTGCTGATGTGGGAGATACGTCGATTGCGTTGATGTCCTTGTCGTGCGCGACTCGTGTGAACAAGGCTTTTACGCTGTTTTGCGGTTCTGTTGCCGAGGGGTCATACTTCAGTTTCGCTGTATCCCATCGCTTGATCGTCTTGTCTTGCGACCCGGTCAAAAGAAAAGCAGGAGGATGTCCTGCTGGATTCCGCAGTGCAGGTCCGTCACTGGGTGGACTTCGTGGTAGAGCAATCGCGCCCAAGGACTCTGCGTGTCCAGCCAAAACAGCAAAGCATGTGTATGATGACGATGCAGGATCTAATCTCCATAGGCGTGCAGTATTGTCCTTCGCGCCCGTCGCTAGCCAATGACCCGACCAGTCCACGTCCAGGCAGATTACAATGTCCTCGTGGCCTTCCAGAAGCGCAACATCGTTTCCGAACGAGCTCGGCGAGGAGTAGTTAGTGTCCTCCTGCGTGCTATCTTCGGCGATTGACACCAATCTGACACTTTCTGTGTTCGTAGCAAGAGCTAGTAATCTCCTTTCTGGACCGACGCAGGCCATATCGATGACTTCATCGTAATTGCCGGAAATCGTCCGAATCACTGGCAGTCTCCCTATTGACTCTGATACTTGAAGCTCCTGCAGCTTGGTAATATCGTGGACTCTCATTGTCTGATCTTGATGGACGGAGATAACAGTGTTGTCTTCGATCACGGGGACAATAGCCATGATGGCGTCGTTTTCAAGCCCGGGCTTTTGCTTTGCTGTGAGCTCGCGACCTTTGCTGACATCCCAGATCCTCACTGCTCCGTGCTCTCCTCCAGCATAGCAGAACTTCCCAGCGACCAGGAACCCTGCAGTCTCGACGACTTCCAGTGCGGGAATGACTCTGGTCTGCTTCCACGTCCGGGTATCCCAAAGTATGATTGTCCTATCACGACTGGCCGTCAGAAGGAGTTGCTGATCTTCCGTGAAGTCGATGCTTCGAACGACGCTGACATGGGCATCCAGTGTGGCGATAGCTTTTCGGCTAGACAGATTCCACACTCGAATCTTGCCATCTTCTCCACCTGATGCGAGACATATCTGTTGCACCGGCGACGGCTCGTCGACATCCATCTGTTCTCCATCTCGACTCTTTCGTTTTCGGCTTTTCTGGCTGCTTGCTGAGCCGGTTGATTTGGACCGGAAAAATTTCAAGGCGGAGACAACACCACCGTGACCGTGAAATGTGTGCGATACATAGCCTCCTCTGAGGTCCCAAACCTTGACTTGTCCCTCGGCGCCGTCAGTGGCCAGGACTGACCCGGTGCCATCAATTGCCGATGACACGACTGGGGTGGTGTGCGGCTTTAGTGTGCGTGCTAGATCTGCGACCAGGGTTGTCGATCCCTTAACTGGTGTTAGAGAATATATGCGGAATGAGAGCGATCTGGAAGCGATGGTCAAGTGGGAGATGTTGGGAGCCAGGCAGAGACTGGTCACAGGTTCTCCATCGCCCTCTATCCGACACAAGACTATGCCAGATCTGATATCAACAATCAGAACATCTTCTTCGACGCAAGTTGCAAGCACACTCCCGTCTGCATTATGTGAAATGTCGCCGCCAGTGAAAATCGGTTCGATGGTCTTGGCCGCCTCGAACGTGGTTTTGAAAGTGACTTTGGTCGCCATTTTCACAGTCGCCAGGAGATCGATATCGTGACCAGAGATCCCTCGTGGCAGCACACTGACTGGCGAAGATGTCCATGGGAGTCGACTCTGCTGAGCTGCTCCAAGTTTCGTAGAAAAAGTCCAGCCGCTAATAGAAACTTTTGGCCAATGGCGTGACGACGATTGAAGGCTTGCACGCTAGAAACTTCGCGCCACAGCCTTGTGACGCATCTTCCAGCCTCGCGTGCCTCGGCGTCAAAATCTTGGCATTATTGGCAAGTTTGGTATCAAGGCGAACTTCTGACGCGTGCGCGTTCGAATCCCAATTCTCTTTTGCTTTGTTTGGGATGACTCAACCGCAAGAGCAAGCTTCACTTCCATGAATGTCCAGGTCACTTAAATTTGCCATTCAGGTGTTGTGGACGGCAGAGATACTCAGTATCGGCCTCGCAGAGGTGGCCTTTCCATGGATTTCTGTCAGGGGGTCCTTGTCCCAACATTATCGATAGGAATCCGTTAACAGCCGGCATCTCCTACCACTTCTAGCAACAGAAAACTTCAAGACAGCCTATAAGGCTTTGACCAGTAGCCGGTTGCTGAGATTTGGTTGAGCAATTCACGCCACGGAAAGATGAAGCTGTTTGGCCGTTTCACTGCTTGTAGCACTAGCTGGGAGCAAGAGCAACGAGACACATATATCTACCTATTCTGCCCTTCGCAGCAGATGTACCAGCACTGGACTTCTATGGGGCGTCACTTTGAGAACCACTACATACCGTTCTGAGAGCCCTCACGGGCCATTGTTGATCGTATCGGAAAAGGATGAAAGTGGGAGATTCTCATTCTCGCCGAAGCAAATCTCACCAACCCCAACTTCATTTCTTACCACACGGCGTGGCCTTCGCCTTCGACCATCCCCAAGTTCCGTCCAAAGCATCACAAAGTTTTTACCAGAGCAGCAACATCGCCAACGCCCTTCAAACCCCAAGCAATGTCGCTGGCCTTCTTCGCACCCTCGTTCCCAAGCACCAGACTCACTTGGTCGAGAAACTTCTCCTGCAATTGCTCGTCCGTCATTGGGACCTCTAGACTCCCAATCGCATGCTTGACGTGCTTCTTCAGCTCCTTTCCGTCCTGGAATTCGACCACAATCTCCGTCTCGTCAGCACCCAACTTCTCCTCAGCTGTCGCGCCGATTCTATCCCTGATCGAGACAACCTCGTTACTCCTCACCACATCATCCGCGTACTGCGCCGGCCCAGCTTTCCCGAGCACCAACCCCACGGCGCCACCATGATAAACGCTGAACTTGGCTTGTAAGCCGTCCTGGGGAGTTTTCTTGCCCGTCAACTCCAGCACCAGAGGGTGGACCGCACATTTCACGCTCTTAATCCCTTGCACATCCAATCCCTTCTCTTTCATCTCCTTGTGCAACTGAATACACCCATCAATGACCGGATGCACGACAATCCCGCACGGAAACGGCTTGAATGCGTTCTTTTCGATTTCCCATACCTTTCCTAGACTTTCCACATATTCGTCTAACCTGTTGATCCCCTGACCAACGACGTTGACCCAACCCCTCTTCGCCTCCAAGGCTGACGTCGAGGACGTAAATCCCTGAGACGCCAGGATGGCTGCCAACAGCCCGTTCTGAGCCGACCGTCCTACGTGAAAAGATTTCGTGTCCGTTCCGAACATTTCGCGCAGGCCGGTGACTTGCGTCGACGCTATCCCGATGGCGTGTGCTGTCTGATCTGCAGATAGAGAGAGGAGTTTGCTGACCGCGACGGCGGCGCCAATAGACCCTGTTGATGAGGTGATGTGCCTGCAAAAGTGGGTGACATTAGAGCTGTGTCTCTCCCAAGAAAAGATTCATCCTATGCACGCACGCTCGCCACATTGGCTTCAACGCGCCGAGAAGGAGCTTCGAGATCTCGGGGAGGGAAGAAATCAGTGACTCACCATCCCACATCATAGTGCTTCGGCCATACGGCCAACCCTAATTTACACTCAGCCTCGATGCCCACCACGAGCGCGAGCAAAAAATCGTCTCCCAACACCGTCATCCCTTGAGCGGTCAGTGCCTCGGCCTGCGCAAGCAATGCACTCGCCACCGGCCCTGTCGGGTGGATGATCGTCTCCAGATGGGTATCGTCGTAGTCGTGCACATGGCTCGCGATGCCATTGATCAATGCCGAATGACTGGCGTCTGCTTTGCCGGCACCACTCCCCGACGGTTGACCGCCTAGTATGCTGGACGTCTCCTTCCCAAAGAACGGGGATAGAGCTTTCACCGCAGTCGTCGTGGTAGGATGGTTTGAACCCCCCAGCGCACAGCCAAGCCAGTTGTAGAAGGAGCGGACGGCCGCGTCCACCACCGACCTGGGGAGGTCCCTGTATGAGAGGGCGACAGACCATTCTGCAATGCGGAGGGTCGCCATTGTGATTGACGCCCGGACGAGGGATGGACTGAGGTATGGACAGACGGAGGACTTGTCAGATATCACAGTCCAAAATTCAAAGAGTGTAATCACTGTAGAGCCCCTCGCATCCTTTTCCGGGGGGCTAAGCTTCCAGCCCTCGCCTTCTTAGCAAATGCTTGGTTCTGAATACCGCCGGAGGAGGCACGCTCAAAAGCCTCGCTCTCACCGATGTCAGCGAGTCGGACGGCGTATTGTGAGATTTAATGAATGGCATCCCCACGGGGATTGTCCGACTGGTCAGTGGTTCGTGGTGATGTCGACCGTCTCCTCATCGTGCGAGTTATGAGCCAGCAGAGCGATGTGGAGCGAACTCCGACATCGCTCGCTCCGGACTGTGTCGCATCGGCCTTTCAGGGACCGGAGACTCGAAGCAAATGTCCCTCTCAATCGTGCGATCGAGGCTTTCCATGTGCCCTGTCCCTTACCTCAACCGGGAGCTGTCCGGTGTACTCCGTACGAGAAGCTGAGTGCTTCGGCCAAGTGCACGGCTCGCATTCCTGGTCTCACGATGCAGCTCGACGCGTCACTCACTTTCGTCCGTTAGTACTACACAGTAGGCGAAGAAAGAGTATCATTCTGCAACGGCATTTTCCGCCCTCACGGCCACCACTAGATCAGGCGTCAACTGTATACGAGCTGAACCGTCCTTTGTCCATAGTATGCGTGCTATCAAGCTGAGGCTCGAGCTGGAAGCAAGTCCTTCAGCCCTCCTATAAGGAGTCGCTCGTCCTGCTGATAACCTCTGCCGATTAATCAATCAGGCCTCAAAACTCGCGCTTCTTTCCTCTCAGCACAAGGAGGCTGAGACTGTACCCGGTATGGGTCGTCACCCGACACTTGAAGCGTGAAAGATGAGAACAATCCTCCGCACAAGCCAACATATTGAGTACCACCCCCATGACTTTTCTTTTCCCAACCTTCACTCTCAACAATGGTCGGTCGAGGCGGTCGAAGCAGAGCTTGCTTCACGTGCCGGCAGAGACGTCTTAAATGCGGTAAGTGGCTACTAGTCACAGCTGGTCTGGTCCTGGTCCCAGTGATCTACCAACAATGCAGCCACGAACTGAGTCTCCATGACCCTCCGATCTAGACGAAACGAAGCCAACCTGCCGTCGATGCGCGGCTGCGGGGCTCGAATGCACGGGATATCCGAACGACATGCCCTTCATTGACGACAATCCTGCATCGCGGCTGCAGTGGAAGAACAGCAGCAGTCGGAGCCGGACTCTGACGCGGGAGAGGGCTGGAGAGACAGACCTTCCTCCTCCTCTTCCTCCTGCTGCTCGTCTGCGTCCCCGACCTACTTCCTCTCCCTTTCTCGCTCCCGCTCCCGCTCCCGCTCCCGCCCCTCCACCCAGCGTCTTATGCGAAGACGTCTATTTCGCGTATCTCAGACATGAACTCCGCGGCGGCGATTCCCTGCTCGACGGCCAGTGGCCCGGATTCTCCGCCCTCAAGGACCCGGATGGCCTGTCGCGACGGTGCATTACGTGCTTTGCGGTCTCGTTCTTCGGGAGGCGGAACCGCGACCACCGCGCCCGCGAGCAGGGGGTGCGTCTGTACGTCGACGCACTGGGCGAGCTGAACGCGCGGCTCTCACTGCCACGGGACAGCGCGCCAGGCCAGACCGTTCTGGCGATTACAATTCTCACTGCATATGAGGTATGTATGGTGTACGTATGTCCATATATCTTAGTGTATATGTTGCATGTGTGGGATGTACCCCGGGAGTCAGTGTCCTATTAGCGATGCGATGCGATGCAGCGGCAGTGCAGTGTAGTGCAGTGCAACGTCCTTTGGAGTCCAACACTTGGTAGAAGACGTACCACCTTCCGTTACCTTTCCCTCCCGCCTTGCTTGATCCCATTCTGCGATTATTAGCCATTCTCTAACATCGGCACAGTACCTCACAGCAACCAGCCCGACAGCCTGGATCGACCACATGCTCGGCCTAGCGACCTTCTTCGACCACCACGGCGTCGACGTCTTCCTCCACGAACGCCACGTCCTCACGCAATTCGAGGGCGATCGCTTCTCCATGATCATCGCAGCCATAGCAGCCAGACGACCCTTCCGGCTCTCCTCCGACCAATGGACCACGCAGTCGCTGCCGTGGAGGCATGCGCGAGCACCTAAACCCCAGAGACAATACCTGCTCGACCTCGCCTCGCGGCTGCCGGGCATGTATTTGGCCTTCATGGAATACCGAAATCCACAGAAGACGTCATCCCCACCTGCGCAGAAAGCCGAGCTATGCCACGCGCTGGAGTCTAACATGCACGATCTCCTGCGCGGATTGCGCGTGTGGGAACAGGCATGGCGGCGCGAAGACGCGCCCCGTGTCGAGGAACGTGCGCTTTCCGAGGCCGAGCAGCGGGCATGCGGGTTCACGACGGGCCTGGTCTTCACCGATGTCGACGGCGCGGCGTACACGTTCGTGATGTATAATATCGTATTGGTCATCTTGTTGGAACTGTGGAAGACGGTCAGGGGGGCGGCACAAGTGACAGTCTTGCCCGCGGGTGTCGACCAGGAGCCCCCAACCCAGTCGCTGATGGCCCAGGCCCGAGGCGCGGCGCTCGATATCTGTCGAACCCTCCCTCTTTACCGATCCGGGTCGGGATCCTGGGTAGATGCCATTCAAGTGGTGGTGGCGGTTCGCATGGCGCTCGTGGTTTTTCGACAGGAGAGCGAGAGTGGGAACACGAGTCCGCGGGTCATTTGGCTGGAGGGGATCCTTCGGCAGATAACAGGCGAGTCCGGCCGGGGGTGGGAGATTGGGAAGTACGCGATGCAGGAGTTTGGATGATTTTGATTTGAATATCTGGGAACGTGGTGCGCGCGTGCGTTTGTGCAACGATTTCGAGCCCCAGAAAGGATGTACTGACGGACGATATCATCACAGGACTCTGGAAGGATGATGGATTGACTGAATAGAGTATCCATAGGACTTGGTATGTCCGGCTATGTGGCTATCGGGCAGGCAGGCATGCAGGCAGGCAGGCGGCTGAAGCCATCCGACAAGATCAAATCTCGTCATATCAGATGAACAGGTCTCTTGCCGGACTGGTGCTGTTCATGCGAACTATACTCCTTACGCCTACATGGCTATAGTTCCTCCCTCCTACGGTCCTACAGTCCTACAGTCATATACTGTAGCACCCCCCGCATCGAAAACGATCCCGCGTCCCACATCCACTACTGTACCAGACTGTAAGCTCCGTGTCCTACCTCCATGACCAGGCGTTCCAGGGCCGCCACTTACGCCTTGACATTCTGGGCATGCGGCATGCGAACCACCTAACGTCCAATCGATGCAAAGTACGGAGTACGGCTGGATTCAATATGAGCTTCCGAGGCTGCGAGTCTGCGAGCATGACTCTGGGCTCTGCCCACTAAGGGTAGGGTTAATATGCCGGACTCTAACCATCACCCCCTCGATAGCCCCGCCGACCTTTGTTCGGCAAGAACGTTATCAGGCCGATACGTATGTATCTCACCTCCCACCATTGGAGTTGTGCTCCCTCATCTATCCCTCCACCCCTCCGTCCATCCTTTCTCGCACATCGTGTCCGGACAGAGATAACACCTACATGCATAGTACCTCTACAATGGCCGTCTCGACTTGCTGCCTCAAATCGTTCGCCTGGGAAGGCACACCCGGGGGCCAAACTTCCACCCTTGGGTCCCTCAACACGTACATTGCTGGCACAAACTCGGAGCGAGCGATCCTTTTCGTCCACGATGCCCTAGGCTGGACATTTCCCAACGCACGTCTGCTGGCCGACCATTACGCCCGCGAAGTCGACGCCACCGTCTACCTGCCGGACTTCTTCGGCGGCGAAACCCTCCCCTTCGAGCCCATCCTGGCGGGCCGTTTCCATGAGGTTGATTTTGCTGGCTTCCTGGAGAGAAATAGTCGCCCCATCCGCGAACCCGACATCTTCGACGCCGCCCGTGCGTTGAGGCAACAATACAAGAGAGTCGGCGCCATTGGGTTCTGCTACGGCGGGTGGGCTTGTTTCCGACTCGGGTCCAAAGACCATGACCCCCCCTCGCTTGTCGATGCCATCAGCGTCGGCCATCCTAGTCTCTTGACGAAGAAGGATATCGACGAGGTTGCGGTCCCTGTGCAGATGCTCGCACCGGAGCATGATGTCGCATATCCACTGGACATGAAGGTTCATACGTTCGAGACTGTGATGAAGAACAGGCTCCCCTTGATTACATCCATTTTCCCGGCGTCGAGCATGGCTCTCTTGTGCGTGGGGATGCAGGCCTCAAGGGCGAGAGGGAGGCCATGGGCCGGGCGAAGGACGCGGCTGTAAATTGGTTCAAGCAGTGGTTGTACGAGTGATTGACTGTGTCTGCTTGCATCCTGATTCGACGGGGCCCTTTAAAGTAGAACGGAGGAGCCCTTGGTCGAGAAGCATTCTTGCAGCCCGAGTGCACCTTTCTGAAGCGTGGGCAGACGGGATATTTAAGATGCCGGGGTAGATACGTCCTTCTGATCAAGTCGACGACTGCCTTCTGGTGGAAATCGAGCAAACAGCAAAACCACAAAGCCTATCAAGGCGACGGCGGCGTTGCAAACAAAAACGAGCTCTGTCCTGCCAATGCTCGCAAATGCTGCAAAGATGAGGCCAAAGATAGACGTTGTAGAAAGTCGCGCGATGTTCTCGACCAGAGACACTCCTGCCAAGGCGTCTGTCCTCTCACTGCTAGTTGCGGAGCTGCCGACCATCTGGAGAACAGTTCCTTTTGCCGCTGAACCAGTGCCGGCCGCAAAGGGCAGAACCGCAGCGACAACATACATCTGCCAGCCTTCACGGACGAACGAGCAGAGCAGAGTCAGGAGACCGTCGGCAATGAGCGAGAATTTCGTGTAGGTGAGATCGAAGGCAAACGTCCGCTCCTGTGGGGGTCCCTCGTCTCTGTCGTTGCTGGTGGAGCCGTTCTGAGACCCCGAGAGTAGGGGTTCGCGTTCTGGCGGCGTTGCGACCTCCTGGCGCTTCTTTCGGTTGCTGGTTACCCTCCTTCCGAAGGCGATCAGCTTGGGGAATGCAAAAGTCAAAAAGACGCCCCTCAGCATGGAGTACATGAAAATCAATGCGCCATTCTGCTTGGTCCCGAAGTCGAAGACGTTCGTCGCATAGAGCTGTAGCAAGGTCACCAGGTATCCCGTGGCCAAGATGCCGAGATACACTCCCCATGCAAGTAAAAAGGCACCATATTCTCTCCTGACGACACCGTCTTTCGTGATGAATTTGCGCGGAGCAAATACAGTCAATGGACCAAAGAATTTGCCCATGGCCGACGTGCTCTTCTTTGTCTTCATTGAGTCTGCACCATCCTCGATTCTCTCGGCCGGTGGAATATGCGGCAAGAAGACGAAGACGTAGACACACACCAGTAGGAATAGCACGAGTGTCAAGCGGAAGGGAGCCTTGATTCCGAAGCTCTCACCGGCGACACCGCCCAAGAGAAAGCCTACAGCAGATCCAAAGAACATGCTGCCACTGAGTCTTCCTAGAGCTGCCGTGCGCTCCTCGTAGTCGACAACCTCGGTGATGAAGGTGTTGAGTGCAAGCAAGTAGCCGCTCGGACCGCCAATAACAGTGAAGATCTGCGAGAGCTGAATGATGATGATGCCCGTGCTGCCCCAAACCTCGACGCCCACATTCTGAACCACAAGCCTTACGGCCGGGAACAGAATCTGCGTCATCAACGTTGGCTTCACCCCAATGCGTTTGATCAGACTGCCAGTCAGGAAGAGGTTCGCCGTGCCAAAGACGGTGGTGCTTGCGCCGAGGAGAGACACGGACATGGCGGTCGAGCTTTCGATCGGACGTATCGAACAGCGGTCGGGCGTACCTGAAGCCTCGAGACCTGATACCGGAGATGACGCCACGAGCGCGTGGAAAAGCATTGACATTGTCGTCCCTGGTTGGGAATGGTGTGCATCTTCCAGCACACGGGAAGGATGGTCTTTGTAGTATGCGTCGCAAGTCATCAGCCTGAAGACGTAAAGTAGCGGCACTTGTGTGACACCGAAGCTCAAGCTGGTCAGGAAGGCACAGAGCAGTAAGAGATACGGCACTGAACGAGGCCAACGGCCCGCTGGTGCATCTGGTCTGTCATCACCTTCAGCCGCAATCTCTTGCACAGCGACGCTTTCGGCCACACTGATGTCCTCTAATGACCTCGTGCGACTGAGCAAAAGCGGTGCTGTGCCGTCCTCGTCTCCCGGTCGTTGTTGGGTCGACGATCTCCGCCGACCGTTGTGGTTGTGACTCCCCATAATTTTTCCCATGTGTGACAGGACTGGAGATCACGAATTCGAGACTGTTACACAGCGTCAGCCTCGAATGGCTCGCCGGCTGTGATTGCCAGATGGAGGTACACTATGTATGGTGTCGGTGGTCAGAGCATCTGTCAACACGAGATACACAACGCCTTGGGAAAGACATCGGCTGTAGATTTGTTGATGTAACCATAACCACAACCGCTCTGACCGCCCAACAGAATACAGTACTGATACTGCACGCCAGAGAGGCGAAGCCGGTGGCAATGCCGCATCCTTGATCTCCAACTCGTCTGAACGTGGAAAGAATCGGCGGCGGCGCGGCGCCTAAACCGCAAAGTGCCGCTACCGACTGAGCGACGTCGGGGCCCATGGAAGCCACGTGAGCCAGTTTCACTCTGACCTCACTTGCCACTCAGATCGGGTTCATCTGGAGGGGTTGGACTGAGCTTACAGTACTCGTACGAGGTAAGCTCCTTTTAAGCCTGACCTGCATTCCACACTCGTAACGTACCTTCCTATCATGAAAAGGTGCGCATGTCGTGGGTATGCCATGGGCTTCCTTTCAAAGTGCATGAGTGAAGCGTGGGTGATACGGGGATCCAGGATCCGGCCATTACAGCTTGTCAGACGATGCTTCTTTGTCGACAGTTGCCGTGTCATTCTGTCATTTGCGACTTTCGTTGCCGATGCTTGACTCTTCCACTCTTCACTCACTGGTCACTCACTATGAGATTGTGCATCTATCTCGAAACGCTGTCGAGCGGTGGGTTTTCAGGCTAGAAAAGGGATTCTCATTTGACTACCAATTCCCTCACTCCACTCTACTCTGTTCGTCTAGCGGTGCGCCTGGGGATGGCGCTCACCCAGATTACTCAAGAGAGATATATGACAGGACACAGGTCGCGGTGGATGTCGGCCGACAATCTCATTCAGCCATACAGCGTCGATCGAGAGCACTTCGCCTCTTATGCGATGCCCCCTGGTACTGGACCCAGTGGACAAGAACCGCCTTCTCCTACTGGTCAACGGCGCCGAGCTCTCCATTCGGCTCCTCGAGGCCAGCTCTTGATGGCCGGATGATCAGCGCAATAGGTCATTTCTTGCTCGAGCAGCCCAGCATGGAGTACGAATGTGGCCTCGTCTCATGGGTATCTGGGATACGTCTCTGAAGCTGACAGTACCACCTCTCACCCGCAGTTGCAGCACAATAGGGTGCAGCGACCAAAGAGGTAGGTCCAGGACGCCTTCCGTTTCAGCTTTCTTGGGGCCATTGTTTCCCATAACCCTCGTTGGAAGCGCCTGAACTCCGTGCTTACGTCGCTCTATGCAGCAGGCGGCAGGATTAATAACATGGAGAGACACAGCTGGATATATAACTGCGGGACTGCACCTCAGGAAATGCCTACGGGATTGTTCATTCAGGATTGCCTGTCTCTGAAAAGTCGGTCTGCTTGGATACAGCCTAGACCACCCCGACTTCGCGGCTATGGCTATCAAAGATTCCATCTTCGTGGACGGGACATCTGCCCACGTCGTCTCAACCACACTGCGCTACTGGCTCGACCCGTCACCCGCAGGATACAAAGCGTTCTATGCCGGGACAGCAGGGGTATATCGCAGAAAACACGACGAACAACCCGCGCAAATCACAGACGTCAGAGGACGTGAGAAGGAATTCACTCTCGACAAGCAAGGCTTCGCGTTCGTGCAGCACGAGAGCAAGGAGAAAGACTTCGCAGACGACGAAGGCATCAAGGACCGTCTCTACCCGGAAGTGAGCGAGCTGTTGAAGGATGTGTAAGTATACAAAGTCAAGTCCAAGCGCCCGCACAGCGGACGTGCCCGTCATCGCCTAGCCCCTACACACAAGTGCAATGGATACGACGCGACCTAGTACTTACGTCCCATCAGCACAGCAGCGACCCATGTCCGGCCCTTCTCCCACCTAGTCCGCTCGGAAAGGTGGGAAGACGCCCAAGCAGCATGGGAAGGCAAGAAAGACGACGAAATCGTGCACACGAAAGTGCCCGCGCGGTTCGCGCACGTCGACCACTCGTACGCCGGCGCCATGCAGATCCTCAACGACAACCTCACCGACGAGGCCGAGCGCGCGAGACTGACCGCCAACACGAGGTGGGCCATCATCAACGTGTGGCGTCCGTAAGTCGTTACCTGCGTGCCTGCTTGCCCGTCCACCGATCCCATCGTATGGTTGTGTACCAAAGTACTGCGTACTATGCTATGCTACTGTACACCAACCAGCCCATCAGGCCCATCAGCTACAGTAGCTAGCTCGCCAGCCAGCCAGTCAACTGACTTCTTCCCCCCTACACAGCATCCACCATCCCGTAACGCGAGATGCGCTCACGGTATGCGATGCCCGCACGGTCGACGAATCCGACCTCGAGGGCTTGACCGCGAAGCTCCCCGCGCCGCAGAACGACACGTACGGGACCGTCAGCCTAGGACGCGCGTTCGAAACATGGGCCGTCAAAGCCAACCCGGCGCACAGGTGGTATTACAAGAGCGGCATGACGCCCGACGAGGCTCTTCTGCTCAAGATTTTCGACTCGAAGAAAGATGGCCGCGCGAGAAGGGTGCCGCATACGTCGTTCCAGTGCGAGGAGGACTATGGCGCGCCGAGACATAGCGTCGAGATTCGGTGTCTTGTGTTCTGGGAGGATCAGAGTTTGGAGTGAGACTTACGGAGTACGAACGGAAAGAGGTGAGTGAGTACATGGTATGCGGTGCAGTACGAGGAAGAGGTAAGCGGTACGTAGGTTTACAGTCGGATACTATGGGGTAAGGTATGCAGGCTGCAGAATGGCTAAGGGCGAAGGTGTGGCACAGTGTAGTGAATATGGAATGTGAATGACTGAGGGAATCCAGAAAATGATGACCGGAATGTTCCTGTACCTCGCAACAGATGCGCTTGTGGTGTTGGCAATTCCTCGTACGGAGTTTTGTTCTTTGTACGTGGTTGCCTACTAAGGTACTTACTGCATGCATGTATGTACTCCGTACTCCGTACCGAGCCACGTGAGCACACTGGGCCTAGCGCGTATATTGTATAGAGTAAGGAGAACGTATATAATGTATAGAGTAAGGAGAACGTATATAATGTATAGAGTAAGGAGAATAATAAGTCCAGTGATGAGCATGTGTGGAAACTCTGACTGTCTACAGTACTTTATACAATTCAACGTCATCCTGCGCGTGTCCTCAGAGTCATGCTCACCGAGCGAACATCACAACACAATTCACAAGCATGCAAATGAGAATGGGTGTTCACACCGCACCACTCCGCACATTCCAACAGAGTCGCAGTCACGAGAATAGCACCAGGACGAGGCTAATCAGCGAGACTCAGTTCATAATGTACTACCAGAGCATAAGCTGAAACACCTTACAGAGAAAGCGAAGCGATTCCAAAGTGAGAGGACCAAAAGCCAAGGTAGCTGGTAGCTATTGGGAAAACTCCTAGCTGACACAAGCGCGAAGATTGCTCAACCAGGTCCATTGATGAACTATATATCACTATCGAAGAGAAATAGACTCAATACATTGCATCGGTGGTGGGGCATCCCGCCGCTCGATGGAATAGATTGTCATGGAAGCCATCTCCGTGTCATGATAAACGCCCCGGGCCCCAAACCCCAACCCGCCCAGAACTTGGTCATCAGGCTATGGACGGTAAGGTGAAATCAGCGCAGGAGACGATACCATTTACAAAGCGGCGGCAAGACCCATGAGGGCGAGGACACCGAGCTCGACCTTGGGCAGAGCAGCAGCGCCGGTGTAGGTGGCAGGAGCGACGGGGGCGCCGGTGTAGTCGGCAACACCCCAGCCGGTGCTGGAGGCCGAGATGGCAGCGACGGGAGTGCTGGTCTTGGAGACAGCGGCCACGGGGGTGGAGCTCGAGGTCCAGTCACCCCAGTAGTAGCTGGTGGAGGTGGTGACGGCGGCAACAGGGGTGCTGCTGGTCGACGACTTGGAGGCCTCCCAGTCGGCCCAGTTGATGCTGGAGGTGGTGGCAGGGTCGACAGGCTTGGAGGACGTGGAGGTCTTGGAGGCTTCCCAGTCGGCCCAGTCGAAGGAGCTGGTCGAGGAGGTGGTGGCGGCCTTCACGGGCTTGCTGCTGGTCGTGGTGGTGCTGGTCTTGGACGCCTCCCAGTCAGCCCAGTCGAAGGTGCTGGTGGTGGTGGCCTTCGCGGGGGTGGTGGTGGTTGTGGTGGTGCTGAGCTTGGACGGGTCCCAGTCAGCCCAGGTGGAGGAGATGGCAGAGCCATAGGCCGAGGCGGCGAGAGCGGCAATGAGAACAGTCTTCATTTTTGAGGTTGGGGGTTGGTTCTGCTGAACGAGTGACTTAAGTTGGTTTTGGTTCGACGAGGAACGTTTGAAAAGAGTGACTGAAGTGAATTGCGCTTGGAGGAGAGAAAAGGAAGATCGAGAGGGTGTCGAGGAGGCATTCTGATATATAGCATGTCGCAACTCGGCAGACTCCCAGAGGCAGAGTCAACAATAGCATCCAATAGGGGTCAGATATCCACCCTCAAATGGTGCCTAAGATCTCGTGTCCCCATTGTTCATTTCTCTCGTGGCTGTGATGCGCTCGACTTAGTGAGTCAAGGTTTGCTGGTAATTCGTCCTAAAGTGGGATTGGTTGCCTCTAGGCAGAGGATTAGCCGACTCCAACTTCCCTTGTTAAATTACCTCGAGAAGCAAGTGCTGGAGGCGAGACTGAAGGGCGCTATAGTTAGCTACGCGCCGGTCCACCGCCATATGGTTGCTGGGGGCCGGTCTCCTAGCAATCCAGCTGCTCACTGGGAAGCAGGAGAGATGACGTGATTGGGCGACTTTCAGGGGGTTGTATATTTTGACTTGTGAAGTCGTATTTCCCAACGCGAAAGTGGTAGCGTAGCTGCTCAGTTAAGCTCTGGCAGCTCATTGCTTGTTCGGAAACGACGTGGTTCCACGCATCCCGTCATAGCCGTTGAAAGTATCGTGCGCGAACCAGTCACAGCCCGTATGGACCGGCAGGGCAATCTCTGCTCAGGAGGGTGGTACCGATCCCCGTGGCGAAAGGCCCTCGAGTTGCAGGCATTTCGTGCTCACTAGGCAGTCCCTAGTGGGAGGTCAAGAGCACCGGATTGTTTGGAAGCAAAACAGCGCGAGAAGAGATGAAGTCGAGAAGGGCAAGGTTAGGATTGAGAACATCCACTGGCCTCCGTTGGTCTCAAGCTCGTTGCATTGCCAAGGCCACTAACCCCCTGTCGCATTTGCGTCTCTGGCCAATGCGAATAATTGCCGAAATGAGATTGATCTCCCAGGCGTATCGATAGTGGAGATAAGCTTGCCTGTGCTCGCCGCACGACAACCACTGAAAGGGCTATACTCCGGGCACAGGGGCGCGAATCGGAGCCTGTTTCCACTGTCTGGTGGGTGATTAGTCATTTTGGTCGCCAGATCACCCATCCCAGCAATGCTCATTAGACTGCGGCACAGGGAGTATTTCTGCTTTTGGCAGTTGTGATCGCCGCACTGCAAATAGCATGTTGCTTCTGGACCCTAACTGTGCTCCATCATGTTTTGAATAGGCACGACTTTGCTCACCGCTGTTATGGGCCGAAATCCAGGGGAAAGGCCTCTGATGAGAGCAGGTCGGCAAGTTCAGCTGCGTGCCATATCTTGGACGCATCAAACATCCAATCGTCCATGGGGAGCAGACCTGGGAGGACTGGCTTGTCGATACTTCGAGCAATAGCAACCTGACCTGTATCAATCTCCTCGGAAATACTCGTTGCCAGCGAGTATGCGACATTCACATCTTCCGATATCTCATTCAGACGCGCCAGAGCCTTCCGAGTGACGCTCAGCTTGCTCTTCGCAAGGTCTCTGAGACAGTCTTGCGCATGTGCAAGTGACAATATGACTCTATACGCCCCCATACTTGGATTTGCAGCCTGTCGCTTCACGATCGGTGCCACCCGTGAGGAGGCATCGATCAGAAGTAGAGTCAGGTATGTGCACCACGGACGTGCCTGTTGCCTGAGACTCAGATAGCCGACGGCGGAGTCGATCGTGTCGGAGGCAATTGTCTCGGTTGAATGGCTGTCGTTCTGCCCCTGCAGCGGCACCATACTTGTGCGGGGACAAGAACGTATGAAAAGTCGAAGCATGTTGATCCTCTGCGAGCAAGTCAGTACTTTTGAGCTGGTAGGGTGGAGTCGTCACGAAAGTATACCTCGAAAATAATCAGCCTTAGGCGAATATAGCGGTCCGTCTTGCCGGCTCGAGTTAGGTCCAGAAGAGACATATGCTTCCACAAGAGAGTTGGTGCTAATGAACTCTCAAGGCTCACCAGCAGTGCGTCGAGTGCACCGATCTCCTCCACATCGACAGCACGTGCGGTCCCGAGGCTGCAGCAATTGTCCCAGACCCGTGTTGCTATCCTGCTCCACCGAGTGTTGAATTGCAAGTATGCGAACCAGTCCTCGGTGGGCTCAGACGGACGCGGCCACTGATACACACCGAGAGCAGCGTCTAGTTCGATGTATCCGAGATTGAACACAGGGTGTGAAAGGTAGCACCTCAGGGATTCTGAGCTGAAGTCTTCCACAACGAAGTCAGTGTCGTTTATGAGGTACGGTCGACCAGTCCTAATCGATACTCGTCGGTCAATGATATAAACCATCCACCAGAGCATACGGCGGTATTCTCTCTGGCGGTATGTCAGCTGGCCCCATGACCCCTCATTGTTCAAATCCAATGCGAATGCCAGCTCCACAGCAACAGCCTTCGCCATCGACATCGCTTGGCTCTTTTCCAGCATAGTATAGTAGAGGACCTCGAGAATGTGGACCCGCAGCACGTCGAGGCAGGGTTCGTCACTCCATGCATATTCTGCCAGGAGCTTGCGACTCTCCAGATGCCATTCCGCGGCAGTGATAGCGCAGTCTTCCTCATCATGCAATTCACCCGATGCTGACCGACCGCCTAGGTATGTGGCGAGTGCCAGGATGGTGCAAGTAAGAGCCGCGAGGGACAGATACTCTGGTCTCTTGCGAATCCAGGTCGTTCGGCCGTGATAGGCGCAGTACCGGCTGAAGAACAGGGACAAGCGCTGGTAAAAGTCCGCACGGTCAATGCAGGGATAATAGATCTCTAGTTCGTCGAAACAGTATTTCAACAGGAAGCCGAGGCTCTGGTTTGGCTGTAGTCTGGAAGGAACGAAGTCGCAGGTGGCATTGCTGCCCGTCGAGGAACGCGTGCCCGTGGCTGCACTTGGGAATGGCGAGGGCTCGTTTGCCTCTGAGAGGTTGGTTGTTGGCCCAGGTGGATGAGCCGATGTCGGTGTGTTGGTTCTCAATGCCTGCACTATCTCGCGCCTTGCGCTGTATTGCGCCGTCAATACGGAGTACTGAGTCTCCAAGTCGTCAAGATGGCTTACCGTGTAAGGGCTTCCAGCTTTGACTTTGCAGAGTCACCTGTTTGACTCTGCGTCGTCTGCCGTCTGCGTCGTTGAGATGTTGCGAATCCGCATACGCGACCTCTGCTCGATGAGCAGTTTCGGCAAGGGAGTTCGCCGCTGCACTATATCACAGCGTCAACAAGCATTCTCTTGCTCTGAGTAGTAATGACTTACTCGGATTTTGCGCCTTCTGCATTCGGTGCTAGTCGTTGAAGCGTCCTATCAGCACGGCGTGAATGATTTCTGGTGAACACTATATTTCCTCACCAGGCCTGACTTGCATATTTCATTCTCCGACCATTGTGTTGGTGGTGTGGCGAGTCTGGGTGGGTGGACGACGCGCAATATTGATGTGAATAGGCTGAAGTTGGACTTTCCATGGCTGTACCGGGTCTCCCCAGAACCTCCGGACTCGTCAAAGGGTAACCTCAACTTATCGATGAAAGCAGACGGACCGATACAAGCGGGATCAAAGTGAAGCGGTGCTACCGCCACTCCAGGCCTTGCAGTTCAAGTACATAACCGCCTAATTAGGCGAGCGTCCTCCCGCACCACCGACCCCGCGCAACTTTCACTTTCGCTTCATCTCGACCTCACTCTACACTTCACAGTTCATTCCGCAGTACTCCGTACAGTCACATTCGACCAAGCTCTACATTGACCTGGTCACGATACGTTTAGATGTTGGCTTGCAGGAGATGGCGTTGCTGTCAACAAACCATTCAGTGGCAAGCGATCTACCATTCTGCTCCAAAGACTTCCGCGTTCCATGGCGCGGCCATTGGGCGATCCAGCTTTGCATTTATTGCGGCATTCGAATACCATATCAGCAGTGACCATACACTGAGCATTGCTCACAACATCGCCGAGTTGACAGCGGAACACCTATTCTACGAACGTTTCCTCCGGTCGATCAAGGCAAAGGCCAAGCTGCAACAAGTGTTTGTGCACGCGGCTCGCCTCCGTCACATCCTTGTGCGCAACAACCGCTTTGAGGATTTTGCCTTCATCGAAGGCCAGCTCGTCGACTTCTTCGCTGCCACCGAGTTGGCAGTCTCCAAGGCGGTCACACGTGGTGCACTCAAGGCGTTTGTCAATGTGATCACCAAATACGCAGCAGGTAAGTCCCCCGGCAGAAATGGACTCGTTTTCCGTCCTCAAATGTACTGGTTCGTCAAATCAGCATGCACTGACGCGCATTCGCAGAACATCCCAATGTGCACTTCAAATCCTTTGTCGTTGCCGCTAGCTATGCTGCGGTTGACCAGCTTCGTCTCTTGCTGAAGCAAAACAAGGATCAAGAAGCGCTTGATCTTGCAACTTGCACCTTCAAGTTCTTGATGGCTCACGAAGGCCTCGATGACCCAACCGAGATCCGCCTTGGCTTCCAGCTGTGTCTCATGACGGCAGGTCGCGGCGAGTTTGCGTACAAGAGCAGCAGCCCCCGGGTCCAAGGTGAGATGCTTGCATTGTCCCGGCAGATCCTAGGCGAGGTGTTCGATATCTGCAAGAACAACAACATCAACATTGCCCGGGCCCAGCTCTCTGAATTGAACGAGCTGATCAGTCTCGTTGGCGACCATCGGGATTATGGCCGCCTTGCCTGGCTGCTGAATACCCTTTGGACATCCCGGGAAGGACAGAGTGCTTGGCCTCAAAGTACGATCATTGACCTGGGATCGCGGCTAGTGCAAGCAGAATTCAGTGCTGGAAACCACAAATCAGCCATGCGTCTCTGCGAAGACATTGTGTACAACATCAAACGCGTCCATGGCTCAAAGAACCCGCGGCTCTACTCATACTGGAACTTGCTGGCCGAGCTTTACACTGGATACGCCAATCATGTCCTAGCTGAGGGAGCCAAACAGGAGCCAGCCAGCAAAAAGCTGACGGAGCAGAACGCTCTCTTCTACCTGCGGAAAGCCGCCGATATCCACCTCACAGCGCTCAAGCAGTTGGTTGATGCAAATGCCACCGATGCCAGTGATGATGATGATGACTACGAAACCATCACCAGCTTCGATTTGGCGCATTCTCCGGCCTCCACCAATGGCGCTGACAGGACCGGTGCGAGGCTCAACGGAGACCACAAGCATGTCCGTGCTTTCCGCAACCGGGAGGAGGAACTTGAGACGGTCCGACGACATCTCAGGCTGCTCAAGTTGGCCTTGCAACGAGCCGGTGGCTTCTCCAAGCCGCTCAAGGAGTATGAGAGCTTGACCCAGAAGATCGCCACTCACTACGGAGAAGACCTCAAGCTCAAGGACGTCGAGTGGAGTGCTGCGAAGTGGAAGGTTGACGGCTTGCCGCTGGGCCAGGCCGAGTCGCAGAAGCAGGACGGTGTCTTCCGAGTGCCTGCACACTGGGAGATTCATGTGGCTTGACTGTGAAAGAAGTGATTGCTGGGGAAATTATGTGGAGAGGTGTCCAGAATGATCAGGCTATGCACTAATCAGTCGCTCTCGCACTGGTATCAAAACACAGCAGAGAGGTTACGCTCACTAACATCGACTTGTTACACCGGGTCTTCTGGGAGACGTGGTCCGCGACTTTGATGGGTGCAATATCTCAAAAGCAATTTGTATGTATCAGCACTAACCGGGCACACTCGTTCACCCATTGATGAAATATAGCACATTGGCAGTGTTGTCTGTGCTCTCGTCGATGGGCTTCTTGCATGATGAGTACTGTTGCCCCTGATAGATATGCCTTTCCGACCGTGTTCGTGTGGACTCTGCCAGTATTGGTGTTGCAGGTGTAGTGCTGTGACATATCTTCTCAACCCCATCGTGAGGCCGTCGGTGTCTGCACTACAGAAGGGTGCCCCGTACGGTGGTGATTGTGGGCTACCACAGTAGGGGGAGTACTGGTCACCTACTGGTTTTCCCGGTCAGGTGCTTGTGGTGCTGCACTTAAACTAACGTAGTGGCTGGTGGCGTGAGGGGTAGGCGTGGGAACTTCTCCTTTCCTGGGGTTTGGGCGCCGCTACCCAGTCACCTAGGCTAGCCGTTAGGGGTGGGTTTTAGGCGCAAGGGCCCGTACGGAAGCCAAGTCTACTCGTACCAGTACCTGCAAAAGGTAAACCCCGGGGCCCCCGGTCGGAGGCCGCCTAAGTTCAACTCACTCGTCAGCGGATACGAAACCTTGACACATCTCCAGCAAGTCTGTCGTCCTCAAGCTTTCCAAGAGCGCACACTATTATCAACTGATAGGAGATTCGTCTTCCCCGCAACGACTGGTTCTCCCACCTTACTGGAGCGTGGAGAGCATTGATGATACTGCGTTCAAAGTGATTCCAGCCGGATCATTCGGGGGCGAAGTGGCGGAGTCGGGCGCACAACTGAGACCACATACTGATGCGACACTGGCGAAGAGGAGGATTAAGGAATCAGGATCCCACGGCCGGCTCCTCTGTACAACACCCCCGAGATATAAAGGAGTTGGACAGGAACTGTACTGCCAGGCGCTGGCATGTTGGTCTGATCCCAACACGCTCCCAATACTCGGCAACAACATCACGGATCGAGCAGTTCAGTTCGTGATGCACACGTCATGCCATGCTCTGGATCGCCGCTGTCGTGTGAGGAGGGTTTGACAAAGTCTTCTAGAAGAATACCATTCCAGCCGAGGTGAGTGTATGGACAGGACAAAGTCCGATTCAAGCCTGCGCTCATTGGACGTCGTCGAATTGCTCTCGCTGGCCACATCCCCGCCGGCTCTCGCAACCAGCTCCTCCAGAGGGCTTGAATGGCCTGGGGACGGCGGCCTTGGCTGATTCCGCCGAGCCTCGGCGTGCATAGGCGCTGACCTTCGACAGGAGAAGAACGCGTCGAGCACTCTTGTTTTCGCTAATCTTCCTATCTCCCTCCGCTCCTCCTCCACACCATCGCCGGCTCAAAGCGTGGCCATTGCCTCCCGCCCAGTCTTTTATCTCTTGGTAGTAACCTCTTGGCCTGCCCATGCGGTCAATGCCTGCCCTTCCTGGTAAGGTGGACTATCTTTCACAATGGCCAAGCAGTGGCCATGCTACATCACAGATCCCACTTGCTTTGAGCTTGTGGGAGCTCCGACCAGATTGACCTGGGCGAGTCGACACACCAAGAGATAGCAATCTGGAGCTGCTCGAGCCGATCAGTTTGCCTTAACTAACCGACATGACGGCGGGTGCTATTAAAGATCGCAGATGTCACGTCCCTCTCATGGCTCGACCTTGTTTATATTTCTGCCCCGGGTCTGACGGGTCGCGTCTGTCGTGATTGCAGACCAGGTTCTTTCTCGACCATCGTGTCGCCCTTGTTCGTCACTGCCGTTCCCTCATCGATTTGTCCTTCTCCTCCACAAACATGGCTTCCGTTGAGCCAAAGGGGTATCCCGCTACCCAGGAGTCTCCCCACGACTCCGAAAAGGGTGTGCACGTCGCTTCACCAGGACATGGCGATGTGCCAGCGAACTTCCGCGAGAGCGATTTCCTGACACGGAATGGCTTGAATGCGAAGAGCTTCCGGAGACGTATGTGATCCGCACCAGAGACGATTGGCAGACTGTCGTTGGGACCAGGCCCTCGTCGCTAACAGCCCTCGCAGGTGACTGGGGAACCGGGACTGAAGAGCTGGACCGCTCGATGAAGTCGCGACATCTGAACATGATCGCCATTGGAGGTTCCATTGGTGCTGGTTTCTTCGTCGGATCTGGAAGTGCATTGACTCGTGGTGGTCCGGCCTCGCTGCTCATCTGCTTCCTCATCACCGGCGTGATGATCTTCAACGTCGTCTACGCTCTCGGCGAACTCGCCGTCATGTACCCGATCTCTGGTGGCTTCTACACGTACTCGGTTCGCTTTGTAAGTCGCGGTGGATCACCATTTTAGACGACAGCGACAACGCGGTGCTGATAACTGCGACAGATTGATCCTTCCTGGGGTTTCGCCATGGGCTGGAACTATGTAAGTGCTGGCCTGCGCAATTGATATCGGGCGTCGTCTGATTATAGTCCAGGTGTTCCAATGGGTCATCGTCCTGCCGCTCGAGTTGACCGTCTGCTCTTTCACGGTACAGTACTGGAATCGAGACATATCGGTGGCAGTATGGATTACCATATTCTGGGTCTTCATCATCTTTATCAACGTCTTCGGCACCCTGGGCTACGCCGAGGAAGAATTCGTTTCTTCGGCATTCAAGCTGGTCATGACCGTCATCTTCATGGTGGTCGCGATTGTCTTGATCTGTGGCGGTGGTCCGTCCAGTGGCATATACGATGAATACTGGGGCGCACGCCTGTGGTACGATCCGGGTGCCTTCCAGAACGGATTCCGTGGCTTCTGCTCCGTGTTCGTCACCGCCGCATTTGCGTTTGCCGGCACCGAGCTTGTCGGAGTGAGTGTCACCCGTGTTACGCTCTCTTTTTGAGCGGACGAAAAGGTTAACAGATCCACAGTTGGCTGCCGCCGAGTCCGAAAACCCAAGCAAGAATCTTCCCGGTGCCATCAAGCAGGTCTTCTGGCGTATCACGCTGTAAGCTTCTATTCAAAGAACCCCCGCTCGGGCAGCGCGTACTGACTGGCGATCGCTAGCTTCTACATTCTCGGCCTCACCTTTGTGGGTCTTTTGGTCTCCTCCACCGATGAGCGACTCCTCAACGCCGCCAACCCGTACGCCGACGGCACCTCTCCATTCGTGCTAGCTCCCCTCGATGCCGGCCTCATCGGCTACGACAGTGTCATGAACGTGGTCATTCTCGTCTCGGTCGTGTCCATCGGCGTCTCCTGCGTGTACGGCGGATCCCGAACATTGACCTCGCTGGCCCAACAAGGCTACGCGCCCAAGCTCTTCACATACATTGATCGATCCGGTCGACCGTTGCCATCCGTCACCTTATGCCTGGCATTCGGTGCGCTCGCCTACATTGTGCTTGCCAGCGAGGGCAGCGTCGTGTTTGACTGGCTGCTCGCGCTATCTGGTCTTGCCACCCTGTTCACATGGGGTTCCATCTGTGTTGTGAGTGCCTCAAACAGTCCCCATCTATCCCCAGTGCGGTAGCCATGCTGACGAACTCGAAATCCGATAGGCTCACATCCGTTTCCGCGCAGCCTGGGCCGCGGCCGGGCGCACCCTTGACGAAATCCCGTTCCAAGCCATCGGCGGTGTGTACGGATCGTGGCTCGGTCTGTTCCTCATCTTCATCGCGCTCGCGGCGCAGTTCTTTGTCGCCATCGCGCCTCCCTTCACCTCGGATCTCGCGAGCGCCGAGGACTTCTTCAAGGCATACCTGGCCTTGCCCGTCGTCTTGTTCTTCTGGGCGGTTGGATATCTGTGGAAGAGACAGGGATTCTTGAGGGTCGACCAGATCGACCTCGACACGGGACGCAGGGAACACGATTGGGATACCATCAACGCGTACCGCGCCAGGGTGGCGACCTGGCCGTGGTGGAGGAAGGCGTTCAGCATGATCTTCTAGCGGAAGCTTAGGCCCAACTCATGTCTATCTATTGGAGACACTTAAGGCCTCTGATAGAGAAAAGGGGACGAGGTATACAGCTAGCATAGCATTAAAGAGCGGAGAAACGCAGAGTACCCTATAGTGTACACAGCCAGTACTGAGGCGCGAGCGTGTTGGTCACTGCGGATATACTCCGTGTAGAGCGCAGACGGGGGTACGTGTGTCTATACTTCCTACCTCGTACTCCTCGTAGTCGTACGGAGCAATTATGAGCTTCGACGAATTCTGGGACGCACTCTCACACCTACTGACCATGCATCGCGTACATATATCAACCAAGGTATGTATAAAACTTCAGGGCCTCTGCTGTGGTCCGCTCTACACAGTACACACCATGAGTACTCGTACCTCGTATAGCCACTATGCGGGACCGTGAACACGCTCACACGGTACGGAGTAATCCATAAGGGAAACACCATCTCATGCTCGCAATCGGATCATTCCGCAAGCAAAGGGAAGGGCAGGGATGAACTAAATCCCTTTGAGCACGAGGGGGTCACCGGGGGTGGAATCCAGGGCACCAGGCTGGGTGACTGGGTGCCAGGACGGGCTGTGCTTGGCTGACGTCACCGTGCCCGTCTATGGCAAGCTAGGATGTAAATGGATTAGGTACTTGTTAGCGAACGCTATTGACCCCGCATTTATGGACGATACTGCAGAGTACACTGTCACACAGTACGTACGAAGTACTTTTATGGGCGATACCTTTAACTGTAAACAACAAAGAAAGACTGCTAAAGTACTTCGTACTATGTACTTTGTACGAGACCATCGACTCTACCCTTGACTTGGCTTGTACCTAGTTTGTGTACTCAGTACTTGCCTAGATTATGTACGCTTACACCAAAAACTAGGTACAGGTCTTCGAGAAAGCGGCGTGAAGACGACACCCCCGGTCCTTGGACTAGATATTGTGTCCTCATTACACCTCAGTCATGGCATCTACCGACTGCTACTCCGCTGACGCAGAATCTAGAAGCAGGACGTTGTATTGTCGACGACATGCGTCGCATTCCAGACCTTGTGCTGAACGGGCGATAAAGTATACACCCTCGATACATGCTGGATGGATTCGAGTCATTTCTTGTACGTATCTCAACCTCGCGGCTAGCGGCTACAGGCTCCAGCGACAACAACAGCTCCAGAGGATCTCCCTCGACGACCCCTTCACTTGGGTTCCTGCACCTGGATCTGAATCGAGCTGTAATCTAAAGACCGTACTATTTTCCGAATTAACGACCGTCTTCCAATCTCCGGTGCTCCCCTAGATTCCTTATGTCTTGATCGACGCCCCTCATACCACTGCACCGGGCTGTCTTTGCGTTCAGGTTTTGCCCTCCGGCGAGAGGGCGCTCCAGTATATGGACACCCGCCTTTCAAAGCACGCCTTGCAACTCGACGCCCTGGCAGAACTGGATCCTGGCCGAAAATGTCCGCCGCAGGATTCCGATGTCCTGTTTCTTCGAAGGCTTGTACAACACTTGGAAGCTCGGGTGGTGCACGCACTGGCCGGTCGTTCGCGCACTTCCATTCCACGCACAGAGCCGTTTTCATCAGGCCTGACTATGGCCAACTAGGAGCGGGGAAGAATGGAGGACAGCCTTAACTGCTGGAGATGGACGAATTCCGGGGAGGGGACCGGGACCGGCACCGTTATCGACACGACGGCAGTGAATGCAGGAACTGGGATCATTGAACGAGTTCACGTACAAGATTCGCAAGAGCGCCGTTCGACTCTAGACTTGATTTCTTCCAGCGCGGACTTTCTTGGAGACTCACCAGGGAAGAAGTCAGCGGGAGATCGATCAGCTCGGATCCACCCGAGAATGGCCTAGGCCTAGACCGTTGATCACGATCATGTCGTTCGGCGTGTCGAAGACCTAAGGTGAGTTTGGCAGCACAATGGGTTGGCTGAGGTGGACGGTAACGTAAATAGGGCAAGGATCTTCTCTTGCTCCTAAGGAGTGCTTTTCACCAGAGAGTGCGTCCGTGATCAAGGGAGGCTAAAGTGCCCCTGAGAAGAGTGGAGTAACAACGCATGCATGCATGGCCTTGGACGCCAATCCTTCCGAATCGACTCATTGGGATCGTATCCCGCATGATTTCCCGGATGTGCTCATCCCGGGTGTATACTCTTGAAGTACTACACCTACGATTCTGGCAAGCGAAGAACGATCTCATCCCGAGCGGATAACCTCATTCATGCTCATCGTGTGGCACAGTCACCAGACCGCCATCATCGATATCACAATCACATTCGGAGTACTCCAACGCACATCCCGTAGCTGGTTGAAGAGTGCGGCACCACCGAGCGTGGAGAGTGAACAGTAAACAGCGAACAGTGAGCACCGGTATCGCATATTGTCAATCGTATATTTCGACTCCATCATCCTTATGCACGTCGGACTCCACCTATACCGCGATCCCGCAATCTATCACGATATTCTGCCCCGTAATCGACTTACTCAGCACCAACGTCTTGATCTGATCCGCCACATCCTCCACCGTCGCCGTGCCCTTGAGAGCCGACTTTTCCACCGTAGCCTTGACTTTTGATTCCGGGAATTGATTACCCCTGTGTGTGTGTGCGCGCGCGCGCCCGACGTTAGCTTCCCTGGATATTGTACTCCGTACACAGGCTGCTTTACGCACCAACGCAGGGGGGGAAAGGGCTAACAACCAACTTACCACTCAGTCATCATCAACCCGGGACTCACACTATTACAGCGCACCTTGGGCCCACAGATCAAGGCCAGCCCTTTGGTCAAATGGATTTCGGCCGCCTTGGTCACGCTATAAGGCAACGAGCTCCCGCTGGGCCTCACGCCCGCGAGACTGGCGACCGTGACGAAGGCGCCGCCTCCTGCCTGTTCGGCCTTTTCGAGATGCGGTTTCGCCGCGTAGAGCAGCCACAGATGCGACTTGACGTTGACGTTGAAGCACGTGTCCCAGTCGGCCTCGTTCACCTGCTGGTCCAGGTCGAAGAAGTTGGTCAGCCGCGTCCAGCCGGCGTTGCTGACCACGACGTCCAGCCGGCCCATGGTGGCGACCGTCTCGGCCACGAGGCGCTCGATCTCGCTCCGCTTCGAGACATCGGCTTTGATGGCGTGGAAGCGAGGTGTCCCGCCCTCAGCGGTAGAGGCAGAGGCAGAGGGAATGGCCGACGCTTCGCGGATGACTTGTTCGGCCTTTTCGGCGCGGGAGTGATAGTTCACGACGACGCGGAAGTAAGGGGCCAGGGCTTTGACTGTGGCGGCGCCGAGGCCGGCTGAGGAGGCCGTCACGAGGGCGACTTTGGCGGACATGGTGTTCGTTGTCTGTGCCGGTGGTGATTAGATATGATGTTGCGTCCTGGAGCGAGGTGACTGATTGAAGAGACGGCAAGGTCGAGGTCGTGGTGGGAGAGTGACTTATTGAGTGTGAGTGATGAATCAAGTGAAACTTCTTCCAAGTCCTTTTTGATTATCGGAAGCGTTCGTTGAGTCGAGGGCGGCTGATGCTGGTCCGTTCACGGAGCACCTACGGAGTATCGCCCGGTGTTGAAGGCGGAATCGTTCCGGTTCGATCTCGTGGAGTCTTCGGCAGACGTGGGGGATGCAGACGCGGCAGATCCTGGATTGTGGGGTATGATCACGACCCTCATGGCTCGATACGAACTACGACAACCTTCGCAAGACCATGCCATGTCGGTTCAGTTCCATACCTCACGGGCTTGGTTGGCGTCCGGGCCACTTGATTAGCCTGGTCAACTTGGGCGCTCGCAAATCGAGTCGGAGTATGTTATGGCATTGCGTCGCGGCACAGCAACGTGTTAGCCAGTATTCCTCCCCTTGAATCACTACATGACAGCCGCATATATTCTCACATGGGCTGCTGGACTAGCTATCTCGCCTCTACTGGCTGTTCAGTACAGGAAGCGATGCATGTAATTATAGTACCCCGTACACAGGAAGGTCAACGAGCGGTGACTTCCCATGGGGCCAGTACCTTCAGGGGCGACAGCCTCGCGAACTGGGCCAGCCACACGATTGCGCATCAAGTTCCACGCCCTTCTGGACGTGAGGGTAGCGACGGCAGCCCGCCATCTCTTGCGAGTCACAGGTCGTTATACACACTTTCAAGCTGATATTCCGGGTTTCGTTCGTACTGTCCGCCGCTTCTTCTCCCCTGGTATTCGCCACACGAGGTGCAGTGGGGCGGTGAGAGTCGTGATCCCAGCATCGCAAAAAAGAAACCACGGAAGCGCTTCGGGGATACTTAACAACAGAAGGCACGGTGACCTGCGTCCTGGGCCCAGGCTAACCAGGATCTAGTGGTTCATGTCGGTATCAGGCACGGCTTCTCCCTCTGGCTCCTTGATGAGGCTCCCTCTTGCCGATAGTGAGGAGCTATCATCGCCGACTAGTGTGCCTGTTGAGCACAGCATTCCGTATGACAGCTGACGGTGAGTCAGAAGGCGGGCGACCTGGTTGGCGGTAGCCGCATGTAACAGGTACAGCCCACTTCTGACGGGGTCCTCGAGGAAACCTACCTCGACGTTGACGGCTTTCATGACATTGCTGGTGCCAGTAGGGTAGACTTGGTCCAACCACAGTTGCCTGCGCGCAAAGATCACCGAGTCATCAGCGTCGTCGGGACTGTGTCGCCAGTATCATGGGCAAGGCGGAACCTCGGGAATCATGAGCAGGTGCTCGAGTCAGTGGAAAAGGTGTACGCAAATACAGTCCTGGTGCAATCCGGCAGGACACCCGCTTCAATGGATAGTCATATCTCAAGAATAGTAAGATGCCAATGTCGCACAACCACGCGGCGCTTAGGGAGTCGACCTTGCTGCGCCATTCTTCCACGAGCAGTTACCCAACCATCGTCGTCCTGCCTCAAGGCGCACCTGCATGACCGCCTTGGCCGATTTCATGTTCACTCTTGATCTCTTCCCACTCCCCGCTACAGCCGTTCGCATCAGCAGCAAGTCTCAGTTCCCAGGCCTGATTTCGCATGCCGATAACCTCCGTCTCCAACGCTTGGATCTTCTTATGCAGCTCCTTCAGCTTAGCGTCTGAGTTGAACTTCTCTTCCATCTCTGCGATGTCTGTACGCGCCTGCTGCTGTATCTCCTTGGACTTGGTGGCCGCCAACTTCAGAACAGCTGTGCACCACTCACAGTCGGCTGTGAGTGCTGGGTGAGAATCTCTCGAATGGGCGGCATTATGTTGGACGATGAGTTTGCCACAAGACAGGCGACCCCAAGGCTGAGGCTTGTCGCAATGTTTCCACCTGGAGGCGTTCCCGGGGATGAAGATCAAGGCGCGGATGGGCTCGTGGTGAGGGTAAGGGCAGGTGTCGAGTTTGAACCAGCACATTTTGGCGGGATCGTGGGGGAACAGCGGTAGAGGATAGGGTTCGCGTAGCTGTGATGAGATTGCAGAATTGCCGGTCGGTTGATAGGTAGAACAGGAGGATGACCTTCTGTGAGCAGGAAAGAGCAAATATACTCGCAATGAGTCCGAGATGGAGGTTTGCCTGATTGCTGCCGTGAATGAATGCGCCGATCTGGCTGTGATGTTGTGAATGGATAATTTTGTTCAGTCTTGTTAAGTGAAAGCATAGTTGGCAATGGTGAGTGAAAAGGAAGAATCTCTCGTGCATCCCACTGCCGCTGCAGAACGAAGCTGCCAAAACCGCACCTTCTATTCCATCCGATGACTCCAGGCAGGCGTAGCTTCATCAACCGCTTTTGTCTGGGCGAAAGAAGCACGGCACACGATGGGTTTTGTCGAAATCAGCAGATCCGGTGCGCCCACAACTCTTCAAAGTGACACGTTGCTTGTCACCTGCGATTGACAATTGTCACAGATACAAACAATCATCTCTCCACTCAGCATAGACCCCGGGCTCTTCTCTTCAGCGCCTTGCGCCTCTCTTGGATATGACCACGTCTATTCATGGTATTCTCAGTCCTGGAGTAGCGCCAACACATCAACACCTCAACGAGCGAGGATTGCGAGATCACATCAAGGACTGAGGGAGCAAACCCAATAGTTATCCAAGTTCCACATCCTTATGCCGGCAATTCCACATAGTCAACAACAAACATTCCGTCACGGAAGACATCGGTCTGGGAAACGGCAACCTGCAGCCCTTATCTCCACCGAAACAAGCTGCGACAACCTACAATCGACTCTTCAGATCCGCCATCAACCGCGCCAATTCCTGCGTTCAGGCTTCTGGACCCCAACTTTCTTATCGTCGTTTGAGGTAGCGACGATGTGCTACGCAATCAAGATTGTTCACTTCGGCTGCCTTGGAGGGGATCAACATGCAGAGTATGCCGTGGTGAGATGCAAACCCGGGCTGGAGTACATAATGCTCATGCCAATCAAGGAGACGTGTAAAGGCACCAAGTCGGTGGAGGACTGGAGGATGGACCCATGTCGGTTTTGCAAGGAGTACATGGAGAGCAGGAGAGGCTTAGGACCGTCGAGTGGTCGCTTCCGCACCATGTCCCTGCCTACAAACGCACCCACAGGAGCAGAGGAGAATGACGTGTCGACCGACACCGAGGGGCACAGCATCTGAGCGAGAGTTTCGTGGTGACAGACACATCAGCGGCCGGAGTCTGAGAACAAGAACAACAACCATGACCCTGCGCGTGGCCGTGCTGGAATGGGATTGGCTCTTGGTCCAGTTGATTCTCAACAAAGAGCTTGATATGGTGTGATTTTGCGTCCTGTGTTGATAGGAACATGAGTCTTGGGGTACGTCTCTGCAACCGGGTCGTCGATTCGAGTGGCCGGCCTCCGCCGAAATAGCTATTCGTCGCTGGTGTAGACAGAATCCCTTCATATCCTCTCGCTTATCCAAATAGCTCCGCGACATCCGTATCGAATGACGTCTGTCAAGGGCTGGTAAGGCTGCGCTTCCTTCGCATCATTCTCAACAGCATGGTCTAGATGTTCAAGCTCCTCATCCCGGATCCGCTTAATCTCGTCAATCAACACTTTCAATTCTGGATCAAGCTCCTCGCCCTTCTCTTTGAGTTCCGTCATCCACTTGAACAATTCCCTCACTTGTCCATTGTAATGGTTCCCAATTTCGGTTTCCACGGCTTCTGTGCATGCCATCGCCGCTTCCCTGCCCATCATACCGGTTGTCCACCCCAACACCGTTGCGGCGGCCTGCCAGACCGGATACATTGCAGTGGGGCGAATGCGGTGCTTCGCAAGGAGTTCGTTGAAGACTTTGAAATGGCCGGCTTCTTGGTCATACATGTGTTTCATGAGCGGGCGCAGGTGCGGGTGTGCCGTCACTAGGGGCGGCGTCTGGGCAGTGTAGATGAGGGTCGCTGCTAGTTCACCAGCCTGATTTACACGGAGCGCACGATCGAGGAACTGCCTCTGCTCTTCCGATAGGTGTGTTCTCGGCTGGGTAGTCTCTGAGGGTGCTTCCGCGGGAGCATTGTGCGTTGACGCATGACGGAGAGGGATCTGTATGGGAGACGTATGCAACGTCTTGCTATGCTTCGCTAGGCCAGAGAGACCTCGAACGGATGTTCTAACTATCATCTTTGCCCCAAGCTGACCAGCAGCAACTACACAGCCTGGTATCATGCGACGAAGTGGTGATGTCTTGCACGAGTCATGTACCTAGAAGGTCTGCCGGATGCTGAGTCATGAACATTTTCAACGACTCTCACCCAACTCTCTTTCTCCTGTCAACAAGCTGCCGCCATTTTCATGGCGACCTTCGTCTTTGCCAGGATTGACATATACATCATTTTACAACCCTTTGGCCATCTGATACATTGACTTGTCCTCATTTGGCGTTCACCTAGACTAGACTTGGCTCAAGCGGACAACTGGAGGATTAGTTGACCAGCGCCCTTCTCGCCCGACCACCATCGACAACCAAAACTCCGACGCGACGACAGCCCGCATCCTAATCTGAGACAGTTACCTTCGCTCTGAAGAAACATTCTACCTTCATTCTTCGTACAATCTCGGTACAGGCGACAACCGCCTTGTCTTCAAGCGCAGTTCACCACGCCCTTAGCTTCAAGACTGCCTCATCAACATGGCCGACCTCGATGCTGAACTTCTTGCCCTTGCCGGAGGTGATTCCTCTGGTGAGGAGTCCATGCCATCATCTCCCAAAGAGAAATCTTCTTCACCATCCCGTTCCAAGAAGCAATCTCGAGATTCCCCTCCCACCGAGGCTCGCAAGGGCGTCGCTAAGACAGTCAAGAGAACGAAGCGCCGCAAGACGTATTCTGACGACGAAGATGAAGTGTACAGTGCCTCCTCTCACGGCACGATTGCTCGAGCTGACCGATCCGCGCATTCAGATCTTCGCTTTCACAACATTCCGAATCCGCCTCTATGTCCCAATCTGATTCGGAGGCCGACTTTGACCCTGACACAGACGACAAACCCATCTTCCCTTACGAAAAGCTCTACTACGATGCGGCAGACAAGGCCCGCATCGAAGCGAAGCCCGAAATTGAACGAGAAGAGATCCTAGCCCAGCGAAGCGAACAAGTTGAGCGTCACGAACAAGATCTCACACTCCGACGGCTAGTTGCGCAGCGTGCTCGCGAGGAAGCTAAGAATGCTGCAAAGAATAAGCGCAAGGCCAGCGCAGCAGATCTTGAAGACTCCCAAAGAAAGAGCACTCGGCAGCGTACAAAAGTCGGAGGTGGCCGTGTCGGCGAGGCCAGTAGTGCCATTGAAGCGTACAAACGTCAAAGAGAAGAGAAGAACCTGCGCGACGAACAGCGGAAGAGAGGCGAAACCGTAAGGAGACTAGCATCACCGAGAGACAACTTCAGCGATGCCGATGCAGAAGGCGAAAGCGACAATGACTACGATGATCGCCGATACAAGCGAAGATCACCCAGCCCGCCGAAGGACGAGCCTATTGCCGAACTGCAAGACATTCAACGGGCTCGTGTCGGTCGCGACAACTTTGCTCAGGTCTGCTACACACCAGGGTTCAAGGAAACCATCACCGGCTGCTACGCCCGCGTTTGCCTCGGTCCAGGCCGCACTCCAGGTGTCAATGAATACCGTCTCTGCCTGATCAAAGGCTTCGCCACCGGCAAGCCATACGCCATGATCGGCTCTAACGGCAGACCCTTTCCTGTTGACATGTACATCATAGCTGCCCATGGCAAAGCCGAAAAACAGTGGTCGTTCCTCGAGTGCTCTATGCAGAAATTCACAGATGCCGAATGGCTCCGTTACCGTTCTGTCATGGCAAACGACGACCTCAAGATGCCCACCAAGGCATTCATCAATTCGAAACTAGATCAGATTAACCGCCTGATCAACCACAGATTTACCGACACTGACATCTCAGCGAGGATCAAAGCGCAGGCAGATTTGACCGAGAAAATCACCCGTGCAGGAGAGAAGGCTGACCTCAGAGAACGAATTGCAGAAGCTCGTGCTGACGGACGAGACGAATTGGCCGAGGAGCTGGAGAACCAGCTAGCAGCCATTGTACCTATGAAACTGGCTTTCGGGACAAGCTTGGAAAAGAAGGAAACGTCCTATGTGAATCCGGAGCAAGAGAGGCTTGCGGAGCTGAATAGGCGAAATCAGAGATTAAACGCCGAGAATGTCAGGAAAGCGCAACTTGCGGAGATGAGGCAACGAAAGGCGAAGAAGACGCTTGCTCCTGGTATCGACGACTTGTTCGAAGGTGGTAGTGACATCTCCCGCGCGGGGACACCCGTCAATGGAGCAGGGACACCTAAGCTTGGGCCAACACTTGCTGCGGCGGCAAGCATTTCGCGCACGGCATCGCCGAACCCGCTCTCCCTCGCCAATGGCACACCTCGCAGCTCCACACCTCTCGCGTCGGGTGCTCTAAAGCCAGTCCTCTCGCAGCAGCAGCAGAAGAAGAAAGGAGGTCTTCCGACCATTCGCAAAGCGGCTTTGGATGATGAAATCATTGCGCAGATGGATCTGGGCATTGATATCGATATCGATGTTTGAAGTCAACGGATGTGTGTTGGACAGCCGTCATCGTTACCGTCATGCGACGACGCCCGGACAAGGGACTCCATTTTTGGACAGTTTGGGTAATTTCTTCAACACCAATCTGCCTCGGGCTGCTTGAGAACAAGTGTACCTACTAGTATAGGACCGAGACTGACATGGCTGGGAAGTCGGTCTGCATGGCGCATGCAACCATAGATGTCAATCACCTGGCAACGGGAATGCTACAACAACCTTTCAAATTATTTGACCTTGGTGTTTACCTCGGTGTTCCAGCTCACTCGACCCGCATATGTCGAGGCGTCCTTGAAACAAAGCGACAGAGACTCTCTCCGTCGTCGTGTATTGCCTGTGCTTGTACGGAGTACATTCCCCATGTTCCGATTTCTTCCCTTCCCGCCCGTCCCACAACCTTAGCGAAGGGAATAGCGTCCATGCGACGATTTCGACTGGCATCCTACAGTGCCTCAAGCGCCTTCAGAATGTGGCATGGGCGTCGAAGTGGTGATCGCATGGGAGACGATGGCTATCGTACAGCGTGCGAGCTCTTCCGATCTGAAATCCACAACCTTGAGTTGTGTTGATCTGATCAGGTGTGTGGCGCCCCTTTCGTCCTCACTCATTCCATGGCTCAAGCCAGATTATTCCCACGTGCTGACATGTGCTTAGTATACTCACTCTACGTACGTTAGACGTCCGGAGGTCTAGTGTCGCTCTCCTAACGGTTTCGCACCTGGCCGTTATCTTCCTCTTCATCGGATGTTTGATCATTCCTCCAGTTCTTATGGTATCACTCCTCTTACTCCCTCGCTTTGCACATCGATATCCAGTATATAGACTTATTCAGCTCCCTCTCTCCCTCCCTCTCTCTCCCCCCCCCCCCCCCCCCACCCCTCCGGCCCCGGGGCCCCCAACCTCTCTCTCTCTCACCAACTCACCTCTGGCTCCTCGGTCAAGTTCTTTTGCGCTCCCCTCCTCGTCCCTCTCACTCTTCGATTCGTCTTTCATATGTCTCGCTCGCTCGCCCTCTGTCCTTCGAACAAGCAGCCAGCTCATATACACGAACATACATCTCGCGAACCATCTTTCTGGGCAGTCTTCTTCACGCCAAACTCACCTTGCAAGTAAGTAAGCAACTCGGTCGAACTGCTTCTCTGGATACTTGTACTTTCTTAAAGTTTGAGACCACATTTGAGATTGCAGACTCCTTTGCACTCCTTCACCTCGACTTTATCAATTCAAATCAAAGAAAATCCCTCACCCCGTTGGCGTAACACGTTCCCTTTCCTCAGGGAAGGTTGACTGACACGGCAACAGAGACTTGGCTACCGGCTACTCCCTTTACATTCCTTCACGTCGACTTTATCCATTCAAATCAAAGTGGCGGATCGCTAACCCGTCGGCATAACCCGTTCCCTTTCCTCAAGGGGCCTTGGGGGGCGTGTGTCCCAACCTTTGCGCCGATACCGCCATATCCGGGCCCGGAGAAATGTGTCTCTACAATGCCTCGCCGTGCCGAGCGCACACGCCGCAACGTCTTCTCGGAGATCTAACGAAGCTGTCGCCCCGACTTCGCCGTCGCCAGGGTCTAGTCCGCTGTATATGGTACGAGGCCTTGGCTGAGGCTTCCCGCGCCGACGGAGGCCTCAAATTTCACGTCGACAAAGAATTCTGTCCGTACGTGGTGATTCGACACGATGATGATGACGATGATGATGATGCCATTCTGCAGGAAGACGTCGAGATGATGTCCCAGGCGGTGCTCTTTGGAGGGCTTACCCATGACGATCGCGGCTGTCCGCAGTGCTGGAGAGTAGTCTCGTCGAGGGGCTGGGTGGGGAGAATGCCAACGGACGGGGAGAAATTAAAGTATCTTTACACTGCGAGTTCGGGTCCCGCGGGAGGAGATCGAGGTAGCGGAAGTAGAGTTGATGACAGTGAAGTGCATGATAGTCTGACTAGGGCAGAAGGTAAGGCGTCGGATATGAGCGGAGACCGTGGCCGGATAGATAAACTAACAGGGCGGAGCAGATACAGACGGCAAGCGAAGTGGTGTCAAGAGGAGATGCGAAGACGAGGAAGATGTGGCATCGGAGCAGGGCAATGACGCAGAAGACGAGGCGGTCAGAAGCCTCGACGTAAGACCATTGAAGAAATCTCGACATGGAAGCACCGAGAGCAACAACCAATATGGACGAGACAGCGCCACGGCGTCCTCGCCTTGTTCGCGCCCACGAGACTCGTCTTCGCCCGCGAGCTCCCCGATCGTATGCAACTCGATCTCGGCACAGTCGTCGAGTTCCAAGTCAGGCTTTGCCAAACGGACAGTCACGACAGGGATGCCGGCTGTTGGCGAAGTCATTCCGCCGCGGCCGGACCAGATCAACAAAACCGAGTCGGAGACATATTCGATTACCCCTGTCGGTGATGGCAGGAACTGGAACCCCTTCAAAGACACGATGTTTGGGGGGATGGGTTTGAAATCGGCGAGTAGAGGGAAGAGGTGGCCACCTGCGCAAGAGCCTCTTCAAGCAGCGAGGAGACAAATGGAATTTGAACTCGGAGCAAATCTGAATCAGCTTTCAACAAGACCGTCCGCAGAGGCCGAGAATATCTTGACCGGCGCAAGAGGCCCCGCTGGCGGAGGAGCAAAGAAGCGGAGCGAATCGACAGGCCCCCTTGCGTCCAAGTCAAAGCCAATGTGCAGGATGGATCCTCTACCGGCTCGGCGCTCAGAATGCTTCCGGTGTGGCCACACCTTCACGCTTACAAGCATCAAAACCACTACCACCCCGGACGGCGGTCTGGTCTGCAAGAGGTGTTTCAAGGAACGTAAGAAAGCTACAAAGAAATTGGGTCAACACAAAGGAAGTCACGGGCATATCTCAACTTCAGCAGGCGCTGCTGATGAAAGGCACACACGGGAATCCACCGACAGTGGCCTGGGGGACGAGTGCGAAGGGCAACGTGATGGCAATGACCACGCTCGAGACGAGGTGTCCTCGAGCGATGGTTACGCCCCAGAAGAAATGTCCTCAAGCGATGGCAGTGCTGCAGACGAGGTGTCCTCGAGCAACACGTGCGACTCCGAAACCTCGAGCGGAGCCACGCTCAAAACGTCTCCACGACCTCATACCGATGGCGGTGAATACGAGATTTCCCGAGATGAAGTGACGAAGCTGCGGAGAGAGAACGCACGGCTCCGCATGCAATTGGCCGATGCGCTCGATTCGTACGCCGCCTCTGCTCGCAGAGAAGCAAGCCTGTTGAGGCAACTGAGCAGGTACGAAGGAGCTGGAGAGGGTGCTGGAGAGGCTCAAAATCACGCGGAAGTGAAGGACGATGACGAGGAACGAGAAAAGGAATGAGCGGACAGATACTGTCGCAATGCACGCCATCGAGGACGTGAGCGCACGGTCAGCGGCAGGTCTGTGCAGGGCTTGCGGAGGCTTCGTATGGAACTGAAAGAGGCACCAACAAGAGGTCGAAATGAGTTTGAGGGCGCTTTGCAGTCTCGATGAAGTGCAACAGACGTATAGCGGAGTTGGGAAAGTGCTATGCGCCCGTGGCAAAATCGACAAAGTGCCATGCCGGAGTTGGAAAGTGCTACTGCACAGTGGCCAATACTTGAGGGAAGAGTGAGTACATCAGATCCGACACAACGATCCGCCGCCACATACGCAGTAGCACTCGGCACATTCTGATATCGCGGATCTGCTGAACTGCAGTGCGATCCAATGCCTAAGCAGGAAGTGCTAGGTGCTTGCTTGCCGCTTAGAGCACCAGATAATGAGACAAGAATGAAATGAAATGAGAATGCGTGCCACACAGAAACCGTCCCAGCGAGGACTCATGGCTGCCATGTCACTTGAGACAGTGTCAAGCCGCGAGGATGAGACGATTTCGAAGATTCTGTAGCCCATTGACCTATATCCCGGAGGCTACAAGATCAAGGCAAGGTTAAAGTGAAAATGAAGTGAGGATGAAGTCAAGTCAAGTGAGGCGAACTTCGGGATACGCTAGCTATTTGCCTAAGACGTACCGAAGTATTCCTCCAGCGTCACATCAAAGGAAAGAGTCAGTTGACGGTGTAGCATAGGATACACATGAAGCTCCTGGTGCTGTGATGTGTCGACTAGAGGAGTCCGTCAGTAGACGACTCTGACCGAATCATGGGTCTTTGACAAGCGAGCCATTTGAGCAGGGTGGCAGTCCACCAGATGCTAAGCAGTTTGCTCTCCTGAGGCAGTTGGTAGCTCAGCCATGGCTTCCAGATCAGGGACATCCTCCCTTGCAGCTGGAACTTCAAACTGGCGTAGCCAAGTTCTCAGTGCGCCTGACGAGCAGAGATTCAGGTGAAGACTTTGGCAGGAGATCTGTAGTTTGGAGGTGATCGATGGCTAGAAGGGCAAGAATGGTCAACTCAACCTGTGCAACGCTTTCTGCAGGTCGTCTGGCGCGCTACCATCCTTTGTCATCAGTGCATTCGCGGCCGATCAACGATGTCGATTGCGGCTTAGCAGTGCTAGTACATGAACTTGAAGCACGCTCTCGTAACGTGCAGGAGTCTACACATTTCGCTTTCGGGCGGACTGAGAGTTACGCTGGAGTCGGCAAACAGTGAAAGGGACTAATCTGTACGGTATCGAGCGACGGAGACTGAACGTTCTCGAGAGTCAGGTTCGTCTTCGCAATGTGTGAACCGACAGATGGACCGGCTGGAGGCTCAGCAGACTAGGTTCAATTGTAGTTCCGTGGTCCTAGAATAGCGATATTCTGATAATAGACATCGCGCCAGAACCCCCCTACTCTCCTTCTCTCCTCTTGCTGCTGGTCCCTTGGCTGTCCCGCAGTGTGTCGGTGGGTACCGAAGTCCAGAAGACCTAAAAATTGGACCACGGTATCGATAATCCACGGAGTGCGCAAGACGGTAGGGAATCCAAGTCGACTTGGAATATGAACGAGTGTTCTTGGCTGTCTCCGCTGGACTCGAGTCCCCTGGAGAGCACCCTTGAATCCTTCGATTGCTGCTGTAAGCAAGTACAGCTACTCCGCAAACCGCATGCCCGGTAAAGACCACGCGATGTGAGGCTGCGGCGTCGGACAGAACTCGCCAAGAGAATAGCATGCATTGCATATCTTTTTTTTTTTCCTTTTGGGAGAAAAGCCCCATGCACTACTGTTGGCGTGCTCTGCTCGTGGTAATAGTATACCACGTTAGTGAGACGACTGCGATATACTCTGGCCCCAGAACAAGCTCCGATGAGCCGATGGGAAGAAGAGTACCGACGCTTGGTGAGGGCCGGAAGTGCTTGGGTGTTGGCGGTGTTCGTGGAGTACGAGGCGCTTGTAGTCGGGTGCCAACACTCCGTTGTCCGTCTTTTGTAAGAAAGAAGCGTGCACATCCCAACATTGCACTATAATAGGAAAGCTTTAACCGCTCTCGACCAGACACGAGAGGTTTTTGGTCTAGAGGGCTGTCAGCAACGGCGCTTGAGATGGCCAACTGAATTGCTTCTGTAAGGGCACGTTGACATCTTCAAGCGCAGAGAACGTGGGGATTCGGAGATTAAGATGTCGCAATTCAAGTGATAAAGCCCTAACCCTAGATGTCCGCATCCTGTCCGAGACTCTTACAGCTGTGAGGCATCGATGCTTTTGTTGACACAGGGGCCGTACAGTGTTCGCAGCGAGTGCCAAGTCTTGGTCGTTAGAGCCATGTCCTGGGAATTCATAAGGTTCGGCTGGCAAGCTAGTGGTCTGCACCGAGCGAGGCATTTCATCAGGACTGGGTGCGACTTCGCTATATGGCATGCTGTCGTTCGTTGATTGGTTACCTCGAAAGACCGATAAAAAGACTTGCAAATCGTATTGTGGCGGACTGCTCAATTTGAAAGGCGGCCTTTCAACAGTTGTTGGTCGACGGAGTCGCTTGTACTCTGCATTCGCATCCTACGTGCGCAGTGGCCTGCTGCACTTCATTGATATGAAGTCATGCATGCTGTAATCATTCCGATCAACAATCAGCATATGAGGACAGGGTGTGGTGCTGCGGCTTTACATCTGGAGCTGCAAGGTGTTTGAGTGCGTCCGGAAGGAGGCAGTCGAAAGCTTGAGGCGGGACTGTGCAATTTGTGCTCTGAATGGTGCTCTGCAATTGTCCCGGCATGGCAAACAGGATGATACGCAAGCCGCGCCGTAGTGGTTAGAACTGGATGGGTAGGTACTGGCAGAGGGCTGCGTATGCTCTGCTGCACGTCCAGGTGCCTGTGAAAACGTGTGTTATCAGAGGGAGGTTAGTCGCTCGTCGGCGACTGACCAAGACATCCGTGAACATTTTGCAAAGGGAAAGTGATGTCATAGGCTCTAGTCCCGCATGACTCCTTCTCGCACGAGTACGAGGTACTGGGTAATGAACGAGAGGTCAAGCAGCATGTTAACGCCTTTCCATCCGGTATCGCTGAGCTGAAGTTCGAGCTTTGCAGACCCAGGTAAGCGCATCAAGCAGCACCCATGCAACAGGGTCAGATGCCTCGTACGAGTAGTGCTATGATGTCGTGGCATAAGTCCTCTGTGCAACGCGACTGGTTATTTCGAAGGCAGCGACAGGCAGCACGTCATTCAAGGCTCGGCTTTTTGCTGGTCACTTGGTGGCTGACTAACTATGTACGTACCTTGGTACCTGACGCTCAGGGCAGGCTCCGAAAGGCAGTCGATCGACACTCTCCTACTGCGTTAGGGGAATTCGTTCTTGAAGAGGCTAGAAGCGGCAAAGGAAGTCGTGGAAGGACAGGCAAAATGATGTACACACTTGTTACTCGATAGGAGGAGTGTGGCACGAGTGCGATCCTTGATGCGGCTCGGGTAGTAGGCGTTGTGTCACAGGCAAAGTCCTGCCTATCGATAAGAATCCTCAGCCCCACCAGATTTCGGATGCAACTCTTGTTACAGGTCGACTCTGCTCACGTCTCCGTTAGCAGATCCTAAGTTTTGTAATCGCACTGTAAACAACCGTATATGAGTAAAGAGTGAACGTAGCCTCTTATGTAACACACACTCATGGTGATAATGGATATGCAGTGTTGTATCCCCAGCTGGGAGTTCTATGTATCCGGATTTGGCGTTCCGGGCACTCAGCGCTTTGCAGTGTCCATTGACACGATGGCTTGCTCTGTGCTTGCATGGCGCGATTCAGCAACCTTCTGTTATTCGTTGAGATCGACGCCAACGACGGTATTAGAGCCAATGGGAAATCACCAAGAGTTTGGACTACCGGCATCAGTGCCAGACTTGGCTTCGACTTATCCAAGCAATTGATACAAAGTCGTTTTCTTGAGAGATACACGGACTACATGGAGAACGCGCTCCGCGTGTAGATGAAATCAAATGCAACAACTGATGTTGAGGTTGCGCTTCCATCGTGGATTTTCATGGAAAAATGCCAACTTTCGAAGTTACCGATTCGGTCGGAACGGACACCAGACCCATGTCCACCTCGACCGAGACCTTCCCTTTCGGGTAGCATGGCAATGTTGATCAGTCAGTGGCTACGAGCAAAAGAGAGAGCCCACTTGCAAGCTGCACGCCTTGTGGAGCCGAGTAGCTTCTAGGAGCACAGGATAAATGATCCTTCCTACAGTAGGCCAAAGCACTCGGAGGACAGAGAAGTCCTCGTAACTCGTGCTCCATACATGAGCCCATCAAAGGCCGGTGCGGGTACGCAGCGAGAATGGGTAGTGATCCTCATATTTCATCGAGCCAGATGATCTCGTGGAGATTGTAGCTACGAAGCACGACAGCATTACGGAGACGTCAGTCAGGTTCCGCAGTTAGCAGTTTAACCGGTTATGGGATCAGCTCCGTCGCGTGCATCATGCAAACAAGTACGATCCCATTCGGAGATGGAGCAACAAGACAGGTGGCAGCACATCGCATATCATTTCCAGTGTACGCGTAGTACTTCCTCTGCAAGGCGAGGGCGGCGTGTCTCTGTTGAACTTCCGGACGTGTCGACGAAGCACGGGATGCAGATGCCGAACCTGAAGAGGGCTGCTCGGTGGAACAGGCATCTGTCTCTCCGGGGCGCCTCCGCAATAATAAATCAAAATCGTTGCGAGGCGCTGGCTGACCACGTTCAATATTCTCAGCCATCTAATTTTCGTCGCTGCAAACAGTGCCGGAACACAGTATCTCGCAGGATGGCAGCATATTACCGGTGCAAGGACAAGGGTGACAATGGAGATTTATCGAAACTTCTCCAATTTGCACCGAGATGACCCTGGTACCACCCATACCCTAGCACTCCACCTGGCTTCAACCGTGCATCCTGGCTAGCCGAAATTGTCGTTGGTGTCGGCAAGCAGGCTTCCCCAGAATTTGCTGGACGCCACCCTCCAATCAGTGGCGGCACTAAGTCGCCTCGAGTTCGCTTGGCTCTGTTTCGCAACGGTGTCTTTTCGTCCGTCTCACCGACGCCAACAATTCTTCTACTGGGGACGTATCGAATGCCGCCACAAGACGATGCCCAAGCGCTCGCTCCACAGACCCTACTTTGACGCGGTCGAAGTAATATGCGGGGAATAATATCCCTTTGAGAAGGCGCAAATACTCCGTACTTTGTAAAGACTTTTGACCCGGCTAACCAGTCGTCATCGCAGCAAGGCCAGAGGCAGAAGCCTAGGCAACATGACCTATTTTGCACAATCGCGTGACCGGGGGTGGTAGCATGACCCAAGAGTTGGCCACTCTGAATGGAAATGGAGGTGCAAGCAGGCTACGGAGTACCGACTCACTGTTTTGTTGCGGAGATCACATTGAGATGCATCCGCATCTGCGTTGACGGCAGTGAGGGTGGTGGCACTGTCAAGCGCGGTCTGGCATGAACCTTCCCATCAGATTCCGGAAGCGTTTGCAGGAGGATTGGCAGACGCAGCTGCGGAGTACTTGAGGACACAGTACTGGCTACTCAGTGGCTTGAAGGCCAGTTATAGGAGCGTGCCTCACGGCACGTACTCCATCAGTATGCGACTTACCCGGAGATACAAGCGTTCAAGCAGTAAACTGTTGGGCGGTCCTCCGTCTTCCGTACTTCAGCCATCTTGCTTTGCAAGCGACACGAGACAGGCCACACTCCTAGGGTTCATACTCCGTACCAAGAGGGAAGGCCACAAGGCACGTCGTCACGAATCGGTGGCGACCGCTGCCAACAACCACTCCAGCATCATCAAGGAGGTTGGCAGGCCAGATGTTCTCTCCTCGTCGAATCCCATGACGAGGATGAGTTGGCTGGTGAGTGCCAACTTCGACCACTGCAAATCTTGAAGTCGGCAAGTCGGAGGACGGGGAAAAAAGCACCGACCTACCGACGCTAAACCTCAACCTTTGCACTGGCGACGTAGGCAGCAGCCAATCACAGCAGGCACACGCACCATTGCATCAGTAGGTCGCCGCCAATTTGTTCTCCAGGCATGTATAGAGGTGCTGGAGAATGCATATCGTGCCATGTACCTTGCTTCGAACATGTCGAAGGAGTTGGTGATCGAATAGTTACCCGCGTAGTCCGTACTGGTTTCACTTTCCCTGAAGCCCAAGGAGTTGATCTAAGAGTTCCAACCAAGGACGTCTTGCCGCGTTTGATATCGCCTGGTCACTAAGAACGAGAATGGGCGTGAAGGATCAATATGTCCGGGTGTGTATTGCGCTTCGGGCATGGGACTCTACCGCAGCAGCCACGCGGCTTGGAGCATACGTAGGAAAGTTAGTACTGTATAGTTCGCAAGTCGTAGTGGCCGTTGCAAGTTTGCCCCTCCGTGCCGGTGGCTTTTCCAAAGACGCACAATAAGGTAATGAAGCCTAATCAGCCAATTTATTGCGATCACCCGGCAATCTCATTTGACAGGCTGCGTTGATGTCTTTCATCCCATGCTTGCAGTCGGGATAACTGAGATGTTGCCAATAACCCGTCTCACTATACGAGTATAGAAAATGCGAGACAACCAAGGCGATGCGTATTCCGTATGTGCACACGCGAGGTGAAATCTGTTCCTGGATGGCGAGACGTGACTCGGGAGTATGCGCATTCTCTGCTGATCGAAATGCCGATCCGTGAGGGCATTCGCAAAACTCTGCAGGCCACGAGGTGAGCCAAGAGCCGCGCCTCCACCAAGACCCGTCATTTGAAAGAGGTTGGATAGCATAACGCCGGGTGCGGCAGTGAGCCAGGCTTAACACCGTGCTTGGAGCCTCGATTGGCGTGCTGGAAGCGACGACTCATCAAGCACATCATCAACGCGCATGGTGCTGAGTTCGCTGACCGAATCGGCCAAAGCGAACGACGCAGCAGCGGCTGACTGGGCTGAAGCCCTCACTTGCAGCCTGCGGCCCGGGAGCGCCGTGACTCGGCGAGTGCGTTTCGTGGGCGCTTGGGGCAGAGCGACCGGCTAGGCCGCAAAGAACGCTAGCGGGGGCCGCGGCGTGGGCGTCCGCCGACTCATCACCAAGGGGGGCTTTCACTTTGAGCCGAGCTCTTGACAGAGCCTGGGCTCGGGGCAGGGGGCAGGGAAGAAGCGACAGCTGACCAGGATGCCGAAGCACAGGGGTGGAGCACGGTGGTTGAGGGTTCCGCGTCAGGTGGGAAAGGGTGGGTAAGGATGGACAGGGCCCATGGCTGGCTGCGTCAAGTGCAGCAAAGAATGCATCGAGACTGGCCGGCGTCGCCACAGGGCTCTGAGCGTGACCGGCGGGACCCAGTTCTCGCATCTACGCTGTGCCATGGGCCGCGCAAACAAGTGTGGCGACTTTCGATCCTGCCTATCAAACCCCATCTTGCTGGCGTGTCGGCAAACTCCCCCGTTTCAGGATCAGGCGTGTATATACTCCATCCAACGCCCACCACCCTCCACTACACAGGACCAACACACGCACTCACACAACTCCCCTGAGACCATCTCACCGCGATACGATTACTCGCGAATCTAGGGGCATTGCCTAAACAGCTACAGAAGCTCCAGTGCAGTGCTGATAAACTCTAAATTACACACCTCACCACCGCCTCACGAACCTGACGCAGCCGCTGACTGTATTCAACCTTAACTGAGCGAATTTTCGCTTTTGCAGTCGTCGGGAACCAGACATACAACACCACCAATCCGGTGTTTATTACCGGCCGCTTCTCTCTTTGTTCGACGTCCTTTCTCTCTGTCACAATGACAGACTACCACTACCCTCAGTCGCCCACCATGTCACAAGACAGACATATGGGCTCGTTGGCTGCGGCACTCAAGATGAAGTTGGAAGATCTACCACAGCTCAACATGGCCAACCTCCACACACACCAGCATAAACGCACGTCACTCGATGTACCGAACTCAGCATCATCATTACACTCGGCCTATTCCTTCAGCTCGAGAGCCTCAGAAGACACCGATGTCACAGATCTCACCGTAACGCCAACGGCCCGGTCACGGTCCAGCACATTTGCAAGCACATTCGACAACTCAGAGGAACTCGCCTCGCCTATGCAGCCCTCAGTACCGTGCAAACCACCCTTGAAAGTTGTCCTCGGCACCGCGTCAGTCGGCTCGCACTTGTCTCCTCTAGCAAAGATCACGACGGTGGAAGATGCGTCGAAGTTTTGTGAATCTGTTCCGGTCGAGAGGATACTACGACATCGATACTGCCCGAGCCTACCCAGTCGGGCGAGGTGGCACTTGTGAAAAGCTTTTGGGTGAGGATGAGCTGAGACTGTCAAAGTGGGCGAACGTCTCGACCAAAGTTTCGAGTTTCATGCCGGGCTCACATCGGGCTAAGAATATCGCCATGAGCATTGACCGGTCACTGGATGCCCTGAACACCGACACCGTTGACATCATGTACCTCCACGCTCCGGACCGTGCCACCCCGTTCAAGGAGACCTGCGAGGCCATGAACAAAGCATACCTTGAAGGCAAGTTTGAACGGTTTGGTCTGTCCAACTACTCGGTGGAGGAGGTCGAGGAGATCGTCCGCATCTGCGAGGAGAACGGCTGGGTGAAGCCGTCGGTCTACCAAGGACAGTACAATCCCATCTGCCGAGGCGGCGAGGAGAGACTGTTTGCAGTTCTTCGGGAACACAACATTGCTTTCTACGCCTACAGCCCCTCAGCCTGTGGGTTCTTCTCGAACAAGGTCTCCCGAGCGTCCACAAGGGACAAGAACAGTCGGTGGAATATTGCATCGCCGCTTGGAGCCAAGTACGCTGGCGACTACTTCCATGACCCCCTCTTCGCTGCCGCAGAGGTCGTTCGCCAACAAGCTCGGAAGTACGGCATCTCTGGGCATGCCGCCGCTCTACGATGGACGACCTGGCATTCCCAGCTGGGCGCCGAATATGGCGATGCCATCATTATCGGTGCTTCCAAGCTCTCGCAACTGAAAGAAAACATGGATATCCTTGAACAAGGGCCTCTTCCCGAGCCACTCGTGGAGACCCTGGACGGGGTCTGGGACGATGTGCGCGCTCTTGAGAAGGGCCCCCGCTTTTCCTTTGTCTAAATGTATTACGAACTGGGACGGCGAAGAAACAAAGGCACGTTTACTCGTCATGGGACACGCAAAACAGGAGCTCGGGATGGGCACGGTATGGTGGGCGACCTCGGCATTCGAGGTTTGCATTTTTCGGCAAGAAATCTTGACCCTTGACCTTCGACTTCGATCCCTCAAGTGCTGAGTTGGATCAGTTTTTTGGCTTTTGGACACGAACGTCCTTTTGTGATTGGGCTGTTCGCTGTATGTGTGATGATACCCAATGCGGCTGTATGTTATTTTGAGCAACAGATTATGAAGAATGTCCTTACCGGTCTCTGGAAGACGCAGGATGTCATTGACCAGTCGCGCTGGCGATGGACTGCGTCTCCCGTACACCAAGTCAGACGCATAATGGTGGGAGGTGTGGACAAACCTCACCTCGACCATGATTGACTTTCATAGCAATGAGAAACCCCCATTTCTGGGGCCTACATCTGCAACCTAGGGCCGCCTTGAGTATGCCGGTTTCTAAGTGCCCTTCGCCAGTGTCTTTTCCGTCTGCTTTTGGTGCAAGTGCTTACATTTTCGTCGTCCGCGGCTACACGAGTGAGCAAGAGCAGCTCGAATGCCTACCACTTGTCGCCTTCGGCTGCAGCTAATTCCTACGACTTTCTACGTCGCAGTGGAACCCCACCCAGCACCCATATCGTCTGGGCAGATATGTTTCACAGCGCCCAACAGATGCAAGTGACGAGTCGGGGCATGCCGGCCTCTACTTGGAGCCCGCGAACAGAGGACCTCACTTTGAGAGTTGAGCATCAGCAGGGTGAGAGCCTACTGTGTACGTCCACCCCGCTCTTGGACGCGGGCGCAAGACCGGCACGCTACCGCCTTCCATCGACCGAAGGGATGCGAGACCGTAGACAACACGAGGGTGCCGCACCGCTAGCCGGCAGTGAGGTATTTCCAGCGAATAGCCGTGACCAAATCTTCGAAATCGAGTCCGGCACGCACAGTTGTTGGTGAGGTCCAGGAAATGCACGCTGGGTTCACAGTTCGATCTGATTCGAAGCCAAGCCAGGATCTCTTCTTGACTGCAGACAAAGCCGCCAACCGGTAGCCTTAGTCCGGTGGCCCGTCACAATGACCACACTCCCGTGAGGAGACGGTGGTGTGAATGGTTGGGCCCATCCGGATTCTGTGTCCTCCAACATGCAGAGAAACTCGTCGAAGAGCCAGCCAGCTAGGCGAAAATCATTCGTTGCCAAACGAATGGTGGAGCAACAACCGCTTACCTCGCAAAGTCATTCCCTAGTAGAGAGATGCCTCTCATCAACAAAGGAAGTGATAGTCGCCCTTTGCATCCTGCGGGAACCGGACCCGAGTCAACAGACAAGTGGTGTGTGTGCCGGCACACTCGACATCGGCACTCAGGCGTCCACCACAGTCATGGTCTTGCCACGTTGAAAACACCACCTGGAACGCCATCCCGTGGACACGCAGACGTCAATCAGGTCTTGGTGTCTGTAGACACATCATGACGCGAATTCCTAACCTCAATGTCAGCCGACCGAACACATACTAAGACTTCGTATACGTCGGCTGACAGGCAAACCGTTGACGGGGCGCGTTGCGAAATATGAGCATTATTGTCGGAATTACGGCTCTACCACGGCAGTACTTTCGTCGAAAGGCATCCGCGAGACGGCTTCGACGGTGAGTGGCTTGAGCCGCGCCCTGTACTGGCTACCTCTACTGTGTCCCTTGTAGTGAGAGATACTGTACGAGCTACGAGCTACGAGCTACTCGTACGAGAAGTGCAGCAGAGAAATCGGCTCGCCCCCATCCACGTGGAATAGGTGTGGTGCCTCGTGCCGCATTTTGCCCCGGTGATAGACAGCTAATATCCCCGAAGCGGCAAAGAGTCCTGCGTCCTTTCGCGTGGCACCGGTCGGCACCATGGAGTAATTGAGACACCACTTGACCCGTACCATTCAGTCGGGACTTGTGATGCTTCATGCGCCGGACAGCGTCCAGTAAGCGAGGATAGGAAATCTCTCACAGCGCGGATGCTCGTTTCCAGGAGCCATCAAAAGTGCCAGTGAGCACGAGTAGATTGATGGGCAACTGGGTCAAGTACAGGCGCGTTGGGGAACGGCGGAAAAGAGCCCATGCTCACGCCTACGCCTATGCCTACGCCTTCAGATGCCTCCGTGTCCGAATTGGTCAAACATTTCTCCTGTGGCTGACCGAGTCATTTCAGCGCGCTGCACACTGGAGTCAGGAGCCAGGCCAGGAGACAGCCGGAGGAGGGAAAGCCACAAGATTCCGCATACCCATCCCTACACTATCCCCACCTCACCCGCTTTCTTCAGGCAGGAACATTTAGCGCCCACAGTGCTGACAGAACCGACGACGAGTAAAACGCTGCCTCAGTTTATCCCTCCTGACTCCTGCAGGGGTTCTGGAAATGCAAGACTCCCTTCACCCGTGCCCTTCTCCTTTCTGGTATTATGGCGTTTCTATCTCTGGAACCTCCTGCATGAGAGATTCTCTTACTTGTTACTGCATGGCGTGCAGACACGAGACCTTTCGAAGATCACTAGAGACTGTGAAATGTGAGCTGCGTGCGCAACCAGGAGGGGCAACTCGATGACAAGAGTCTGACCAGGGCTTATGTGGCGTTCGATATCGCTATCGATAGTGACCCTTTCGCCTCCCCGCAGGGCATATCGATAAGTACGAACTTGCGTTTATCGATAGCAGGTATCGGCTCGCTTACGAGAAGGATGGATTGGTGGTGGTTCGGTGGGTGAGTGAGTGGACCGCGGACGAGGACCGACCGCTCAATTTTCCCGGGGGCCGCCTCCTTAATGGCTGAACCGTGGCGCAGCCCCCAATGTACTCCATACATGACTGAGTACGAGGACAAGTTACTCGCCCACAGTAGGGTAAGCTTGGGTCTCCAATCGCCATGATGTTCGCGCTGTGCTCTTCCTGAGTAACCTTCTCACCAGACCGTTCAGAGTACCTCGTACCGTGTTCGTCTAGGGACCACCGTAAGCTCGCCGAGCGCATTACATTACATATCAAGAGCCCGAATGCCAAATCAAGTCATCCAGGCCACAAGGCCCCAAAGCGACAGAGAACCGCCGGCAAATTTGCCTCGATGCTGACAGACGTCCTGCGGAACAAACTGTCATGTAGGAACCCGAGAGCCCTCCTGATCCTGCGGCCCTATGATGTGAAGGATGGCGGCAGACGGCACATCCTCTGCTTCATCAGGCATCAGGCGCTGAAGGGGGACGGGCTTACCACATACAAACCTACTTGGGTACTCAGTACACACCTACACACGGACCCACATACTTCGTACTGTCTACTGGGTACGAGTACCTGCTATGACGCGCTCGAGATCCTTTAAGCTGACAGTCAGTCATTCACTTGGACCCTCAGGTGTCAGAAGTCAAGAGTCATCTTCTCCACGTTACCACTAGTGCCCTTGCACAGGACTGGACAGCTCGTACCTGAGACGGTGAATATGCATCAGCATCTGCGCGTGCATCTGCGTGTGCGTTTGCGTGTGCACCTCATCAAAGCCCGCCATTGAGGGTGTGTATGTGTCTGTGCTTCGGTGCACACGCGCCAACTGCAAGTCCTCCCTCTAGCGGTACGCGGACGCGCCGGCGCATCTTACCATCCACTTCGACAACGACAACAACAACACGACCATGGTTATGTCTCAGTTGTACACCATCACCAGCAGCGAGCGAGGGTGTTTGTCCGTCCGCGGCGTCACCGTAGCTGAAATCGCTCGCTCGCCGGCGATGGCGGTCACCTTTGAATCGCCTGAATGGACATTTACTGTGATGCGATATCCCCTTTGCATAAAGTATGCATACTCCCAAACTCGTATGCTTCTAGCTACCGTTCACAGTAGGTGGTCCACAATCCTCTTAATCACGAGGTTCATGCCGTGCGTACGAGTCCATGATCCGCGATCCTCTCAATCACGAGCTTCATTGCGTGCGTACCTACGTACCCGTACTCATACCCACACTCGTACTGGATTGGACTGGACTGGACCTCATACGGGGATAGGTAAGCGATCTTCAGTGTCCTTCCCTTTCTTTTCCCTTTTGTCTTGCCAACGCAGTCAGCATTCCTCCCGCCGACCGGCATCATCGCCAGCACACGAGGACGGGGACGCAAGACATAATGTACTCGGTCGAGGACTCGGTCGAGGACTCGGTCGAGGACTCGGTCGAGGACTCGGACGAGGACTCGGACGAGTGATTAATGCATGCGAGCAGCCCTGTCAGTCAGCGCCCAGGATCCCAGCGGTCCCGGGCTGATCTGCGTCGAATGTGATGTGTATGTACACTGTAGTGCGTGAAGCCGAGTTGGAGCATCAACGACGGCAACGATAGCAACGACGACGATAGCAACGACGACGATAGCAACGACGACGATAGCAACGACGACGATAGCAACGACGACGGGCGTATAGATTACATGACGAACTATATATGTACGTATGTATATATGTGTGTATACATATACAGTGTGTCCACAGTATATGTCGGTACTACCATCTATATCTTATATGTAGATATTACATGTAGACGCCACGCCACGCTACCCCACGCTACGCCATACCATACCATATAATACCGTGGAAGGAGGTGACGATCGCGTTTAGTAGCTTCGTAGCCTCGTAGTCTACTCGTACAGTAATCGTACTCGTAGTCGCCTCGACCCGACGAGGTACGAGGTAGACGATCAGCACTGCCTGCCTGCCTGCCTGCCAGCTGTCTGTCTGTCTGTCTAATCGTCTATTCGTCCATCCGAATGCACTTCTCTAATGCCCAGCCTTGCGGATGATGTGTCTGTCGCAAGATATACCGTATATGCACATTTAGGTGCGAGTGCGAGCGCGAACGCGAACATCAAAGTCGATCGATCGTTGCTGTTCCCCGGCTCTAGCTCTCTGTCGATCTTGGTCTCGGTCTTGATTGACGTCGCTCGCGTTGAGTGGACCGTAACTCCACTGTGATACCTCGAAATAGGTCAGGGGTGAGTGCCATGTAATTGCTGTACGTGGCGCGGCGAAGCAAGAGTAACTACCTAGGTAGACTCACGCGGTCGGAGTGCACTACCTCACATTCGGTCTCGTCGTACAATATCGCGCACCCTGGGGCCATGTCGATGTAGTCATTCACCGTCGAATGAGTGAGTGAGTGAGTGACCGACTGACTGACTGACTCGTGGACTGACTGACTTACTGGTGGACTGATCGGCGGGACGGCCTGGGTTGTCCATCCGCGTAATTACTGTGTACTTGTACTCGCGACTCTGACCTCGAATGGAAAGGCCTGTGCATTTCAACACCCTGTGCATTTCAGTCCGAGTCCTTGCCCAGTCTTAGTGCCATCTAGGCCGACATAAGCAATGACGAAACAACGGACTACGCACGAGTATCGATTAATGGATGTGTGCAGTTGGCCGCCTCGATATCTGATGTCTGATGTCTGACATTCAATTCTGACGAGGAAGTGGACGTGGCTGGACATGGCTGGACATCGACGTGGATTGACGTTGCCCATGGTTATTTACAACACTGGAGCAGACCACAAGGTCGTCTCCGTATGTATGTATGCAACGAGGCAAAGATCACATACATACGTACGTACGTACGTACTGCTCTGCCACGCGAAAATGACTGATACACTCGTTCGCATAGGATTTTCGGGGTCTTCCCCATGTCATAATACAGGTGCGCGAAGGAACTATACAACTTGCCGTGGAAGGCGTAGCTATGAGAACTCATAGGGGATGTGCTCTTTACTTGCAGCTAAACCACCTCGCATTGACTTGACTTTGTCTTCAATATGACGATTCCACTCGATGGCGATAGCAATAACGCCACACCGTCTTTGTCCTGTGGTGAACTTGAGCCTCGACTTGACCTCGAGCTGTGCTCTCAACATGGCTCGGCGGTTCGCAAAGCATTGTACACCGTGAATGCCACGTCATGGACCTGCGCACCCACTCCACAAGTCGCGCTCTCTCAGCAGCAGAGCTCAGGCCCCGTTCATTGTGGTTCGCTCGCATGTCCTGTCTCTGCTGCATTGGTGCAGAACACAGCCAGTTTGTGGCCATCCAGAATTGCGAACCTAGAAGCAGAGGGATTTTCTTCACGTCTTCAATACAGCTGGATCTCGATCCTCCCTACCTGACCGATAGCAAATTGGAATACAGGAGCGTCAATCACCTACCACATGGATGGATGCATGGATAGTGGTTCTTCAGGACCACTGGTGTTGAAATGGGGCCTCGTGGCCCTTCTCTACCTTTGACACATGGCCTGTCAATGTGCGCTTGTGCTTTACTCCCCACGTATATTGTACAACCTCCCAGACGCCACAGAGACACAAAGGGTATTTGGTGTAACTTGGCTGCCAACCCTTCAGGCGACATGACACCGCTTTCTTGCCATCCCCAGATTGTTTATTCAGAGAACGTAATGTCCCTCCGCACCGACCGAGACATGCCAGCGAGCAGGAAGTGACACTATAATGGTTGTGATAGCACAGTTAGAGTTCACAGAGTTCAGATCGAATCGGCGAGGCATGAAGACGCGGGAAATAGAAACCAGTCGACGATGCCTCCTTTGGTAAATGCCAACCCCCCAGTCTGGGGAAGTTGCACACCTTTGACACGGTGAGGGTGAGGGATTGGGATGAACAATGCAGGGATGGCGCTGAAGATTTGGATTGGCCTGTGAAGTGTGCACAAACTGGGGATGGCTGTACATTGCACACTCTCGACACCGGCTCAATCCAGAAGGCCGTGACACAGCGCCAATCCGGGAAGTCCCCTGCTATCGCTGCCGTAGACAGGGTCCCGGTGTGACGATGGACGACATGAAATCTGGAACGTGACTAGCGAGGTTGGCAAGGTCGGCAAGGTTGGCAAGGTCGGCAATCCCTGCGGTGAAGCATGAGCATCGCCAGGCTTTGCGCGTAGTACGGCATAAGGGACGAAACATGAAATCTGTCCCTGCATCCTGGGCCGGCAACAGTCGTCAATGCTCGTCCCAATCCCCAATCGTATGGCTCCTCACTTCTTGCCTTGGCTCGACTGTCCCCAGGTTGAAACAGGCAGGGAAACACAGCTCTTGTCGAACGAGGTCCGCCGCAGACCTCATCAGTGTTGTCGGTCAAACTGCCAGTTCCGCCATACGCTGCAATCGACCTGCCGTAAGTCTAATACTCCCCTGAATAAGGGTGGAGATGTGACGAGTAGAGCTGCTGGGCTGATATCCTCGCGCTGTCTGATTCTAGCAGACTTCAGAGACGGATGCATCATCACGATGACAGGTCCAAGCAGAGAGACAGAGACTGGCCCAGACGCTTGGACACAGGATCACCTGGGAATTCCATCCGTTTCTGCGGTGCAACCAGGAGCCTAGTCTCCTCGTCCAAGCCAGGTCATTGTAGAATGGTTCACGACCGATTGCGCCAACTTCGCCAGCCACAGTTCGATTTGCATGTTGTGCCTCCAGGAGATGTGTTTCTTGTTCACTGACTGTAGATGCAGCCTCGAGGAATGCTATTCGGATACAGGGAGGGTGGGCATTACTGTCATGCAGTGTAGCCTTTCCACACGTCAGTCAGAATGGAGCATCCACAACATCAGTAACACTGCTTCTTTTCTGCATGTGACATGGAACGTGTCAATCTGTCAACCTCGGTGGCAGACAGTCGGTGGATAGGTTGTGCGGTCTCGTTGAGAAGCCAGACACAGCATCCTGGTCTTGTCCATGCAGCCCTATCCCGAAGCGGGCTGGGCCAGTCCGAAATCGACATGGGGTGGCGACGTGGTGCACGAGTACGAAAGGACCGTTTGGCCTGCATGAGCCAGACAGGTCGTGATGAGGAATGCGCAAAGACATGGTCGGCACTAGTTGGGTCAACATCAGCTGCTGAACAGCCCAATATGCAGGAATGCAGGACTGTGTTAAGCTACTGCAGCACACCTAGCCGAGTCGACGTCTAAGCGAGACGCGTGTGAAAAGTTCGATCCAGAACGATTGCCCGCTTGGGAAGGGGAGCCCGATTTGTATCGTTAGACGGCACGGCGCATCTTCAGCCGCGTGGGTGGGCAGCGAGATTGGAGAGGTTCGGGGCTTGCATAGATGTTGCAGACACGAGATCGTTATCAAATAATTAATTAATGAATGGGTGTGCAAGTCACTTGGTCCGGAGTGGCTGAATACCGACGAGCTGGAATCGATCAAGGTTTGAAGACGCTTCAGGCTGAGAAGATGCAGCCGTCGGGTGGCGTCCGTGGCAAGCACGCATGCGGGCGGTCAAGCCGTCAACGAGAACGTGGAGGTCCCGCTGCCACTGTCGAGGCAGTGAGTGTCTCACATGTTACAGATCCAGAGCGGGCGAGAACAAGCGGGGTATGTGAAAAGGTGGATTGGATGTCTTTCTCAAGGCTGAAGCACATCCGTAGTCATCGGGCTTCAGCGACGAATCACAAGGGAGAGCCATGCAAGATCAAAGATGCTTTGATTCCCTGCCCGAAGCGAGCTGCAAGATGCATCTGTACCGTAGCTTGTCAGTGTTGGTCTTGGTCAATGCCAATACAAATTCCCCAGTCCAAGTTCCGATGGGTTTCGTGATTGTCGACCCATATTCTGCAAGTGCTCCATCACAGCCACATCAGCGGGTCGTTGGCGGATAGGCAGGTCGCATGTAAAGGTACTCTTCGGAGTCGGGTGTCTCTCTGGCACCCAGGCGCATGACATCTTCGCCAAACTTTACTTCGTCAGCGTTGACATGCTGAACCGAAGTCTCTCGAGCATCCATCTCCCCAAGATCCTTGACGACATAGACTTGACGGGCTAGATGAGTACCGATGGTGTGCCAGACGCCGCTTGCACCGGGGAAAAGTGTACCGACCACTCCTTTTTGGTAAGACTCCTGAAGAGCCTGTTGACACCTGCGCCACATCGACCTCTTACTGTCCCTGGTACGTGCTGTGTTGCTCTGGAGAACAAGTCGCGTTAGTCTCAAGCCCCAAAAGGAGAGGATGAACTTACGGTGCCGTCTACCCAGGAAAGGCCAGCTGGCGGCAAGACGAAGGGCGGAGTGAGCGCTCTGAGACCTGTGCGCAACGCAGCTGCGTCGTGGACGTACTGTGGTTCAATCCAATGGTATGCTGCCATGATCTGTGCAAGATCGGCGACACGCCACCAGGGAGCACACGAGTATACAGCCTCAGCCGATCGGCGACGGACCTAACATTCGGCGAAGACGACTTTGATGGCCATGGTGCCAGCATTGATCTCATTTTCCAGCTTGTCTTTCAGTATAACACATGCTGCCAGCGCTCGCTTGCTGACGGCCTTCAAGTACGCAGCCGCCTGATTCAGAGCAATGAAAGGGGCTCTAGCGGGGTCTGGAGTGTCGTAAGGCGGAGCGATATAAATGGTAATGGTTGAACACTCATGCCATGGGAATCCAATGAATGATGCTAAGTCTGGTTTGACGTCGCTGATGTGCAGAATCCAGGAATCGCCTTCTTTGTATGCTGGCGGCTCTTCTGGTGGAGTTTCGTAGCAGGAAAAGTCAGGTGGGACATCTTGGGCGCTCGTCATGATGGAGAGCTGTTGGGTGGAAGCAAAAGCCCTAAGTGTTACAGATGCGAGCGGCAATCGAAGATGCGTGTAAGTAAGATGTGCTGTGAGTGAACCGGGAGAGATTGATGAAGCAGGCTGAGTGAGGGAGGATGGGAGAGGACTATTTGAGGGCTGCGTTGCAAGCGGGAGGCGCCTTCCGGGCAAATCATCCCGAGCATCGTCGGCTCTAGCCCTGCAAATGGCATGGCACCTACCTCGAAAATCTGGTTGACCAGTATCTATGGCTAACCACAGGAAACCTTTGATGAAGCTGCGGCACAGGCCGGATGAGGGCCTCGTGGGTGCCAACGCCAATGATGCTGTCATAGTTGTCGGACTCAAGTAGAGTTTTCCGGCGCCAGGGCCACACCGGACTTTCTACGGCGTCCGCTCTGACTCTGAGACTTTGGGCATCTGTACGAGTTCTGATACCATTGTTGGTGTTGAAGTGTGATTCTCAATGCGAACAAGGGATGACTAACAACGAGCGACGGAAAGAGCCGTCGTGCTCGGTTGACCTTCCGCTCAAGGACTCGTTTCCCCACTAAATCTCCCCTCAGGCACCCACCCGCTCTGATTGGTCGACACGCCGACCGCCGCGGGCGCCCGCCATCGAATTCAGAAGATTCAAGAAGTTTTGTGCGAGACAAGCCTCAATTAGTTCTCACACTTCTCAGCCTGCACCGCTTGTCGAACACTCATCTCGGTCGCAACGTACAGTACATCTACGCTCGCTCTTCGTCAGTGTGTGCGTGCGCTTTCTCCCCCTCAAAGCTTTTACCTGTAGGACCGATCGCAATGGCGGAACCAAAGAGTGGTAAGGCTCACCGCGTATGTCAATGCGAAGTGCGCATGACCTGACTCAGTCCCCATGTAGGAAGACCTAGAGTCTACTTCGACATCTCCATCGGTGGTAGAAAACAAGGTCGAATCGTCCTCGAGCTTGTAAGTGCACACCGTGGCCTCACTGTGAGCCAGCCTTGTCTAACGCAGATCACAGTACAATGACAGTACGTCACTCTGTTCTCGCTCCCCTCTCACTTCTCACTGACGTCCTGCAAAGTTGTACCGAAGACGGCCGAAAACTTCCGCGCCTTGTGCACTGGTGAAAAGGGAATCGGAAAGCAGGGCAAGCCGCTACATTACAAAGGTGGGTGGGCACTCAGATACTGTTGACATCGGGCGAGGCTGAGCTGTGAGCTAGGATCGATCTTCCACAGAGTGATCAAGTCGTTCATGATCCAAGGTGGTGACTTTACGAGAGCCAACGGCACCGGAGGCGAGTCAATCTACGGTGAAAAGTTTGACGACGAGAACTTCGAGCTGAAGCATGACCGGCCCTTCCTACTGTCCATGGCCAACTCGGGTCCCGGCACCAATGGATCGCAGTTCTTCATCACCACCGTCCCGACTCCGCACCTCGATGGCAAGCACGTTGTCTTTGGCGAAGTCATCAATGGCAAGAACATCGTCCGCACAATCGAGAACCTACCCCTGCAATCAGACAAACCCGTGGGCGGTGACGTGGTAATCGACGATTGTGGCCAGCTCGAAGGTGAGAGCTACAACACAGCCACTCAGAAAGTAGCCGATCCAACCGGCGATCCATACGAGGACTACCCCGACGACCAGGGCGAATCTTTGAAGGGTGAGGAGTACTACAAGATTGCACTGGATCTCAAGGACTTCGGCAACAAGGCGTTCAAAGCCGGCGATGTCGAGACTGGCATCGAGAAGTACCAGAAAGGCCTGCGGTACCTCAACGAATACCCCGCAGCCAACGACAACGATCCCAAAGACCTCCAGAGCAACTTAGACCACCTGCGATTCACGCTGCACAGCAACTCTGCGCTTCTGGCCGTCAAGGCCAAGCGCTACGAGGAGGCCGAGAAGTGGGCTACTTTTGCCATTGAAGCTCCTCCCAAGGATGCAAAGGACACGGACAAGGCCAAAGTATACTTCCGCCGCGCACAGGCGCGGGTGGCTCTGAAGGATCTGGAGGAGGCGCTCAAGGACTTCGAGCAGGCTGCCAAACTGGCGCCAGAGGATGCGGCGATCAAGTCGGAACTGGCGAAGACGAAAAAGACCCTAGCGGACAGCTTGAAGAAGGAAAAGGAAAGCTACAAGAAATTCTTCACCAGCTGAACTGGCGAATTGACCAGAGGGGATTATGAGCTCGGTGTACTGGCCGGCAGGTTGGTATGGACACACAGGGGCGCGGGTGGGGGCAGCCTTGGGACGGTAGCATTACATAAAAGGCGTCCTGTCAAGGAGCAACAACCTCTTCATGGGAGGCGTGGTCGGCGCACTGACTATTCCAGCGTGCATCTTCCCAGATGAGTTGAGACCGTCTGCTGGTGCAACAAATGACATTGTGATCCAGTAACCACGCAACGTGTCCACAATCGGTGCCATGCTGAGGGGATCGGCACAAGGATGATCAAACCCAGCCGCCTCATCCACGTACTGTGTAGCACGTCTTTTCCCCTGCATCTGTGCGTACTCCCAACAGCGTGCTCAAGGCTGACTCCTTCCCTCTGCATTTCCGGGCGCCAAATTAGCGGTACTCTTCCCATTCTTCATCTCCTCCCGCCAAGTCTGTCTCTCCTGGCTGGCGACTCCAGGCCCCTTGTACACACTCCCGTACGGCCCAGACGCCCAGCTCTTGCCCTCCTTGGCCTTCTCCGTCTCTGGCCTCCCCTTGGCGCTAAACTTGCGGCGGTACAACTTGCCATATACAAGCAGGTAGTACAGCCGGAAGGCCAGGAAGGCGAACTTGTCGTTCTCCAGATCTTCCGGGTAGTCGGCACCGAGGTCGACGGCGGCGGCAATGCCGGCCATGATGGCGATCTCGTGCGCGTTGACTAGCGTCCAACTGCTCGCATAGCGCACGCGGTTCCGGCCCTGCAGGAACATCATCCAGGGCACGACCAGCACGTAGTGCGTCCAGCTGTGGCAGAGCTGGTGCCACCAGTCCTTCCGGATGATTTTGGTGTCGTCGATCTCGCCGTCGCTCCACAGGTGGCCGTCGCGCTTCTTGTTCAGGAAGATCGTCTGGAAGACGTGGTTCTCGAAGGGCACGTTCTCCGGGAACTGGCACTGGTAGTTGGTCGTGTCGAAGCACATTTCCAGCTTGCTGATGTCCTGCGGGTACATCTTGATGTAGTACATGGGGCGGAAGTTTCGCTTGGCGTACTCGATGCGTGAGGACTGGTCGTCCTTCCCGGTCAGGGACTGTACGGCAGGAGTGGCCTCCGAGTAGAAGTTCTCGTAGTGCTTCTTCATGTAGTCCGAGTCGGTGTGCGTGATGGTGATATCGTCCGAGAACTTGGCCGAGCCGAGGACTTGTCGCTCGCGCCAGGAGGACGTCTTGCTGAGGACGCGTTTCGCCGTGTCGGCGAGGCAGCAGAGCACGAGTTCGTCGTAGTGTTCCTCGAATGTTGGGGCCTGGGGATCGCCAAACTGGGCATTGTGGTGGTCCGGTTCGGGGGTACGGTGCTTGAGAGAGACGATCACACCGCGCGACTTGGAGCGGTGGAGGACGCTGACGAGCTCGGTGGAGAGGCGGACTGTCACACCTCGCGATTCCAGGTCCTTTTGCCAGGTGGTGTAGAAGTCGCCGAAGTTGGGGAAGACGACCATGGGAGGCAGATTGGACGCGATGCTGAGTTTGTCGTACGGGTACCACATGCCGTAGGTGGGCGAGGTTATCAGACGTTCAAGCATTATGGAAGGCACATTGGGTGCTTCGTTGCCGGTACCGAGGAACAAGGCGACCATGGGGAGGGCGACAGTGTTGGTAAATTCCTCGGAGAAGAACCATAGCTTGAAAAAGATCTTCATGGGGATGAGGGCGAAGAAAATCTCGAACCAGCGCATGAATCTGATGGCGAAGTGGAGTCGGCGGACTTCGCTTTGATGCTTCTTGATCAGTTCCGTGGGAAAGACGTTGGTCCAGAATGTTTCGCCCTTGCCGAAGGAGACCTGCAGGTTGACAGGGTCGGCATGGTAGCCTTGACGGGCAAACATGGTGAGCGTGTGGTGGAAGATGAAGCTGCCGCCCTGGACGCCCTGGTTGAACCAGCTTGCTCCATGACGATCCTTGTCAAGAGGGCATGAGAAGGCTTGTCCGCCGCAATAATCGACAGCATCGATCAAGGTGACGTCGTATTTCTCAGGATGTTGGGATAGGTGGTAGGCTGTGGACATCCCGCCCGCGCCCGCACCGACGATGAGAACCCTCTTGCGACCATCCTTCGTGTTACTGATGGGTTTCTGAGACATGGCGGCAGTGGTAGCGACAGAGGTTCGGCCCTCAATATCCTGGCGGAAGGAAGCGCTGTCCATCAACAAGATATGCTATCAAGAAGCACAACCATATGAACTGGTGGCAAGGCGAGCATGGCCTGTTCCTGGCTATATGTAACAATGTCGTGAAAGTCAATGGAGCTGTGGTGGTTGGCAAGCTTGGAAGGTTTCCATGATCCGTTCATTGTGGCTTGCGACGTCATCACCTCGAACTTTTTGTCATCCGTCCAGATCTCATCTTGAATCTGTTCGCATGCAGATCGATCTTCGCAACTAGGCGGGTCCGCATTAGCTCCGATCATTCCGGCTTCGCTAATCTGTGTGATTCGCTTTTCTTTTCCTGCTCGTGCTTGAGGCTGCTGTACTGTTGCTGGTGCTGTCGATCTCATTGGGTGTGCGGGTGGACGATGTCTGTCCTGTTGTGATGGTCGAAGAGTTAGTTGTCCGACGGTCCTTTCCGGACTTCAAGGCCTGCACGAGTCTTCCAATCGTCGTGAGATGCACATCTATATTAAAGCGTTCTTTGAGATTTTGCTGGATCGCTCTCCGCTCGGCGGCGGGGTGCTCTGCGAGGTAGCCCTTGACGCCTTGAAATGCATAGTCCGGTACCTTGGGTGGTCGGCCCCTTGGACGCCGGTTACGCTCCAGTATCTCTGGGTCAATCGCGCTGCGGGTTTTCACCTGCGAGATAAATGGTTGAGAGACACCCAGGGCGGCGGCGATGTCTGATGGTTTGACGCCGGCAGCCAGTTGAACCAGGACCAGGTTCCGGACTTCGTCCGAATACCGGAAATGGTAACCACCTGAGACCATTGCTAGGTACCCGGATGCTGGTTTCACAATTTACATAGCAGATCCTTCGAACGGCCTGGCAAGATTCGCTGTCGCGGTGGATTCCAAGCATACTACAGAGTATGTACGGAGTTGTGGGAGTACGTGTAGGATAACGACACGGTTTTGGATTTTTGACCGCAAACAGAAGGTCGGCCGATGACAGACTCACTTCCTCACTCAGGCCTCACTCTTGCATCACAGCATACTTCTACCGAACACAGCTTCACTCGTGACAGCAATCATCGACGAACAAACAATGGATGCAAAGAGAGGACCGCGGACACTCTTCGGAAATCGAGGATTATACCAGCGCAGTTGGCTTGCAGTCCCATCCCCGAGCCTGTGCCCGAACTTGTGCCTAGTCGCGTCCCCGAAGGTCAAACATGGTTGAGCCCAACATGCTATCACCCGCGACCCACACTGAGCATAGAAATGCTGACTGTTAAGACACAGCAACTTCCCATAGCCACGCGTGCGAATACCATATTTCCTGTCCTTCTTCGCAAATCAATTGCAATTGACGCTGGAGAGTGCATGCGCTTTCAGCACAAACAACCGAACTCAAGAGGTGAAGACCGAAACGTACTACAAAGAGAGACATATGGTAAGCTGTCAAAATACTGCAAGAGCGCATCTGGTTCATGGTTGGGTTGCTGTTCGCTTCTTGCTCCATTCACAAGAAACTCTCAATCAGTGTGACACTATCCCTTCATGTCACGAGAGTCGCCTCTTTTCTTTTCATTGCCTCTGGTGGCTGCGGCTGCACAATCAATTACTATGTCACCGCTGAATTCCCTCACTGTTTGTTGTCACAATGCGATTGTGTTGTTGGCCCTCTGTTGCCATTCAAGGCAATGGGAATTAGTCTGAGTAGTGAACGTTCGGGGATGTTCCTTCAAGACAGAAGGCAGGGAGTCGGATCTACAAAAGGTCATACCCATCCTTTCGAAGTCGGAGAACATTACATCCTTGGAGGGCAGATCCACCACGGCTCAAGAACAACCCAAGGTATTCGACAGTGCCCAGCAAGTTCCGTACTGGCCTTCTCCAGCATTTCGCATGCGCAGCCATGGGCGCAAGCATGTCAACTTCCGGCCCGCCAGGTGCTCAAGTAGAACCATTCGAAAAGAAATGTGACTGCCACATACGAGTGGTACGATATTTTTGCCGCACATGTGATGAAAACGGCGTGAGGACTCTGCTCCCGTCTCCGTTCTACAGAGACAATCCTCGCAAGTTTTGGGTGGTCGATATTACCTGCGAAGGTCACGGCAGATCTGAGATTACCAGAGATGTTCGAAGCATCAAGGCGCTGCTGCCATGCAAGCGCTGTGAGTTTCCCCAAGCATAAGATGCAGCTGCCTTCGTACTGGAGTCGACAAATGCTAATGTGAAGTAGGCAAGATTTGCAAGAAGAGGGCGGAGAACTCTTCACAGCTATCAACTAGCACCTCCGATCTCTGAGGCTCTCCCTGACCACCCAACGGAACTCTTCCAAGCGTCAGCGTGGTGACCGTTTCTTGCGGCCCAGTTACAGATGTCAATCGAGTTACTTCTTGCTGCTCTCATTCGGGAGCAACTGGCACTTGTACGCCAGCCGACATGGATCCCAGGAACATGACGTTGGTAGACTGATACCATAATGGCGACATCTCCCCGTAACAGCTGATCTGGACCACGATACTTCCCAGCCCGTTCATGCCGCGCCTTTATTCCCATCCTCAGAGTCGCGACGCGCGGGCTCCGGATCGAAGCTTGCTCAGCTTCAAAGCCTCTCGCACCCCCAGGTCAATCATGACATCTTCAGAACCGCCGGGGACGATCAATGCAATCACACTGCGTGAAATGGCTTCGATTCGCGCGCCCTGACCGCTCTTCGTAAGACCGAGCCTGCCGCCGTCAGTCCTGCTACCACTACCGCACGCTCACTCCACTTGCTGGGGTGATGGACAAAGACAAGGGATTGGCTGGTACTCACCCGCCCATGATCTTCACACATTCATCCGCCACGTACTTGGCTACCATGCCCGCCTCGACTTTAAGCAAAGCCGTCGTCCCGCCTAGGAGCCTGTTCCCCTCTTTCTCACTGAGATGGTCCAGCTCATATACGATCTGTTCGACCCACGCCTGCAGGGCCTCGACCTTCTTCCCGCACAATCCCAATTTATGCCGCACAACAGGCTGCTCGATCAGCTTCCCACCAAAGACATCCCTCTTCTGCGCCCACGTGAACGCATCTTCCAGGCAGATGCGCGCCCCGCGGAGGGCCTGGAACGTAATCCACAACCTCTCGTGATTGAAGTTGGACATGATAAACTTGAACCCGCCGCCCTCTTCCCCAATCAGCATGTCGGCCGGCACTTTGACGTCTTCGAACGTAATGTACGTGGTGGAGCTTAACTTGCCGGCCCCGATCTCAATCTTGCGGCACTGAATGCCCGGTAAATGGCGGTCGATGAGGAGGAAACTCAGCCCCGCGGCACCCGAGCCGGGTGCACCCGTCCGCACAGCCGTGCTGAAGTAGTCGCTGAACATGCCGTTGGTGATCCACTTCTTCTCGCCGTTGACGATGTAGTGCTTCCCGTCAGCGGTTTTCTCGGCCGTGGTGGTCAAATTGCGGACGTCGGAACCCGCACTGGGTTCCGTGATCGCGAGGGAGATGCGTTTCTGCCCCGACAGGATCTCAGGGAGGACCTTGGCCTGCAGGGCTGGGGAGGCGAATTGACGAATTGGCGGCGCACCGACCGTCTGAACGATGGAGACTTGTCAATAGATGCCACGCATGGAATGAAATGATCTTGAACGGTCAATGGATGTCGCACACGTATTGCGCCTAAACACACCGTCTCCCCCAACGGGAGGATTGAGGAGCCCAGGGAGACAGGACAAGGCGAACAGTACAACGCAACAAGGTCACAGAAGAGACAAAAGACGTGAGATGACCTAGACATGAGATCAAACGGATAATACAAAACGAGACGAGATAAAAAGAAGGAAGACCCACCAACCCGACGAAAATCGAACTGACAGCTCCCCCTCTGTACAGTTCATCCCAGAGCACGAGATCGTGAAACCCATCCCATTCCTGCGGCTGAGCCTGCTGTGCAGACCGACCAGCGTCTGCAGCGACTGCTCCGCGTCGACGGCCATCCCACGAAACTGTCTTGACTCAAGTAGTGACGTCCTCAATTTGAGGGAAGAATGCCAGCGAGAGCCGGGAAGCTCGATCTCCAAAGTAGACGAGGAAGACTGTCGGACAATGTGCAAGTGTGCAGGAGCCACCAAAGGAGAAAGCATGTCGCCAATCACCCTGGAAGTCTTGCTGTGGAGGCTAACTAAGGAGCGACCACCCTTCATCAGACGCCACCGATCCTGACCTGGCTCTCGGGTCAACCTCCAGTTGTCTAAAGAGGAGTTCCAAGGTTCCCCAACCGGGCGGAATTCAACACAGTCCTCTTGGGCATCGTACCAATGAACGAAGTCTGTGGTAACATCCACAGGAAATTCTCCCTCCAGAATCCGGGTTGGGACCAGATCCAAGGTGCGACCATCCTTGACTGCTCGAACCAGAAGATCTTTACTGTTAGGATGAAGTGCATCCGACGAGGGTCGAATGTCAAGGTGAACGGCATACCCAGCATAATCTCGCTTCACGGAGAATTGTATGCCAGGCAGGGTACTTGGCATGACTTCAAGATCGGACTGGCCAAACAGCGTGCGGTACATCGGATGCGCCATGTACTGAGAAGGCAAACGGGCTAAAGGGAGTCCATTGACCAGTAGTTTGCCAGTTAAGGGGTTGTAATGGACTACGACCGGCTTATCACCGCCAAGGGGGGACAGCGTGTTGAACAGCCAGTTGTCGAACTGGGGTGAGACAGGATGCCAGCTATTGCCCACTCCGTATGAGGACCACGCCTACCCTATAGCATGGTCAAGGAAGGTATGGACTTCAGATATCGACAATTTATGTCATTAAAATCGGGTAGCTCCGGTAGCAAAGCGATTTCCATCGCCGATGCAGGATTGGGGTCAGGGGATCTGAAGATCCCAAGATGGTGGAAGCGCCGTTCTGGATGAGCATACAGCATTGCAAAAAGATGAATCCGCCTTCAGGCACAACGAGGATACCCTCTAAGGAGCTGTCGTCGACATTGAAGGTTCCGACACAGATCAAAGCGAGCTCAGCCACGTGATACAGGAGATCCGTTCGGTGTGAGTCATCGGTCGCTCCAGACGCCCTGTCCGTCAGAAGATTAACCCAGCCGAACGTTACTCTTCGGACGGCACATAGATACGACCGGCACCGGTCCTTGATCTACTCCGCATTAGTCAGCGATAACAGTCGAACCGACATGGCGATGAACGTATTGACCGCATAGGACGATTCCCAATCCTCGCCAACACGCTCTAGACTCCTTTCGAGGCTTCGTAAGGGGGCGGTCGCGAAATGCGGATCCCCGAGCACCTCGTGGCCGGCCCTCAGTACATTGCTGTCCTGTGGAGGCCTAGCTTGGTAGATCGATTGTAGGATCACTAGACTAGTTTCCACCTTTCTAAAACCTACGGAGGGTACGGCGAGCTGTACCAGAATATTGAGCCACTGTATGCGATACCTAAGTGGAATGACACACAGCGCCTTGTACTCATCTACAGATATATAGCGCGGGACAGTCAGACTGGCCTGCTATAACGGTGTCTAGGAGGGGCCACTAGGGGCGGTACTAGGACGAAACAGGTATTGCTGGAGCGATGACGAGGACATGGGGAGCCGGGAGGTTAGTAAGTTGGCGACAGCATCTGGTATCTCGAAGGCGTTGATAAAAGTACTCGTTGTATCGTCCAAATACCTATACTGCAGCCCATTATTAAGGCATATATAGCTTTCAGTTCTGACAACGGAGATGGAGTTATTACGCCGATAGGTAACAGTATGTAGTTTGCTCTTAGACAGAAGAGAGACGCGCTGCGTAGAGCTCCAGAGAACGAAAAAGGAAGAAAGACCCTGGTAGCTCTTTAAAGGATAATGTACCCGAGGTCTAACTGCGGATAGAGATTTAGCTTATAAGACTTAGACAAGTAGAAATAGAGCTGTGCCGCGCCACTGACCGAAAAAGGGAGGCACACAGAGCTTAAAAACGGTCGATTTCGCTTCTAAGTCTTTTTCGGGCAACGGCCACTCGTGAACGCCGATGGTAATCCTGTTCGCCTGCGATTTATAGCCGCACCTTCTGCACCTGCTGCTGTAACGTGTCTTTCGGATATCATTGTCATGGTCGACTACGACCTCGTGATACTCGCAAACACTCTGTTTATGATGTCGCATGAGCTAACGGTATTCCTCCGTTTTTCGGTGCAGTTCTTGCACTTTTATATTTCTGGTTTGGGTGGCAGGGAAGACAATGTCGTCACGGAGACGCCGATGTTTGGAGGACTGATTAGAGTATCTCACGGCAAAACAATCCGACCGACCGTACTCCCGAAAACTCGATGGAGACGCGTGGTGTGTAAGTCGTTGACGGCTCTGGAAATACTCCTTCGCGCGGAGCAGTCGCTGTATCTAACACTTGAACGGTAATAGTAAGCCTCGGAGCACTTCGGGTGGCACGCTAGGATCGTAGCCTTAAAGAAATTCATAGAGGTGTACGGTGGACCGGTCGTAGGCGATCCAGAGCTCGATCACGGTTAATAGTAGAACGGAATAGCTCTCGGAGTTTCCAGTATATAAAGGTGACGCAGTCCGAAAATACGCTGTGATTAACGCACCCAACTTTTCATAGGTGTTAACATTCCCCCTGTGACGCTCTAGCTATTAGGGCAGGCACGACGCCACCTATGTCTTAAGGGCGTTGAGGTTATACACCATATACTCTTCGGAGGCGCACGGAACGGTCGGTAGGGTGTCTGCCGGATATTTAATTAAGACCATAAGGGCCGTGTCAGCGCTGCTCCTTTCGACTAACCGGTAAGGGTCAGGTCTCTAGTCACAATACTCGAATAGGGGTGTAGGAGATACGACATAGGGCAAGGTATAGCAGACAGCTAAGTGTGACAAGATACTCAAGGTAGGTATAAGTAGATGATATGAGTTGGCTACGAAGGAGTGTAACTAGACTGTCTAATAATGAGCGTATATATTGCTGCCGAGTTCCTAGGAGCCTCGGTCTAGGCAGATATAGAAGAGTTCGACTGTTCTAAAAAGGGCGTAAGGCTTTAGTAAGGACTGCTAGTGATGGGTGGCGAGGCTAGTATAGGTAGAAATGGTATCTTAGAGGCTTACTGGGGTGGGATTAGCTCTAAGCCCATCGAGACGGGGATTATTTCCTAAAGCAGGCTACTGAATTAACATAGGACCCGCAATTTATTGCTGAAAGGATTGCAGAGCGGATTAGGCAACTGGGAAACCCTATCCAAGAGGCGGACTTCAGCTGGTTGGACGCTAACTATAAGGACAGGATGCGGGCTGTTGAAGCTGCCGTGGAAAGAGCGACCGGCACCTCCGGATAAGGGTATACTGGCCGGACACGAAGCTGCGGCGCCGAATGTGTGAACACTGTATCCCCTGTATGCTAGCTCTTGGTGCCGCAGTGCCTTGGGTCACTTGCGGGTCACACGCCCAATTCGGGACTGTCTCGGTACAATTATAATTGGTCAACTGCTTAAATAGGTCAAAACAGCAACTAAAAGTCCTCATGCTAATGCAATTCTCTCCGCTAGTAACAGACCAGGCTGGCAGCTCAAGGAAGTGTCGCAGAGTCTATCGGCGCCTGCCTTTTACGGTAATGACTCGGACTCGAGTCGATTAGCCCGTAAATGTGCGAAGACGCTGTAAGCTACCGACACATGAACGGATGGCCTAGGTCGCTGAAACAGCTCACCATCTTGGGGGAGTAGAGCCTTTAACACTGCACATTTTTGGTGGTCACGCGTCAAACTAAACCCGGTATGGCCCCTGCCATGCCTAAATCTGGGAGAATGCCACAAAGATATCTTTCCGCAAGTATCGTACCGAGAAATGCAGCAGTGTTTTTCTAGCTGTGAACGACTCAGACAGTTCACATCGATGAATAGGTGGCGTACAGATGTTCCATCGACACGAATCTACGAAGTTCAGCTCAAACCCTCCTCGCCAACTTTTATTACAAGTCGTCCCAATATGCTTCCTTCATTCGTTGATTGACAGCAGCGCTCCACATCTTGAAGTGTGCTCCTACTCAGTACAGGGTGGACAAGCCCTCGTACAGTGAAGTCCAGCGCCTCCTCCATATCCTAAATCCCGTGAATAAGTATGATTACCCACATCAATTGATCGGATAGCTTTCCTACCTTGCGGGTTCCGGTAACGGATCCAGCGATGTTGAGCCTTCGCGAATTGTTCAATCCCGGCCAAGTACCCGAGAATGCGTCTGTTCCCTGCGGCAATGCAACAGAGACCACGGTTCCGCCTGGTCGTAGGAATAATGGAGCGACTCTGAAAGCTTCCTTCCTTGGGGCTGCAACAACCACACCGTGCGCCCCGTATGATGTGATTTTGATCACCTCGGATACTAGGTCTCCGGTTTTCGCGCGGTCAATAAACCTTTCAACACCTAGCCGTTCGCAGAGTTTCTCCTTCTCACTTCCTTTTGCGATACCTATGACCTGCATACCCATTGCTTTACCGTACTGGACTGCAAGATGACCAAGTCCACCGCCTGCACCGAGGACCACGATCCATTCTCCGGATCGAACAGCACTCCGCTTGCAAGCGGTGTACGCCGTGAGACCGCCACACATCAAAACAGCGGCTTCGTCATCAGGGACGCTGACTGGGATCCTGTGTATGATCAGCCAACCAAATCATAACGCTTGCCATTCAACGACCTACCTCGTGGCATAATGACCATCTGTGAGAAGGTATTCCTGGAACGTGCCCGGTGCGTTGAAGCCGGGATTATGTTGCGATGCACACTGCAGCTCATCTGTTCCGTTCCGGCAGAACTCACAGTGTCCACAAACAGAAGAAACCCACTTGATGCCAACTCTGTCGCCGATCTTCCAGATGTCCTGCATATCGGGATGCACAGCCGCAACTCGCCCCGCAGCTTCATGGCCAGGCACACCTTTTGTCGATTCTTGCATTTTCATCTGCCAACGATCGTAAATCAGGAATCTGTCAGAGCCACAAATGCCTGCCCAGCTGATTTTGACTAGAATCTGTCCCGGTCCTGGCGCTTGTGGCATCGGAATGCGTTTGACAATCAAGGTCGCTTTCTCCCCGTCGCCCTGCCGCACCGCTGCAAGTTGATCTTTCGGTAAGCTCATCATTGTCGAAGTGCAAAGAGTCCAAAATTCGAGGCCGTCTCTATTACAATTGTCAGTGTCGTCCTCGTGTTGATACGTACCCTTTATGTTGGCTGGACAGAGCTATCGCCATTACTAAATGCCTCGGCTCCCTTGCCAACAAGGCTTGCCGGAAAGGATGCATTTATCATACTAGCCGTTTCAGGTAATCACCTGTTCGGGAATTAGTCGCGTCACATTCTCTTGTGGTTCCCTCTGTTTGAATTTGACGATGCATGATGGTGACCACTCCGTCGTGCAGCCAGAGCTAGAAGTGTGCTATTCTTGCAAGATCTCGGACGCTGTTCTCCCAGAAGAAGGGTTGCATATGCTCTTCTATCTGGCTTCACTCCAGGGCTTCGAAATGCTCGTCGAGGTGCTGCCTAACTGACTCTCGCTGAGGAGGCACAGTCTGACTAGTATGCATTAGTGTTAGAATCATCAGCATGATCCACAGTCGGCATTCTCGATCAAATCTGATATGACTTGGTGTTTGGCGCAGTGCCATGTTGGCCAAAGCCTTCAGCACGGTCTCGGAGAAGCCCTCAATGGCCGTGTAATCGAAATTGACGACCCTGAGCAAGAAGCAGCATGCCACCAACCCGTGACAGACAAATTGTTCAGTCGGAGTCGTTTGCAGCGGACTCCATTTCCACAAATCAACGAGTGTCGTTTGAAGCGGCCGCAGGGCCTTAAATGCTCGCCGTTGCCACCAATGGCGTGTCACCTCTTCGAAACACGGGCCTAGGGCGGGCAGATCCGAAAGAACAGGCCGTCACACCAGACATCTTCTTTGACTTACCCTTAGCCTCATGGAGAAAAGCCCCCCGAAACTCATCGACGAAAACCCCGATTTCGTGTGCACCCCGGGTATGAGGACCTTCTGGGACAGGACTCGACTGGTTCGGCAGCGGCGCAGCAGATCCCTGGTTGACGAGGGATGCGATACAAAGTTAATGAAAATGCTCCCTAGGTCTGCACCACGATGATGAAACGAAGTATGAGGGGCGTCTTAAACTCTGGCGAAACTTCTATCTATGCTGGGAAGCGCTTGGACAACGATAGAAAGAAATCGTGCAAGCGGCCGTGAAAGGCGGAAGGCTACCAGCAGACATGCTGTCAACAGCCATCATCAGATGTCTCGGAGACCAAGGAGTGGCTATGAGTGATAAGCTGGAGGCTTATGGGTTGGTCGATTATGAAATGGGTATTTGGGAAGAACATATAACCCACGTTTTTGCTGAGTGCCTCGATCTCCTTGATCGGTAGGACCGACGTCTGAACCGGTAAATCTCGGCATCACCGGGAAGAGATGTGGCAGTGGTTGCATCGGTATGCACCTGCAATGCTTAACGTTGTCGCCTTGAAAGCTAGGAATGGAAGGATCGGAATAACGACAGCCGGGTATCTCTAAATGTGACGGACACACGACCATCTGAGAACTTGGATCCTTTCTCTGGAGTCCCGAACCACTTTCTGGTGACTGGTCTTGAGGATCAACTTCATCCTGATATGCACTAGACCCTCAACCTGGGACCACGGACGGGAGAATCATGCCCACTAAGTCTTCTTGGACCGATTTTGCAGTTGCTTGATAACCTCCTTCTGCTGGTACCGCCATTCTCGTTGGACTTTTTCTCCTTGATGAATCGTCAGAGGCTTTGCTTGGTGTTGTTTCAAGGTCTAGGCGTGGCCTCAATCTTTCCTTCTATAGATGGCGAGCCTTGGTTTGGGTCGAGAAGAGTCGGCATTGGCTTGCTTCAGACGAGAGAGGATTCTATGGTCGCATGTACCGGTTATCGTATCCGTGAGCTGATCGTTTGAAATGTGGCCGCAATCAAATTCGATGGTATCTGTGCCACACGTATCTCAGAAGTGTACCTCACAATCAAATTGGCCCACAAGATGGCCGACTTCCGTGACCATCATATAGGAATGGTAATACCGCCTTGAGGCTGGCTCTGCGGAGAGACCGATGGAAATCGATGTCCTGATGGGATGCTATTAACCCGGTGTCGAGGATGTAGCGCGGCACCACGTTTCTCCTAGCATTCAGGGCGTATCCATAGCTCCCCAGCCGCGCGGCGCAGTCGACGGACAGTAGTTCGCCGATGGCGGGAGCGGTGGTCGAGAAAGGTCGAAGAGAGGATATGTGGCATCGCAAATCAGATGACAAGCCAAGCGACGAGGTCCAGCGGGCTCGGAGGACGAAGAGGCCGGAATCGAACGAGGCAGAGAGCTATGTGGGATGCATACAGTGCATCTCAGAAGCAGAGATCAGAACCGTTCCTTTCCTCGCCACGATGAATGTTCTTGATCCGCCCAGAGGTCGTCGCGCAGGAAGGTCACAAGGGGGACTCGCAGGGCGGGATACGTGGAGGGGATGAATCGCCGAGATATAGAGGGGGCGGTACATGTCATTCGGTCTAGGTCTGGGATCGCGGACACCCGAGCGTGTACTCCAAATCCTGAGAGCGAGCAGGAAAATGTTTGTGTGTCAGGTCACATTTCATTGAATCGGCATCTAACATCCAAGGAGATCCGCGGTGAACAGTCGACCGGCACTCAGATTTGTTCAAGATCGAGCGAGGAGACGTCCAAATCAACGAAAAGATACTCTTCAACCCGGCAAGAGGGACGGGTTTGGCTCTGAGATGTTGAGACGCCTCCGAGCTCCTGGGTTCTTTCCAAGTCCGAATAGAGCCCTAGGCTTTCCGGCGTTCGGGTATTGTGCCGGGTCTCGTGAGATCTTTAGTTTGTAGTCTCGAAAGTTGTGGTTAATGGTGGAAGTTGCCGCTTCGCCTTTTTACGGTAACACCCAGCACAAAACAAGGTATCTGGTACTGCTATTGTCTAGCCTTTGCCCCATGACCACCGAGACTAAGGGATCGGCAGGACATCCCGGCCTGCCCCGTAGCGGATGGTGTTCCAGGAATTTCGAACGAACGCGCGGTCTCTAAAGTCGGTGACATTATATCTAAGGTGGACCGTCCTATAATGGTACTACTAGTGCCTGTATCGCGGTAAGATACTTGAGGTTTTATATAGTCTAGGACCTACGCTACTATAATTATAGGACTGTAGTATAGGTTATTCCTTTATGTCTTTCATCCTTAGGCTACTGCGATAATAAGGTCGTCTACCTTCGCGACTAGAGCGTTAATATCCGAGAATCTAGTGTCTTCTATTCGCTTTAATATCCGATTATAATAAATTACCTATAATAGTAGTTTCTTCCTCTAAAGCGCATCCTTAGACTTCCGGAAGTAGAGTAAACTAATGTTAGCGCTACTTCTTTCGACTAACTAGTAAGAGTTAGGTCTCTAGTCACAATACTCTTAGTAGGGTATAGAGGATACAACACGAGTATTACATACAACCTCGCGAAAGACCGGTCATAAGTCGCTAAGTAAAGACTCGCTATATTTATTAAATATCTAGAGGAAACACGGGACGAGCCCGGCCTAGCTATAACCTATTATATAATAGGCTCTACTAGCTCTAGGGGTATAGTAGTAGAGCGAGTAGAGCGAGTAGAGTATAGTATAGAGTATATAGATATAAATATACTTATTATTAAATAGTCTAGTTACACTTCTTTATAGCTAACTTATATTATCTACTTATACTAACCTTTAAGTATCTTATTATATCTAGTCGCCTACTATACCTTACTCTATATTATATTCTCTATACCCCTACTTAAGTATTATAACTAGAGACCTAACCCTTACTAGTTAATTAAAAGGAGTAGCGCTAATACTTTAGTTACTACCCTTAATATAATATAAGTATATATATAAGTAAGTATACTAGACCTTCTTTACCTACTAATAAAAGCCTCGCTTACTAGGTCTTATACTTATTATTAAATAAGACTATATTAGTAAGATCTAGTACTTTACGACTAATACCTTCTACCTTAACACTATTTATTATAACTACCGAGGTAAAAGGGTATTTAGGTAACACCCTAAAGCTCTATAAAGAAGAGCGGAAGGGGCTAACCCCCTTCCTTTAATATATAAATATATTTTTCCTAATAAACCCTACTAAATTCCTAGATAAGCTTACTAAGGTTCTATTTACTAGCTCTTACCTAGAGGGAGATACTAAGACTTAGTTTAGACCCTACCTTAGGGACTATATTACTAATATACTAGCTAATTAGAGCGTTAATATAGTAACTATCTTTAGTACTTATAACGAGTTTAAGGAATAATTTAAGACTACCTTTAGTATATAGAATAAAGAGCGAGAGGTAGAAGGGTAGGTTATAAATCTTTAATAGACTAGATCCGCGTAGAAATACGCGACTAAGTTTAGGAGACTTATCGCTATCCTTAAGTAGGACGATAGTATAATAGTCCTTATCTTTAGAGAAGGCCTAAAACCCGTAATTCGTTAGGAACTATAAAATAATATAACCTAATGATTAGCTAACTTAATAGTAGAGGCTATTAAGGTTAATAGCGACCTCTAGGACTTCTATAAAGACCGGTAAAGGGGTAATAAAGCCGTATATATAGTAAAGAGGGTCTATAAGCTAAATACCCTTAAGTAGCGAGAACTATACTATAGACCTATACCGATAGGCCTAGATATAACCTAAAAGAAAAAAGATAATATTAAGGGTAAATCCTAAAGGGGTAATAAAGGCGCTAAGATTCCTAAAGAAGAAAGGGAGCGATACTTTAAAGAAAAATTATACCTTTATTACGGGAAGCCTAGATATATCGCGAGAAACTACTAATTTAAGGCCTAGATATATAATAAAGAGAAATACTATCGGATTAAGGAAATAAATATAGTAAAAGGGGAAGTAGTATAAGGAAAAGAAACTATACTTAATAAAGGACTTATAAAGATTATATAGCTTATAATAACTTACCTTTATATTTAAATAAAGTACTAGAGAATCGCTACTTATACTAACCCTTAGTATCTATAGGGGCTAAGATAATACTACTACTATATTTATAACTCGAAGGGAAGGGTTAAGTCTTTAATAATAGTAGTTAAACTTTAGTTCTATAATAACCCTAACTACTTATAATAAGATATAGCCCCTTATAAGAAATATATTTACTAAGGTAGAGACCTTAAGATATAGTATATATACTAGTATAAGGTATAAAACCTATTAGAGCCCGAAAGAGAATTATCGCTAAAGTATTTTATAGCGGAACCGGAAAATAACTAAGATAGGGTCTTTAATAGAGGGAAAGTAATATATATATTAGAAATAGAGGATACCTTAATACTAAGTATATAGTATTAGGCTACTACTAGGTGCGCTAACCTAAAGATATACTATATCTAAAGGGAATATATTTATATAGGATACTACTTAAAGGGAAACCTATAAAACTATAAGAGATTAGTTATACTATAGTTTTATAATTAACTAAACTACTTATATAAATAAGAAGGGTTTAGGTATCTATATTAAGGGATATTAAATAGTAAGATATCTATAATTACTAGAGAATTATTAACTAAAGAGGGATCTAGTATAGACCCTTAGGAAGACGAATATTAAAAGATATAAAATAAGTATAACTAGTATATAGAATAAGCTAATAGAAAAGTTAAGGAAGTTTATTAGGTATACAGGTAATAAGGTGTCTCTATACTATAAATTAATAAGACCCTTATAGAGGTATTTATAACTTTATATTACCCCTATAACTTAGCTTATAACTACTTAATAAGGAGGATTCCTTATATATATAGTTAATATTTCGACTATATTTAACCTTAGAGACTCGGAATAAATAAACTAGAGATAGAGGTAGCTTATAAATAAGTAGAAAGTCGATATATTACCTAGGACTATAAAATACTATAATTTAGCGGGGAAGACTAGGAAAATTATCTTTACTAGCTAAAAAAGGAGTAGATTTAGTACTTAGAGAACTACTTACTAAATTAGTAGCTTAGTCCCTAAGACCTAAACTAGAGATAACTAACGAGGCTCTAGTTCTTTAGTTTAATATAGCCTAAACTTAGTACTTATAAGTTATTATCCTTAGCGGAATACTAGAGGACTAATATATATATATCCTAGTAGATTTAGGATATACTAGTATATTTATCTATACTTAAGTAACCTAGAAGTTAGCTAGATAAAGAGTTACTAAATAGGAAACCTATAAGCTTATAGATTTTAATAGTATTATAATATCTAGGATCTCGGAAGAGTTAAGATTAGTATAGCTAGTTATTAATAAATATAAAGAGGTACTTAACCTAGATATTAATATTAT